ATTTCAATGAGGAAATTTAAACGACAAACGTCTATATTAGACTTAATTTAGGTTTGTTAAGAAAGACATAAGTCAAACGCATCCTCTCTATTTTTTTAGTTAAATCTAACTTATGCCACTATTGGATTGTGTTAAAAATTCTAATCTAATTCTTGCACAAATTTAAAACTTAGATCTTACATTTTATTATACAGATTCAGTTGACCTAGTTATTATTGGTTTGTTATGACTTACAACTTTTCATATGATTAAAATTTTATGTACAAGATCAACATTTAATAAACACATGTTTTGATTTGTTGCGAAGTCAAAACTATAATTGGTTAAACTCTGTTAGTTTGGGCATGTTATAATGTCTATCTCATAGAAGTTTTTTGCATGATAAGCTCAAAATTGAGCACAAAATTTAAAATCAAGTTATACATCACATCAAACGAATTCAAGTAAAGATGGTCATTTATTACATTATCCAAATAAAGTTGGTCATTTATTACATTAATCAAGCTTGAATTAAGTTTAATTTATAACAATGGATTTAAAATATCTAAGTTTAATTTATGCTCAAAATTAAAGTTTAAAACTACACTTCCTTATGTGGAGTTTTATTGTTTCATTATCTATTTCGTTACGTGTAAGAAAAATTAAATATATTTCCTATTGAAGTGAGTTTTTACATAAGAATCCAAACTAAAGATAATTTATATACATTATTTTCTCTTAATTATCAATATATTTTTTTTAAAAACAAAACTGTGATGAAATAAAGTTTTAAAGTGTATAATACTTTAAACGTGACAATTGAAACTAATGAGGGGGATTGATGGAAATGTCCCTACATTCCCAAGAGATGATTTTGATGATGATTTAAGTTAACTACATTCAAGTCAATACCATTCAAGATGAATTAAGGACAAACTGAATTTATGACGTTGGTGACAATGTGAAAAATTGTTCTACATGTCCAATATATGTTTTTGATAAAGATGATGATTCAAGCAAGCTCAAGATGATTTCTGAAGACTAGATAGAGTATTAGAATACTGGATATGGAGATACAAGTTGATGAAGTAATATTATGCATAAGTCTCTAAAGCACAAGTGTTATAAAATTATTCTCTGTCATAATCAACTATGATGCATCAAAAATAGAAAAATGATTTTCTCTGTCATAATTGATTATACTGGTAACATAATCAACTATGACAATTCAAATTTGAAAAATATATCTGTGTTTGAAGAATAAATATTTTTGAATATATACTGATTTTTATTCACAAAAATATTAATGTCCAACGGCAGCATCAATTGTCCTATGGCGGAGACCGGGTGGGCCGAGTCACAATCGAATCGTGGCGCTTGTGTTGTTACTCTTAAGTAAAAAGAGTTGCGCTTTGACTAATAACTATAGCTTTTGGCCTAGTCGTAAGCGCTCGATCCTAACAATTGGTATCAGAGCCAAGGTCACGAGTTCGATTTCTGATGGGCCAAGTTACAATCGGTGGCGCAGAGGCTAGATGAGCCAAGTCATAATCCAAGTGAGATTCCTCGTAGGACAATTACTCAAGAGGAGATTGTTGTACGTAAGCAGCGCTCGATCCTAACAACAATGAATCTAATAATATTATAATTTATGTTTTTTTACGTGAGTCTCACAAAGTTAATACTAATAATAATTTATATATATTATCTTCTCTCCACCTATCAATATGTCTTTAAGGATAAAATAATGACAAATTATAATTAAAAAATAGACAATAATTATGATAATTGACTTTTACGATGTTAACTAGTATACATAAAATCAAAACACTATTTATTATTGAACAAAATAAAAGCAAATAAGATTAAAAAAAATAGTAAACCTACAAATAAAAAGAATAAATAATTTATGAGTGTTCTATAATTATCTATTTTTTATATCATGAAAAATATATCAAAATAAGTTTATAATCATTTCAAAAAAATTTAATAAAAATATTTTATTTTTAAAAATTAGTTAAAAGTTATAACCAAGAACTTGAAGTTGTTGATCAATATATTTAAACCACTAAGATAACTTAGGCATTAATGATACATTTGTAATTTTAAAGGTCAAACATCAAATATCATTAAAGATTTTTTTATGCATAATTTATTATTATCCTAATTTTAAGATTGAACATGAGAACATAAAGTAAATATAAAACTTGAATATGTAGAACTAATGGAGACATCTAAAATAATCTTAATTTGAATGATTTTTTTTATTACCTTATTAATCTTAATTAATGTTTTATTTTCAGTATTAAATTAGTTATAGTTAAAAAAAAAACACTAAAAAAATATTATTCTTATATTAGGTTTACATTCATGCCACTAAAATCTATGCTGAAGAAACATTGATTGATGTAAAATCTAAGTTTATTTTTGTAACTTTATAGTCCTGCACAATACTTTTATATTGATTCTGTTATTATACAAAAAGTGTTAATCAGAATGATAAATATATTTAGTATTTTAGAAACAAAAACATTTATTTTCTTCTTTATCAAGTAGAGAGATTAATAAAAAAATGTTGAAAAAATATAAAATTATTCAATTTATTTTGAACACAAAATCATATTTAAGTATATTTTAAAATAATTTACAACTCCAATAGATGGTAATGTTTAGTACAAAGTTAAATAACATTTTACAGTTAAAATACAAACCTAAGTGTTTTAAAATAATAAAGAAAAACTATTTAAACTATTAAACAATAGAAAAAATACGTAATTTTGAATAGTTATAATAAAAATTAATAAACTTATTATGTAGAATTATTGTTCTTATTCGAAATCGATTGAATTGAACTATGTAGTATGTTTTTTCGAATGGTTCTAAGTTGTGTCGAACAAGATGAAAATTCATCTACACATATTTTCTCATACTTAAATACTTAAATAAGTAAGTGAATATATAAGGAAAAATAAAAAAAAGTATCAAAACTTTTATAAAAAAAATGTCCGAGTAATAAATTATGTATGATTTATAATTTTTATTATTATATCGGATAGTATCTTTATTCAATCATTAATAATTTGAATTTTATGAAATCTGTTAAAAATATAAAGAATAATAATAAGTGTGAGGTGTATAGAAAAGTTAAATAAAAATAATTTCAGTGCCCATTTTTTATTTTATTTCTACAAAATAAAGGAATAAATAAATCGACATAATGTCCTTTCTTACTCTAACCATAGTTTGTGTGTCTCTATCTGATAGAATATGTCAGCAGCAATGCTTAACGTGTATATGTACACAGAATTCAACACAACATAATATAGATATAAAACACGGCAATACTATATATGTTAATGTTCTCCTACAATTAAAATAAAAAATCTACTTTTGTTTCCGCGGAAGGGTCTCTCTATCTGTATCTGTTGCTCCCTTTGAAGGAAATGCTTTAAGTATGAATCAAAAGGTTGTGCTTCTGGGATCTTTTTAAGTATGAGTCAAAAGGGTGTCTCTGTCTTTTGAATTTTGGTTCTGGGATCTTCAGTTTCACCTTCAGGGTGGTTGTGCGTCTGGGAACCTTTCAAAATCTCGGCTTTCTTTGGTTTTCATTTGAATTGAACTGCAGTCTTGTGCTTTCAATTGACTGCCTCAGCTCCCTGAATTTGCCACCACTGTGCTGTTAATGGTAAAAAACCAATTAGCATAGAAATCTGGGCTTATTTTTCTGTTTGTCCTTTCTTGTTGGAAGGTTGGGAAGAGTGAGGAAAAGAAAAAATGATTGCAACAATTTTTCTTTAAAAAATGTTTGTTTATTTTATTTGGGGGTATTTTTCATTATCCGAATTTGGAAAATCAGGTCAACCAAGTTCAAGTCTGGTTTTTGGGTGAATTTGGGAAAGTTTTTTTTTTTTTTTTTTTGGTATATTTTGTGTGTTTCTGCTTGAAATCAATGTAACATTTCTCTAAATTGTTTTATAAAGTTTTGAACTTTTAATTTTGACTTATCCATTTCTGGAACATTGCTAAATTACCGGGGCTTTTTATTTTTTAAGTTTAATTCTGAAGCTGTTAACAGCGACGCTTTTTTATGATTTGAAACAAGCAAGAGATGAAATGATGATGAATGAATCCGAATATTCCTGTGTTTCAGCAAGTGTTGCTTGTTTAGTTTGGTTGTTTTTCTTGGAAACCCTTTACTCACAAGAGTTTCAGCTGTTTTCTTGTTGAAATGAGGAATCTAATAAAAGCTTTTAATTGATGCTACTTTACCTTTAAGAGTTGTTACCGTGTAAGCATGGTGCAACCTTTTGAAGCCTTTTCTCTTGTTGTCACAGTTAAGCGTTGACACCGACACCACCTGTCATGTCTCACGCAGTTCTTGTGATTTTGTCACTTTTAGCTCTATTTCTTTCTCAAAATCAACTCTCTACCTGTGAATTTTTTGTGCAGAGAATACCAGAAGTTTTGACTTGACTAGTCAACAGCCAGGGCAAAAGACAAGGTTCGTTGGTTAGATTTATCTTTGGTGCTTAATTTTAGTTAAGGATTAAGATTATGAAGCTTTTGGCTTATTTAGGAAGTGGATAATGAAGAGGGAATCATTAACGCTGCTGAAAACAAACCAAAAAAGGGTTATAAAAGTAAGGCTACTGACTAAAATATTGTCAATTTTAAAATGATGTGGACTGTCCCATTACATGTTAAATGTAATGGTGCTCGTGAGTAACCTACTACCACTTTTTGTTGGTTGGCAACTTGCCATTTAATTAGTCAGGTTAATGTATTTTTTAGTGTTAATCTCTCAGCTTCCTTGTATGTGTTCTCTAGAACTTTAATATAATGAACTATATTTTTTTTGTCATTGGCATGTATTCCCTTCTCAGCACTTCTTTTTTAAGTTTGTACTGCTTGATGTCATGGACAATAGAAACTAACTGTAGTCACTTAAATAGAGATTTTTGGGGTGGTTCACATTTATCTTATTTGTACCAGCATTCAGCAGATATAGTGAGCCTTTAGACATGGGCTGTGTGGTGTCAACTCCAAAGAACTCTGGTGGAAATAGAAGGAGGCCTGGAAGTATTGGTGAAGTATCAGTATATGTTCCTGGTTTGAGGATTCCCAAACCTGTTGATTTTGCTCAATCACTTGGTGATTATTTGTCCAAGAATATAGTGGAACGCCTGTCTGCTCTTAGAACGCGTATAGTTGTAATGGCTGGTCAAGAAGGTCCTACAATTACAAGAACAAAAAGAAAAACTCAGCACGGTTAGTACTTAGTTTTAACAACAATAAAATTATTTTATGGTGAATAAGTTTATTGATGCATCGGCATGGTTTGATTTCTTCTGCAGGAGGTTCAACACTGGCTGATCTTGTGCAGGCTCTTGGAGATTACTTGCCTGTTCTTCTGGGATTAGTTAAAGATGGTAAAGCTTGTGTTTGTTAGTCCATTTGTATACGATGTATGCTCTCTAAAAGACAAGTATTGATTATTGTTGCATATGTTTGTGATTCAGGAAGCCATTTACAATACAAAGTACAGTTTGTTTGGGTGAATCAAGAGGATGACAAAGAGGTAATCCAATTTTTATTTTCAAACTCCATACATGTTTCTGGATTTGATGAGGAAGTTACTTTTATACTGAAAATGCTCATGATTGGCGATCTTTACAGGAAACGACCATGTCTCATGCTTGGTATGAAGTGTTGTCAGTTTTACATTTAATGGCAATGCTATCACTATCACAGGCTAACTTGTTACTGCTTCCAAGATCATCATCCAATGATGGTCATCAGCCAAAAGTATCAGAAGGTAGGTAATAGTAATACTAAAAAAGTTTTGGTCCATGATAACAAAGTTGTTGCCCCGTTTCTGAATCTCTTATTGCTTAGTATATCAAACTGCAAAAACACATTGGAATAGATCAGATTAGAGACACTCACAACATCAACGCTTGACTCTTGTTGATAAATAGTTAAACACATGAAATATTCTTGAAGTTTCCAAAAAAATTATTGTTTCTTCCTTTTTGTGTGTGGTAGATGTATCTTTGTATTTAACACATCAATTTTGTGGACCCCTCACTTGATATCTATTATTTGGATTATCTTTCTATTTGATTAATGGGCAAAAATTGGCTAAAGAAATATTTTAAGAAAATAATTGCTAGTTTTGTTTGTTTTATTCTTTCTTTCTGTACATCTTTTCCATAACTAGGACTTGACATACACACAGTACACATGCTATGCTGGAAAGTTTATCTCGTTAATACAAAGTATTCATAGTATTTTTTTCATCTACTAGTACTGTAACTGACTAACTGGCAAACATAGCCTTTTTATCTAAGCTATACTTAGTTTATTTGTTTTTCATTATTTCCTTAATCCAAATTATATTGTTGTAATGGGAAAGTTGAAGCTTTTGGTATCTGCTAACAGAAAGCAGACGAGCCTCTGTTGATATCTTCTTAAAAGCAGCTGGGTATCTGGATTGTGCAGTCAGACATGTTCTTCCACAGTTACCTGCAGAACTCAGGTTTGTACATATCTGATGTATAATGCATGTGATGAATGGAATGTCTCACATTTTACTGTAATCTCAATGATTATCTTCTTTCTGTTGATTGTTACTATATTGATTCTGATTTTAGGAGAAATTTACCCGTAGACCTAGCAGAAGGAGTTCTTCGAGCACTCTCTCTACAAGCATTAGGACAGGTATTAATGTTTCTTTTCTATGGACCCACTATTAGAAGTGTCCATTCTTTTACTGTTTTTTAATGGCTAAAACTAATTTGTTCTATTAGTATGACAAATTTGTTATGCACTTAACTTTTGGCAAAAACAAGGTATTTATGCATCCATTTTAATGTATGCTTAGTTTAAAGTCCCTAGGATTGGATTACATGGTAATATTGCTTATGATTCGGCACTAAAAATGTCTTTTATGGAGACAACAGCTTTGTTTTCGCAACCGAGAAAAATGTTTCTGATAGACATCAAGTTGACCTCCCAATCTCATATTTGTATTAATCTTCTTAGAAATTTCAGGGCTCTTTTGGATTTCTTAGTCAATCAGACTTTACACAGATTTCTTCTTTAACAAAATGCAAGAATTGTCATAAATATATCCTACTTTTTCTCAGAGGGTTGGATAGTAAGCAAACTTTTTATTGAATGTGGAATAACTGAATATGAGCACTATTCATTTGACTTTCAAGTCTCTTGTTACTTGACTTTATTCTCATAATTAAAGAAAGGAATGAATTGCTAAACATGAAAGGTAGAAGAAATCAAACTGGATACATTAAATTACATCTGAAATTATATGTTAGCTATTTTGGTATTTACAATGCATTTCTTGATTGTGGGGGAAATAAAAAACTATGGAAGGATAAAAGGTGAGCTTATCTGATGCTTTTTTCCAATCCATCATATGCAAAGAATTTTGTTTCAAGCAATGTAATAATAGTTATGATGTTTTGGGTCTAATATGTGCTGTGTCACTTTTAAGAATTTGTGAGGATATGTATTTGTATGGTGAATGTTCCTGGAGAAAAGTTGTTGGGGTAATGATACCAATAATTGAATGGAAGCTTGGAGAAGGAGAATGTTCGTTATATAGATACCTTTACTCTACTTCAAATCCATGTATACTTGTTTATTTATTTCTTCCCTTTTTTCCTTTTTCAGGGTGTAGATATACAACTTGGAATGGCCATTGATAGCACCAAAGCCACTCTTGCAGTGAAGCGCAGGCTGGCATGTGAGATGGTGAAATGTTGGCAACAGGTATGATAACTTGTGTTCTATGTATGGGATCTATACTTGATTGTTTAACTGTTTTATTCACAGGAAAATCACTCCTAATTTTTGGGTTGTATTCTACATTTCTCACTGGATCTCCTAACTTGTTTCTCTTGGATCTGTCTGTATTGTTAAACTTTTGTCCCTATGAAAAATCTTTGTTTCTATCATATATGCTCTATTTATGTGTGTTTGTGTCCTAATGTTTCTATCATGAATACCTTGCTTTGATTACATTGTCAATTTCACAGGCTCAAGATAACATTATGAATCTTCCATTAACAAATGGTTGGGGTGAAAAACATTGTCTCTTTGTGAAATGGAAATATGTTGAAGCAAAGGTATGTCGTTTTACCCCCTGCAATGTGTTTCTAAATATTGATAATATTACGAATGGAGATTGATTTTCTGGTTTACTGATTGATTACCTATGCCAATAATGGAAATGAAGGTATGAATTGGTTCAAATAATTGATTTTCCTCTACAACTTCAAGATGAAATATGGAGTTTATGTGCAAAATTGAGAAGTTGAGGGAATTGAATCTTTACGTGTCTTACACCAACTTTAGCTGGAGTTGGCTAAACGGTTTTCTGTTTGATTGTTCATAACTGATACTGTTTTGGTAATGGCTGTATAGTCTGATGACATATTTGCCAAGCTATTGCTAATTTTGTGATAGATTGAAATCTTTTACTAAAGCTTTTGCTTATGCCATCCACAAAACCCAAATACCTGTGATATTCTTGATCCATGATATTGTATTATGCAGTGCACCTTACACTATCAGTACCTAAGAAATTATTCAATATATTTTTCAGCGCAATTTTATGTATGTGTATTATACATAAGTCTGCAGTTTGGAAGATATATTAGTATTGTTTTCTTGTTGTCTACTATGAACTTTTTAAAAATTCCCACCTTCAAAGTATATTTTTGGTGACCATAGTGCCTATCAGATATAACTTTTGAAATAAGAAAAATATAATTTTTGGAAAAAATTGCGATTGCTTGGCTAACAGGTTTCATGTCAATTAATGAAAAGTTACTACTCAATGGTCATTGTTTCTGGTTCTAGATTCTTGTGTAGTCTTTCTTAGTAGTGAAAAACAGTTTGATTTGGATATATAAGTTATTTGAATAGTAGCTGTGGTGTATTTAGTTTGATGGAACGAGCACCGTAGGTACATATACCTTATATGGTTTCTTTTTTCTACCTTTCAGCATAGTCATATATAATTTGGGAATGAGTATAGGTTATGCATTCTGAAGAAGAAAGCGATATGAAGTTGTGATAATTTTGTTGTAATGATTTACTAGGCTGCAGCATATTATTATCATGGTTTGATTCTTGATGAGGGAAATACAGAAAAATCTCATGGGATGGCTGTAGCTGCTTTACAAGCAGCAGATGAGTATTTCAAAGAAAGTAAGAAGTTGTGTGAGGCATTCAACACATCATCTCCATTGTCAAGGTTATCCTTTGTCTTCCCTATCACGTGCTTTTTTTATGCTGTTAACTGCTCTCAGAAAACAGCATTTTACCCTTCTTTAAGACCTTGGTGAACCCACAGTTAGATTTAATGCACATGTTTTCTGAATAATATAATAAATTGTTAGTTGTTGTAGTTATCCCGTAGCTGAAATGGAAGTGAGTACTTAGTATTATGTGCCAATTTCCATTAACTAAGCAGATGTGGCCATTTTGTCTTATTGCACAAAAGGTGCTTGCCACACTTGGCAATAGTAATAACACTGGAATGCACATAATGAGAATGCGGTTATGCATGTACGGGTGACAAGCTTACATTATTTTAGCAATATCTTATGAAATGCTTGCTTACTTATTTTAGGTAAAATGCGTTTTTAACCCCTTTAAAAATGACTAAATTTTGCTTTTAGTTCACTAACCTTTTCCCTTTTTATAGTTTTGGTCCATATAAATTTTAAAATCAAGAAAAAGGTTCCTATCACTACTTAGCAGTGATGTTACATTACATGTATCATGAGGTACTACGTCACATGCTATCTCCAAATGGTCACTGATATAGCATGTCTAAGTACATGTCATGTTCCCCACTAAACGGTGATATTTACCATTTTAAGAAATTTTCAAATTGGTAAGGACAATAACAATTTGTTTTTTGAGAAGAAAAACTGAATTTGATCATATTTGCATGAACTTAAATGTGTTGAAGTCACCAAAAATTGTTGGTCAGTGTTGTGTCAGCAAAGTCTCGGATTCGATATTGTGGATGAAAAATGGTTGGGAGGGGATCCAGATTTTCTGACAAAGGTTAGTCATGAACAAAATCGGTTGATACTCTGTACCAATGACATGGTAAAAATATAACTGTGTTGAAAGTCTTTATTTTAATAATCTTCAGGGAAAATTATTGTGATTGTCAAAGAATCAATCACTCTTCGTTTTCATGAAATTCAATGACATGCCTGGTAGGAGAATAGTTTTAGCATATTCTTACATGTGGTGTGGTGACATAATATGCCACTCTGATCTGTCATTTCCTACTGTACTTCCACTTTCTTCCTTTTCTTATTTTACTTCAAGAGAGAGTGAGTGATAAGTTGAATTTTTATTTTAAAATATTTTCAACTCTAGGCACAACCTTTATTACATTTTTTAAAAGAGAATTTGTCAGCAATGGTTTATGTGTTCATCCCAGTTCATTGAGAGTTATCATGACCATGGTTTTGGCATACTCATCATTTTCCTTTCCTATTTCTCTTGAATAATAATAATAACACTATTGATGGTCATTTGCTGTGTATTATGGCCCATCTAACTAAGAGTCTTGGTTGCAGAAATCCACCTCCTTGGGGAACCATGAAGTATCTCTCTGAAAAAATTCCAAAGGATACTTCAAGCAAGGTCCGAATAAACCGTGATCTGTACTCTTATGAGAGGTAAAGTTTCCAAAGTGCATGAGTAACATGTTGCTTAACTTTAATTGATTACTAATTTTTGGCTAATGAAAGTAAGTATGATGACTAATAAAACCATATTTCGTGCTATAGGATCATGGAGACAGCACCAACATTGCCTGATTTTTCCTTGGCCTTGAAACCAGATGAATATCAACTTCCTCAAGTGGACTCCTCTTGGAGAACAGAGAACATAAAAGTGGGACAAACCGATCTTAGCCATCTTAAGAGTGACAAGTGATAAAATACAATGAATTTGCATACCTCAAAGAAATGTTGGTCTACTTGAAAAATGTCATCAGCCAAAGGGTGTTTTTCCAATTCTTGTTAATAGAAAAAAACACATTAGTTTCTTTGAATTTTTCTACCTTTTGCATTACTTTTTTCTACTTCATATATCAATTTCCTCCTTTCCCCCATAATATTTGAAAGATGCCCTACAATTAGAGGTGCAATGTAAATTGTCCTCTGAGGGAAAAGCAAGTGTCTCAGAAAAATAACATTGCTATATCATTTCATTGTAAAGTCAATTACATCATCCATTTTCAAACTAAGTATTAAGGTTTCAACATAAAACCAATTGACAATATCTGGAGTAACTTAACATATATTTAAATCATATCATATGAGGTAAGCGAAGGGAGATTTTCAACACTAAACTTGTGTAAGTATCATGTATAAAGTTGAATTTAGCATTCGACGAAGTTATTTACTTAAAATATCCCCAAATTTACTTTGCTATAGTATCTTGGACTTTTAGTACAAGAGAAATTGAATCTTTTGCTGCCCTAGGAGCATGGTAGGTTCATGTTTCCACTGCTATTATCTTAAGCAAATTATCTTAAGCAATGGAGTCACGTTAGATGTCATCGATGTGGCAAAATGCCATGGATGTCACGTAACACCAAAATCAGAACAGTGACCACTTACCTCAATTCTACGTAACTTGCGCATTTATTTTTGAAATCAAACTCACAACCTTAAAGAAAGGTTCTGAAACTACACAATTACACAAACTTTTATATTGAAAAAAAAGTGTACATTGTGACATCCAAAATACAAAAGAATCATCATTAACATCTGAAGAAGCTATTCAATCTTAAAAAGTCCTTCTAAGAAGAAAAGCACCTAACAAATGGTAAATATATAGACTTTTGCCAAGTAACAAATGATACAACACCATTTGATGATGAGCTAATCTTGTTTCAAAGTTCGAAATTACTACAGCCAAAGAAAGAAAGAAAAAACTAAAATAACCCACCACCTGCAAGAAAAAACAAAAGTACAGGGAAAGATACAAAGATGCATTTAAAAAAGTTAGAAATGCCTTTGAATAATAAAATACAGCACAATAGTTTAGTATTTTCCTTTTAATACATAATAACGAATTTCATGAACATTTTCAATTTATTCTTTAAATAATTCCAATCACCACATTCATAACGTCGGAACAATCAATCTCTCTGAAGCAATTTTCTTGTTTGCTTTTTCAACGACTCATCTCTGAGTTTTTAGCGTCTTTGCTATATCTTAACGATTTTTATGTTTCTCTCATAGATCATGTTCTTTTCTATTTTTAATGTTACTACAACGAGTAATTATAGATAATATCATTGTCATAATAAGAATATTTTAGTTTCTGCAGACTCAATTTCATACTAACACGGTATGCAAAACAGGTCCTGTAGTTTGTCAAAATTTTATTGAATTACCATATATTAACCTCAGCAAGTGTGGCAGCAGCAACGTACACATTAGCGACAGCAGCAACAACAACCATTACAAAGACAAAAGCCATGTCACACTAGGTGCACCACACTTTGCAACTACCTTCTTAAATTTCTCTCTAAATTCTGACCATTCAGCTTTGATTCTTGTTTGTTTTTCCATTGCCAAACTATGTTCCTGTTGCAAATGAGGTGCCTTTTCCATCAACTCATCTCTCTGGCTTTTTCAAATATATTTCTTTCACTGGTGGACCATGCTCTTTTCCATTTTCAGAATCCGAGATGTTAACTTGAATGACCTTGACTTCCTCTTCTAGTTTCTCTTTTCTTTTCTCCATCCAGGATAACTTTTGCTGCAGCTCATTTTTCTAAGGCCATAACTTCCATGAACTGGTTCTTGTTACTTCCCAGACATGTTTCTAATTCATCAGCTCTCTGCAGTTCGGATACTGTGGTCTCAATTTTCATACTTGCTTCAGCGTAATCTCTCCTCCAATGAGTGAACTTCCCAAAAGCTTCTGATACCAGTGTTAGGTTAAACTGTAATTGAATATGATCTTCATTCTAATGATGAAACATATATATAAATATATATATAATCTCATACTGTAAACATGTTATAAATTAAATGCGAAAGCGTACCTGAATTGGCCATAATGACGATATCCTTTGTAGAGCACTTTTGATTTGATCTTATGGTCTTCCACCTGAAGAGCATTTCCCTCTTGATTTTCTCTCTTGATGGGGATAGAAAGAAAAGAACGAGACTGTAACTACGTTCTGTCTACGTGCTCCCAGAAGGGGACCGTGACCCCTTAAAATAACCAAAATTAGGTTAATTACTTAAGTTTTAGTATTTCCAATTTGGCCCCTCATCAAATTAGAAATTACTCTATGGTCTCTACACAATTTTATTTTCATGACATATGTCTTTAGCCAAACCTTTTTAATTTAGTCAGATCACTTTATTATTTGGCTTAATAAATAATGACCCTAACACATTTAAATATGTATCATATATATACATGACCCAAATTTTGCCAACAATCTCCCACTGGTCACAAATATATATGTCCTTACAACCTCACAAATGTGTTAGACTTTATGAGCTCAAAATTGTCATTATATTCCTTTAGCATATTCCAAAAGTCCTGTCCATTAATCATATCAGGATATAGAACCAAACCAGCTTTTCATTGCATCATCGCAACTAAAACCAACAAGATTACTCATCCTGACATAACCAAATGACATGGATTCATCATGAAATGTGTAGCATGAAAAATTACGTGAAGGTGATCTGTACACGTCTATTTTCAACTGGTCCAAACTTTAACTTATCGAGATCGATATAATAACCTTAATGTACAAAGTGTAATGAATGAACAAAAATCGTATATCTATAGATAACCAAATATGTCCAAAAAATCAATGTATACATATATAAAATTAAACATAGAACATAAAATATATGAAAATGACTAACTCCCACTAAACCACAAATTCCTCAAACTGTAAAACACCCATGTGAGCAACATGCTCATGAAAGACCTTGGGCGAAGTCCTTTAGTTAGAGGATCTCGCTATCATGGAGTTTGTCCCTAAATGTTCTATGGAAATCTGTCCATTTTGTACTCTTTCCTTAACAACTAGAAACTTAATGTCGATGTGCTTTGACTTAGTCGAACTTCTGTTGTTGTTGGAATACAATACAACTGATTTGTTGTCACAATATAACTTAAGTGGTCTTTCAATGCCTTTCACAATTTGCAGCCCCTGTGACAAAATTTCTCAGCCATATTCCATGATTCGATGCCTCATAGCATGCTACAAATTCTGCTGCCATAGTGGATGAAGCTGTAAGGGTTTGCTTGACACTGCGCCAAGAAACCGCACCACCTGCTAACATGAAAATGTAACCTGAAGTGGATTTCAAACTATCTTGACATCCTGCAAAGTCCGAGTCAGAAAACCCAGCGATCTCCAACTGGTCTGACCTCCTGTATGTGAGCATGTAATCTTTTGTTCTCTTTAAATATCTCATGACCCTTTTTGCTGCTTTCCAATGATCCATTCCTGGATTGCTTAAATATCTGCCTAGAACCCCAACTATGTATGCTATGTCTGGACGCGTACATACTTGGGCATACATCAAACTCCCTACAGCTGATGCATAGGGAATCTTTTGCATTTCCTCAATTTCCAAATTTCCCTTTGGGCACTGATTGAGACTAAACTTGTCTCCCTTAGCAACTGGAGTATCCCCCGATTTACATTCATGCTTGCCAAACCTTTTAAGAATTTTTTCGATATAGCTCCTTTGTGATAATCCTAAAATACCTCGACATCGATCTCGGTGTATCTGAATTCCTAATACAGAAGACGCATCGCTAAGATCTTTCATTTCAAAATTCTTTGATAAAAAATTCTTGGTTTCGTGCAATATGCCTATATCATTAGTGGCAAGTAGAATGTCATCAACATACAAGATCAAGAAAATATACTTACTCCCCTTAAACTTGTGATATACACAATCATCAACAATATTCATCTCGAAGCCAAATGAGAGAATTACTTGATGAAATTTATAGTACCATTGACGAGATGCTTGTTTTAGTCCATAAATGGATTTTGTCAGTTTGCAAACCATACTCTTTGAATCTCCCTGCACAAAATTTTCTGGTTGCACCATATAAATCGTCTCATCAATGTTGCCATTAAGAAACGCCGTCTTGACATCCATTTGATGAAGCTCCAAATCATAATGTGCTACAAGAGTCATGATTGTCCTAAAAGAGTCTTTCGATGAAACTGGAGAGAAAGTCTCTTTAAAATCAATCCCTTCCTTTTGGGTATAGCCCTTAGTTACCAGACGAGCCTTATACCTTTCCACATTACCTTTAGAATCCCGTTTGGTCTTAAATATCCACTTGCAACCAATGAGTCTCATACCTTCTGGTAATGGGACAAGTTTCCAAACCTTATCGTCTTGCATGGACTTATACTCCTCCTTCATTGCTTCAATCCACTTTTCAGAGTTAGAACCTTGCATAACTTGACGGAAGTTAACTGGGTCATCTTCCATCATACCATTGTTTTCCTCATGTTCCTGAAGAAATACCATGTAATCATCCGAAATAGCACTTCTTCTTTCTCTAGTGGATCTCTGCAAAGTTATTGGCTCATGATGCACAGGTTCTTGAGGATCTTGAGTTTGTTCTTCATGAACAACCAAATCATCTTGAGTAAGGGGTTCATTAACAATGCCTTGTGGAGGTTCCGAACTTACTTTATCAAAAGTAACTGTTTGAATCGGTTCTGGAATTGTTACCGATTCTTCCTCCAAGACAAAGTTCCTGATTTTATTCTTCTCCCAAACTCAATATCCTCAAAGAACGTAGCAGTTCCCGTCTCAAAAATTGTCTTTAATGTGGGATCATAAAATTTATATCCCCTGGATCTTTCAGCATAACCAATAAAATAACTACTTACTGTTCGGGAGTCCAATTTCTTTTCATTTGGCTTATAAGGCCTTGTCTCAGCTGGACATCCCGACACATGAAAATGCTTCAGACTAGGTTGTCGCCCAGTCCAAAGCTCATAAGGTGTTTTGGTCGCTGCTTTAGTTGGTACTCTGTTCAGAATATAAGCTGCCGTCTTTAGTGCCTCTCCCGGAGTGACTCCGGTAAGGTGGAATGACAAATCATACTCCCGACCATATCTTTAAGAGTTCGATTTCGTCTTTCAGCCTACACCATTCATGCTAGGTGATCCCGGCATGGTATACTGTGGGACAATTCCACACTTCTCTAGGTACCTGGCAAAAGGTCTTGGATGTTGTTCACCTGACCCGTCAAATCTGCCATAGTACTCACCACCACGATCAGATCTGACAGACTTAATTCTTTTATTGAGTTGATTTTCAACTTCAGCTTTAAATGTTTTGAACACGTCTAGAGATTGTGACTTTTCATGTATAAGGAATAAGTATGCATATCGTGAGTAATTGTCTATGAATGATATAAAGTATTGTTGACCATTCCACAAAGGTGTAGAAAATGGCCCACAAATGTCCGTATGTATCAACTCTAAGACGTCTGTAGCTCTATATGCACCTAATCTCTTCGCTTTGGTCTGTTTGCCCTTAATGTATTCAACACAAACATTAAAGTTTGTGAAGTCAATGAACTCTAAGATTCCAGTTGACACAAGTCGTTCAATTCTATTTTTAGAGATGTGACCTAATCGCCTGTGCCATAATGCTCCTGAGTGAGTATCACTAATTTTACGTTTAGTACCCCGTGATTCTGTATTAAGGGTTTCATTATAAGTGGTCACAGTATCAAGTAAATACAAATTATCATAAGGCAAAAGTGAACCAGTTCCAACAATATCTGAATTAAAAGACAAATTGAACTTATTGTTTCCAAATGAACACAAATAACCTAATTTGTCCAGATAAGAAATTGAAACCAAATTCCGTCTAAATGACGGCACAACAAAAGTGTCTTTCAAATCCAAATAAAAACTAGTACTCAATAACAATTTAAAATGCCCTATAGCTTCCACCTCTACCGATTTTTCATCTCCAACATATATCCATCTTTCAGAATCAGTTGGCTTCCGGTAGCTTAGACAACCCTTTATAGAAACACTGATGTTAGTAGTTGCACCTGAGTCTAACCACCAAGTGTTACTAGGTACTGACGTTAAATTGACTTCAGAACAAACCAAAGTAGGAAATATACTTTTGAGGATCGGAACATAATTTAAATTGACAGATACAGAAACAATTGTAGCTAAATTAAAAACAAGAGAAATAAATTAATTATGCTCACATTATAAAAAAAATAATAATTATAAATAAAATATATATTCAAATAATGGTTTAACCCATCTCAAGACACCCAATGCACCATCAATATCAAGTCTTTGGACAGTAATATTAACTGCTAGAGGTATCTTGTTGTAATAATCAAACATTGACAATAAAACACGTCCAACAACAAATCAGTCTTTGGATTGATTTATCATCGACAAAGCAAATCCTTATAATTATCACATGTTTATCATTACAAGTGTATATGCAATTCGACGAAATATTAATCTTCCTTTGGACCGACTAATACTCGCATGAATATACACAAACACTAACATTCAATATTTTTCATGAACTACCCAATTCAAAAAATGTTACTTTGGTAACTTCTTGACTCAATTTGTTTACAAAAATATTAAACTACCCACAAAAATTGAATATATTAATTATATAGCAAAACCAAATATTGTAACTAATAAAATACATAATTTTTCATGTTGCGCAACAATTAACACTGGAATATTAATTCTCGTGGGGACCACCACACGCACCCAATTCTTTAGTTGCTAATTTACCGGATTAATTCTCCTAGGGACCACCACATGCACCCAATTCTTTAGTTGCTAATTTACTGGAATATTAATTCTCTTCCTTCTCTCTCACTCTTTCACTGTCAAACACATGGGCTTCCCAGCCAAGGGTGCCTTAACTGACCACCCGATCAAGTTCCTCATCCACGGCCGCACGGGCTGGATTGGTGGCCTCCTCGGCATCCTCTGTCAGGCCCAAGGCATCCTCTTCCAGTACGCCTCGGGCCGTCTCGAGAACCGGGCCTCCCTCGAAAGGGACATAGCCGAGGTCAAGCCCACCCACGTCTTCAACGCCGTCGGTTGCATCTTCGAGTACGATTCCGATCATCCTCTCGGATCTGGAATCGGCTTCAAAGAACTGGACACTCCCAATTTCACCGGTTCCTTTTACTCTAAGACTAAAGCCATGGTAGAGGATCTGCTTAAGAACTACGATAATGTGTGTACCTTGCGAGTGAGGATGCTTATCTCGTCTGATTTGGGAATTTACCCCAAATTTGAAACTATATTTAAAATTTGGGAATTTACCCCCAAATTTAAATTTAGGATTTACAAAAATGGGAGATTATTCTCCACTTAGGTTATGAATTGAATAGAATCTAAATTTTATTAAACGTAATTTCCAAAAAACAAACATTAATGGGTTGTTTTGATACCAATTGTTAGGTTAAACTGTAATTGAATATGATCTTCATTCTAATGATCAAATATATATATAATCTCATACTGTAAACATGTTATAAACTAAATGCGAAAGCGTACCTGAATTGACCATAATGACGATATCTTTTGACAAACACTTTTGATTCGATCTTGTGGTCTTCCACCTGAATAGCACCTGTACTTCCCTCTTGATTTTCTCTCTTGATGGGGATAGAAAGAAAAGAACGGGACTGTAACTACGTTCTGTCTACGTGCTCCCAGAAGGGGACCATGACCCCTTAAAATAACCAAAATTAGGTTAATTACTTAAGTTTTAGTATTTCCAATTTGACCCCTCATCAAATTAGAAATTACTCTATGGTCTCTACACAATTTTATTTTTATGACATATGCCTTTAACCAAATCTTTTTAATTTAGTCAGATCACTTTATTATTTGGCTTAATAAATAATGATCTTAACACATTTAAATATGTATCATATATATACATGACCCAAATTTTGCCAACAACCAGTGCTTTCATTGCTATTGACATGCCATCGTCTGTAGACAAAGTAGAGATGTATGCTAAGCTGTTTTTCACAATGCTGAATCGTTCAGGATGCAACAAAACCAAAGCATCATCTGAGATGAAGTCTTGTACTATTTTCAGTGCTTCCCAGGCATTTTTGCTTAGAGCAGTGGTTGCTGATTTATAAGGGGAATGTGAAGCATGACTCTTAGCAACTAGAGATAGAGAAGCTTAAAATGTGTCCATTTCTTCATTATCATGTTGAATTTGTTCAATTTGATTTCTAACAGAGGGCTCAATTTTTGTTGGAAACATAGTGGAACTAGTTCCCAAGTGTAGATTGCTCCTTGATCTTTTAATTCTACAATCAACTAGTTTTCTGAACACTTCATTTTCACGGCAAGTGCTACAGTCGGAGTCATGTATTTCCTCTATTTGACCTGAGTATAATATATTATTGATAGAAGCAAGTGAAGAAATAACATCATGTGGTAGTAGAACTATACAAATATAAAAAGATATTATTTTGAGTTATTAAAAATATTATTTTGAATTTAGTTAGATATTGTTTCATAGTTTTATATTATTTTAAATTATTAAAAATATAAAAAATTTATGCTTATAATAAAATAATCATAAGGGATGTTCAGATAATCTCTTCCATACTCACCCTGTTGAGTTACAAATAAGTAATTTCAATCCCTTTTAATTCATGATAAATTAAAAATTTCACAATTCAATTTAATTTATTATGAATTAGTAAGTTACATAAGTTTTCTCACTAACTTTTTTATTTTTTAAATTTTATTAATGAAATATGAGAATAATAGTACGAATAATTAATAATAAATTTGAGTAAGAATTGATGATAAAAAGAAGTAAAATAAGATCAATTAATACGGATTCACTGTAACCAAATCCGTTTGATTAAATGAATAAGAAAAAACAAAAATTCAACCCGACTGAAACCATTTGCGGTTGGCCCACAGTTACAACCGTGTTTACAACATAGTAAAAACTATTTATTTACTCGAGACTATGTTAAAATGCTAGTTATCAAGAAGAAAATACTTGTAGTAATTATGTATGTACAAAGGTTAAATTAAAAAAAATTCATGGAAAACTATATTAAGAATAGTGTATGAAGTTGACGACATAAGAAAATGGAAGAGGTAGCCATGAAATTGGTATTAGGGTTTTAAAAGGTATACTAACGAATCGCGAAGAATCTCCAACGCGGAACAAGAACTGGGAAATTGGAGTAGAAAGGTCTGCAATTAAACGACAAAGTCGATTCCTTGGAAGCAAAACAGCAATAACAGAATGGCGAAAGAACAAAGGGTTGCACAAGTGGAAGTGGCGAAGCAGAGATGCAAGTGCGTCATTGATGCCATTGACAAGTTACCTTGTTCCACCAACATCACTCAATCGTGTAAACGAACCCTCCTCAAATTGGCACGTGCCGAGCTCACTTTTCTCTCTCGCCCCTCTTCTTCTGGGCCCCTCAGGTTTCTCTTCTTCAATATTATAACTTTTTTTATTTGACTCTATCCGTGTTTCTGAATCATGTTTTGATTTGTGAATATTCTTGTTATATGTCACTCGTTTGAGTTCTTAGATATGACTAAATTTGACCTACTTAGTGAATGTGGAATTTTGGATCCTTAAACCAAGTTGAGTTGAGCAACATGATATGTTCATGGCTGTCTTGGTGAGAAATAGGACTCATTTTTTTATGAGATAACTTTTGAACTTGCTTTCGAAATTATTAAATTCCAACCAAACATGATCATGGGAATATCATTGCTGGCTAAAAAATTCCAGGTGGTATGATTCTTAGGAATACAAAATCGCACCTTGAAACTAGCGTTCCCAAATTATGTATCTTTCTCTTTCTAAGTGAACTTCTTATGTTACTCAACAGCATGAGAGGATTCAAATTCCTTCTTAGCTTAACCTTAAATGTAAATTGCGGTTGTGGTTTTAGGGTCTTAAAAAATCTTGACATTGCAACGTGGACAAATGCGGCTGATACAGCCACTATTTCAGTCTTGATGTGGTTTAAGAGATCCTAAAAGCCTTGACAATTATGATTTCAGACCTTAACTTAAAGCCTTAAACCTTGCTGAGAACATCCTTTTAGAATGTCATTCATGCCTTTTTATTGAGTATTGAGTCTTTCCCGATTCATCCTATAATTTCTAATGAAGCATTGAGAAATGCTTACTGGCGCAATATTTTATTTGTTCAATTCAAATGAGCCCTACAGAAAAGAGATTTGATTCAATTTATTTGCAGAACTCACATGAAAGGCACCTGATAATAGTGTGTTGCTGGCATTCATCATAAAACATTTACGAGTACCTTTTACTTTATCTATAACTGGAAAGGATTTATTGTGACTTTACTCTAATGTGTAGTGACTTTTATTTTGTTTAGTACTTTTTAATTCTAAATAGAGAATAGCAAACACGTAAGTCTTATTTTGTCATATTTTCATCTTTAAATGAGTACTCTTGGTTAATGCTTTCTATATTACTTCACAATTTATGATAATTTCTATGTATATTGATGAATATACCAGTGTCAACATTGGGCACCTTGAAACGGTTGTCCATATTCTCCAGCAGCCTTTCATAACTGGAGTTTCTCGAGTTTGCAAGTCAATCCCACTCTCACCTTCAGTTAACAGTGAGGAGAGATGTGGTTCTTCTCTTAAACACATCCATGTTGATGTGGTTTGTACCCTCAACAGGAAGCCTGTCTGGATTATAGTATCCGATAGAAATCCAGACTACATTTCTTGGGATAGATGCCATAAAAGTAAGGGTTTAAAGCTTCGCATTCAAGAAATACTTGCTGCTGCCCAGTCTAACTTTGCATTAAGACCTTCCTCAATTATTCTTTTCTTTGCAAATGGGCTTGCAACCCACATTTACAACAAACTTCGAGATGAACTTGGGGCATCTGAAATCGAGTTGGATTTTTCAGTTTTCAGTTCTGACATGTTGGAAGAAACTGAAGGTGACTGGATAAATGTTATTGCAAGATCATATATAAATTCATGTGTCCTTGAAATTAATCCTGCCGATGGCAAGGATGTTGTTCCAAATTTTGGATCTAGTGTTCAAGGTTCAACTGTGGACTCTTCCCAAACAGATCTTTCTGTAGGAAAAGTTGAAACTCAACCACAACAATTGGAAGAAAATGCCAGAATTAGGGACTCATTCCATCCCGAGCTTCCAATAGTTGAAGCCAAAACTCAATCCCAGTCCATAGAAGAGAATGTTGGAACAAACTTGGGTGATACATTCTGTTCCATTCTTATGGGGATGAAACCAAGTTCAATGGAGAACAAATATTTTGAATACACGAAGCCTGGGAGTCTTTTAGGTGAGACTGACATAGTGAATTTTGATACAACAGCTTTGATAGCTCTTGTCTCAGGAATTAGTAATGGTGGAACAAAGAAACTTCTGGCCACTCCCGAGAGTGAAATGAGACACCGGTTTAAGGGAAACTTTGATTTTGTGATTGGTCAAGTAAGTAATCTTTATTGAGATTTCTGCGACTTGCTTTATGTTTGTAACCTTTTGCCTTCTTAAACTTATTTGGTGGTAAAACATTTGATGATTAACAAGAACAACCATTACTTTATGTAGTTTTTATAAATTATTCTTCAGCATCAATTGAACTTATTAAAGTTTTCCTCATTTTTTTATAGATAATGTCTGAAATTCAAAATCCAATCCATATGGAATTTGGTAGAATCCTACATGGGAAGAATGGCCTAATTTGTGAGAGTGTTCTTATGGAATTTAATGAGTTAGTATCAATGTGTGGAGGGCCCAATGAGAAACTGAGAGCTGACAGGTTGATAAATTGTCTCAGGTGAGTTTAATATATGTTTACTTAAAACTAAAGAAAGAAAAATTTACAAAATAAAATTATTTTGACATAATTAGTTTGTTACTGTGTAAATAATCAGTTTTAGGAAATCAATTGGAGGATGTTTTAATATACTTATGTAGTTGCATTAATGATTTCTTTTACCTAATCTTGTATTTATATAGTTCACACTAGAATCAAGTGTTTTTGTTGATACTATTTTTGTAGTATTACCAATGCCTAAAGTTATTTGCAACAATTAGCACTGACAAGCTGAGTATCATCACAGGGTTGTTCCTGATACTCCCTCAGAACGCATGATGGGCCTCCCAACAACAAGAAAGTTGGCATTAAAAAACAAAGTTGTCTTTGGCACTGGTGACCATTGGCATGCCCCTACTTTAACTGCAAATATGGCATTTGTCAGAGCAGTTTCTCAGACAGGGATGTCCCTTTCTACTATTGAACATAGACCAAGGGCCTTAACTGGTGATTAGTTCCATACATGCATGAAAACAAGTCTTGAGGCATTCATTCAGGCACCACTAAAGCAGGTGCTAAAATCATATCAGTTTTGCCTTAGAGCTTAGCAGTGTCAATTTAACTAGCCAAATGGAGTCTTCATGTTTATTTCAGGAAGCCAACCAGGTTTGATTGAATTCCGCCTCTGATATCACTTACCCTCAGGCTGTCAATTGAATAATGGAGAATTTTTAAAGCATTTCTGTAGTTACTGCCAATATAACGATCAGGAAGACAGGCAAGCTTAGTGTCCATGATTTGCACTTGCAAATGCAACCCTGTTAGTGGTGTTGGGTGTATTGCTAGCATGTCATACGATAATGAACGATGGTACTGCACCAGCACCGTACCCTTCTCTGATCTAGAGGAACCTGGAACTATCAATGGAGATCTTTGGTGGAAGTGGTGCTTCCACCTCTAACACGGTGAATTCTAAGTCTGATGATATGCCATGAATGCAGTGAGTGCTCTTGCTATCTCATCCTCTGTGATGGCTACACCTTGTGTTTAGTTCAAGGGAACAAATAGTGAGAATTATGTAATGTTACTGCTCTGAACACAGCTTCCTTATTTGACCTGTCAAGTGTGAAAATTAATTTTGGGAGCTGAATTGAGTGATCTCACAAAAGATACTTTGGTAGGTCACCTACCTTACCTGTGAAAACATCATATTAACATGGTTGATGTGAGCTCCTTTTTCATGTTTTGTTGAGGCTTGGAAGATTGTCTTTGATGCATGTTTCATTAAGAAGCAATAACTTCCGAATGGCATATGCCCATACCCTATTAAATGTGCACTTGTTTAAGCATTTTAGAAATTTCATTCTTTTTTACTCTCAAGGGAAGTAGCAAACTTCCTTATTCAGGTGTTTCAGCATTCTCTAAAGAGAATTTACTTATCATAAAAAAGTTAAACATATTTTAGTTGACAATGCATTTTTTATATCAAAAAACAAAAAAATGGAGCCCAACTCTCGTAAGTAGATTGACGATTCATAAAACAAGGTCAGAAATTGGAATTCAAGACAAATTAGATTTATAATTCATAGAACAAATGGAAGCTCCAGTCCCCTAAGGATTATGTAACTAATTAATGGAAGAAGAAACGAGTACTAAAATAATATTGAAAGCTGAGAAAATACCGTAGGACGGAAGGAAAATAAATGGTGCAAAGAAATTTTTGCTAACGGAAGTCTCAAATTTTGGAGTTGTGGAAAAAGGAATCAAAAGTTCTCCATGAAAAGAAAACTAAATAAAGATGGCCAGAATTTGTCAGAGAGCTTTGTAGAGATGACCAGTAAAACCATGACGTGTGCCTTCCCCTTTGAAGCTGAGAAAAACATCATATGTGAAGGAAGATGAACGTGATCACATAGCCATGAGAACTGGAAGAAAGTACACTTCGTATGACTGTGGTGGATGGATGTAAAGTCTCCAAACACATGTGTAGGGTTTCCAACATGAAATAAAGGAATGCATCAAGTTTGATGGTGCAATCAATAACAGCTAAATATTTTCGTCATTCTCCCATACGAATAATACTAACAGTGAATGATGCTGTGTATCTTGTATCTTCTACATCACTTTCTACTTTCTGAAATTAAACCAAACTTGGTGATCTTCTTCACTAATATCCACTGAAACCTTCCACGAAGATTTATAAAACTTATGTATTTACTTCTATACTATAAAGTGGGACTCTTCAACTTAGATAACACTCTTCACTCTCTGAAACAACATTCTCCAACACGTATCGGATTAATCTCTTTCTATTTATATGTATATTTTGGTTTTCATAAGTATTTATCTGTTAATTTAAAAATAACTTATATCACATTTTAATTGTTTCACTTTACATGTAAAATATAAATTTATATATTTTAAAATATTTTACAAATTTTAATGATATAAAAATAAACATTAGGTATGTGTTTTGCAAGACTTTAAGATATTAATTATTTCATTAAACTAGTAGCAACTAGTCTAATAATTCATTAATATTGACAGATCACCTGGTTTCTTAAGGATGTATAGTGTAATAACTTTTCACTATGGCTTAGAATGTATTGGAAAGTAGAAATCGACCTCTGTCCAGCATATTCTTTAGCATATGTAAGTTTTTATAGTTGAGCTAAGACAAAAATTAGCATAATCAATATTGTCATTACAAGATGCTACTCTCACCAATGTTCAATGACAATAGGCAAAGAAGTTTCTACATTCTCTGAGGCATTGCTTTCTTCAATAACTTTCTCTTTTGTAGAAAAAAGAAAAGAAAAGAATCTGCTGGTAATCATCTTGGCATGTGAATAACACAACGCAGACACTTTCCTTCCTTCATGAGATTGAAAGCTTTGTTGATGTCATCAAATGGCAAATTGTGTGTTATGTAGTCATCAATCTGGATTTCCTGCATATGAATCATAATATTAGTAGTTTAGTACATGTTTTTTGCTAAAACTACTGTTTACGAATGCATCAATATTATCAAACTAAAGAACAAAAAAAGTAAACCCTTGAGGAAAAAGGTATATAAACAAGAGTCTAGTTCTAGTAGCCTTTGAGTTTGCATTCTCAATTCCTTTCTCTCTGGCCACTCCAGAAAATCTCAGTATCATACTTTTGACTGACTTTATAATAAAGAGTAAGATTAGGTTGCAATTATATGGTATATCAGATCCCATGCTAAACGTTGTAACCTAAGATTTTTCTTTTTCTTGTGATAATGATAACATGCAATTGTCCTCAACTTTATCATTAATAAACAAAACAAGTGAAGCAGATGGAAGTAAAAAAGTGTGGCACACGGAAGGCAAATCAACGTACACTCGGCACTTTTAGAAGGATAAAATAAGAAAGAAAGATGAAATTAGCCTATGCATATAAGTTTATTTGTAAAAAATTTTCTCACATTAGCTTCTCAAAAATCTTATTTTAGCTCATAGACAAGCTAATTTTAATTTATGTATAGAAGTTCATTTCATTTTTCCTACTTTTTTTTTCTCCTATAAGTTCTAATGGAAAAACATCATTTTCAAATGGATTCTTAAATCATTTATAGACAAAAACATATACAAGCAGAGTGAGAGTGAGAGAGAGAATTTTCTCAGGGTCATGCTACAACAACTGTTTACCTTTGCAAAAATTCATTTGAATCATTAGACTTATCTTCGTATCTGTGTGGTGTCAGTTAAAAACATATTTTCTGCACAAATCATCATGAAACCTAATGGTTCTCCACATTTATTGTCTTATCTACTTAAGTGATAACATCACTTAATTTCTATCTTCTCAGTAGAGTTATTCTAATCACTAGCCAAAAATCATAACTACTTGTGCAATAAAATGGCATTTTCAAATAGTCATAGAGAACCATTTATGCAGAAGGTAACAGCCTAAATTACCCGGCTTACTAAGAATTGGTTTGATAAGAATACTGTTGGATATCTGAGGAGAAACAATGGATGATCTTTTCACTATGAGCTAAGAGCCTACTATATTAGAGAATATAATACTATCTTCAGTTCAAAACTTTAAAGCAATGAGTTTGTAGGTCTTCTTCCGTATATATTACTCACCTTAATTACACTTGAATCCCAATAAATACGTATCCAATATGAAAGGGAATGCATGATATTTTGGTCAAGAAGTAAACATAGCCATGTTTCACCATAGAGTAAAAATATTTAATGTAGTCATGCTAAGAGAAAAAGGAAACATTCTGGATACTGTTACTGTTACCTTGTTGACATACTTCTCTACTAATGAAGGAAGATCAGATTTTGGTTTCCATCCTCCAAATAGAGATCCTTTCAATGTCCTTCCCATTAGTAGTAGTCCATAATGAGCTGACATCTCAGGCTTCGCCTTTGGCACACCAAGTGTTACAGTCAAACCCCACCCCTATGCAACCAAGGAAAGATAAAATGAACCCTATTATAATGAACAAAAGCTTTTAAATGTCAACACACTAATTTTAGGTCTATATAGAGTATTACATCACAGCATGACTGCAATGCAGTGGTTATCATATCAGTGTCACCTACACATTCGAACGAGAAATCCGCTCCACCATCAGTAATGTGCTTAATAACCTGGAAATTTTCAGCATATATTAACGGTTGTTATGACTTCATAACATTTTTTGTATACATACTCATAGTTTTTGTGCTGAAGCAAAATCAAATTTAAACAAAATAAGATTAATGATAAATTTGTATGGATCACATGTAATATTTGATCTTGTAGCATGCTTCGGTTATTCATCAATTAAAGTTATATACAATATTCTCCATACGAGAAAGTATGAAAAGTTAAATCAGCTAATTTTGTAATGAGAAGATCAACCCACCTGAGCAATAGGTTCTTTATAGGAATTTGTGTCAACAACTTCAGTAACCCCAAAAGCTTTAGCTGTGGTAACAACCAACAAGACAACAATAAGTAAAACTAGGGAATAATTGAATATAAATTAAAAGTGATTTGAGGGACTGAATATGGTACCATTTTCACACTTGTGTGGATTGTTGTCAACACCAATTATTCTAGATGCACCTCTTAGTTTTGCAGCTTGAGCAACCTAATTGAAAGGAAAGTTAACTACAATTTGGAAAATATTATCACTCAGTCTGTTGGGAAGCTAAGAAAGATACAATTGCTTAGTTCCTTTACTTACGGATAGGCCAACAGTTCCAAGACCAAAAATCACCACAGTTGATCCTTCTGACACATCAGCAACATTCCATGCTGCACCCAGACCTAATGTTGAAATGCAATGACTCCCATAATCAAACAAAAATTAATATTTATTGATGACATTAACAACACTAATTGGGATCGTTGGCTGAGATTGTCTAGCAAGAAGGAGGAGGAAAATAAGTCCAGCATTTGTGTTATGCCCTAAAAATTCATCCAATGCGGCTTAGATCTAACAATTGCATCCAGTGATCCAATCTTTAACTATGCCACTCACTATGGCTCAAACATCATCAAATCTAATATCAAAACATTTTAACACTATCTGATGTTTCCATAACCAATCATTTCAGGACCTTTTGGTGAATAATCCGAAAGTCCAGTAGAGTTTGGATCACATTTATAATCAAATTAGTTTCAAGTTTTTCCGGAAGTCCGGAAGCAGCGACAAATCATCAGTTAATATCTCTAAACACGCAGATGATGCAATTAAGAGTAATTTTTTTTAACAAATTGGATCAAACTCATCAATTAATGTTACAATTGTCTTCATACAAATTTGTTGTTTTCAACAACTACAAGATATTAAAAGAAAACAATGCAAAACAAAAATATGAGGACTTTTTGCAGGGTATAAACCTATGTGACAAGCATCTATGAGCCAGGTGATGGAGCGGTTATATGCCCTAAAATTAATTTAAACTGTAAAGAACAGTAAACCTTTGACAATCAATCGGTGCAGTAAGATATGCAATTGGAATTGACAAAATCAAAACAACATAAAAGGGAATAATTATCTTTTTAAGTTCTAACTAATTTAAGAGCAAATCAGACCAATTCACTTGGTGACCTGCAGCTGAGAGGATTACACTTGTGACAAGATTACAATTATATATATATATATATATATATATATATATATATATATATATATATATATATATATATTTCCTTTATTTATTTGCCAAAGCCCTACTGTTTCTTTAACATTCAAGCAGCTGAATACACAGACAGAAGTCATGCCTCCTCTAAAACCATCCATGGGAAATAACAAGAAAAAGAAAATCAGACAGACTAATGGCTATTAACCAGTTACTACCTCAAATAATTCAAGTACATGGGTTTAATTTAAGGATTCAATGCTGATCTAAAACTCTTTGATCTATTCTGAATTTTGTAGAACTAATAATAAACACTTGAAACATTTACCTGCAGCTACCCCACAGCTCAGAAGGCAAATTTTCTCAAGAGGTGCATGGGGGCTGACTTTCACTGCACATCCAGAATGGATTACTGTATATTCACTGAAACTTGAAACAGCACAATAATGATAAACAGGCTTCCCTTTTAATGAGAAGCGTGTCTTCTGATCACTATGCATTAGACCCCTTCTTTCCAATCCTAAAACTTGACAAATGTTACTTTTTCCAGATGTGCACTGTCTGCATGCCATGCATTCTCCAATGAATACTGTTAGTACATGGTCACCCTCTTTAAATTCAGTCACTCCCAGTCCCACGCTCTCTACAATCCTGCAAAACTATACTAAATATTCAACATCTGTTGAGAAATTTACTCATTTTGCCATGATTAAAGTTATGTGCATGATGCAACAATTTATCACTTTTTAACATCGGTAATATTCTGTGTCTGTGCTGATGCTGCGGCACGCTCGTAGATGATTGTTGTCATTCAAGTGAACTTGGTGTATGTATATCAGTATTTGATGCTATTCTCGTACTAGCTAATTGACAACTTATAAATAAATTCTTCTTAAGAAATTCAGAGAAAAAAAATTTTGAGGATCAGTAGTACTAGTGGCTAATGTTGTCTTAGTCCAAAAATAGAAATTAAGAGTAGGTTACCCTGATGCTTCATGGCCAAATATGCGAGGAAATATAGCCTGCACAAAAAACACATTACGTTAAAATGCTTAACTCCATGCAGTCATAAATCTTCAACAGAAAATACAATAATCTTGTGAAAAAAAAAATTATAAGCAGACTAATCTAACACACCACCAATCATCATTAAGCTTAAATAAGAGACTTGATGCATATTACTTTTCAAAACTCCAGGTCGTTTTACATAAGTTTCAACTTAACATATACGTGGGACATGAGAATTTATGGAGGTAATGTCAAAGATTTAAACTAAATTTTTTATTTTATCATATTATTGGATACTTAAAACAAAAATCGGTCTTATATAAAGAACTTGAAACTTACTTAACCCTTAACTTCTATAGAACAGAAGGCATAATCTTGAGGAACACAATATTCAATTCAAGATTTATCAGCAAAACTATAATCAATCATATCAAGCATCGACAGGTACACATTACCTCATGTTATTCAATTACATCGCATAAAGAGTGGTTTCTAGACCCTTGTTTCCCAAAATATGATTCCAATAATTTTCATTAGTTTAGCTTTAATACATGTCAGTGTAAGGACTTGGAAATCACATTAATTACTATTTTTAAAATTACAGAAGTCAATAATTTTCAATGAAATGCCAATCCATGATTGGATGATGACGTGAAAAACCTTTGCAGTGTCAATGTATGCCAATTAAATTCTAGATTTGAAATTCCAAAAGATCCCTAAAATGAAATGATAGCAAGACTTACATGAGATTCCCAAGCAGAGAGATCACTGCGGCAGAGAGAGGTGGAGACAACCTTAATCCTAATCTCCATTGGTTGGGGAGGACTGACTTCCACTTCCTCCATCACCAGAGGTTCCCCAGCTCCCCATGCCACTGCAGCTGTTCCATGTTCCAAATGTCATCATCATTAACAAAATCCACACCATCCCATGTTCATCATGAACAATGGACAGACAGAGTCATCAAAAGCAGAAATGGAAAAGGGTGTTTACCTTTGCAGGTGATGACTTGAGGGGTTGCCATGTTGGTGAGTGGAGAAGAATTGGAAACTGAAAAAAAGGAAAAGGGTGGAAGAGAACTTGAAGTAGCTGTTGTTGTTGGTAGTGGTGGTAGGTAGAAACTGTTGAGACATGGAGTTAGTTGGAGACATTAGTTTCAAGATATAGTAGCATTGTAATCTATATAACATGAATTTTTTCATAGAAATAAGCTTTGTATTTGTTATTTACAAATAGAAAAATTGTTTTATCTTATCAATCAAAAACCAACAAAAATAAAAAATGTTGTGTAAGAAGAAAAAGAAAAAAATTAGTATGACGATAAATTAGGGAATTTAAAAACAGCAAATCAACTCACAAAATCAGAAAAGATATTCTTAAATATATTCTTGGTTCCTTCAAATTATCAGATTTTATTTTTGGTCTAGTAAATTTTTAATTTTTTTTCTTTTTTATATTAAATAACTTTTTTATATTATTTTATCCTCAAAAACACCATCTACATCACTTTATTTTCACAAAGTTATTTGAACGGCTTTCAGAATTAAAAGCAAAATACAAATTTATTAAAAAAATAAAGCATTAACCAAAAACATGGAAAAAAAATGATAACTAATAAATCATCGAATAAGCTTTAAAAGTTAGGAGACCACGTAAAGAAATTGGACGAAAATGATTTGAGTTAAGTTGAATTAATTAAGTAAATTGAATTAAATTAATCTTTTAACTCTAAACAAAATTAAAAAAATAAGTTTTTTTTTTATAATTATGATAGTTACTTTAAATATGATTTAACTAAGTCTTTATGCAGTTTCAGCACCTCATTTATCCAATAAATGTCACAATACAGCAAACTTTTCGCTTAGAAGTCGTGTTAATAAAATTCACGATAAATAACTAATTTACTCCTAAAATTTGTAGTGTCTCTGATTTACTATTAAATTATTTCTTAAAATCATATTTTAATTACAAAATTGTCTAACAAAACATTAAAATAAAACATTATTACAAGACATTTTGCACATTGAAAAGATAAAATAAATATTCTTTTTTTTTCTTTCAAGAATTAGATCGAGAACATTTCACACGTTTAAAAATATCGATCATTTTAAAAATAAGAAAATATTTCAGGACCAAGAAAGAAAATACAGTGGTCAAAACCTCCTATGTTAAATTGTTGATGCACACTATATGGACATTATGTTAACATCATTACACAAGACAACTTAAAAGTTAATCTCAACAAATCATTTCTTCACTAGAACATAAATAACAACACGATTGCTGCAATAATCAGGGTGCCAGAGTGTTTGATCCACACGGCCAATAGTGAAATTGTTCATTGCAGCTTCTAAGAAGTACTCAAGAATGGCATCTGAAATCAGAAATTACTATTTAGTACTATGTCATGGATTGTGGTCCCCCAATAAAAGAAAAAAAGAATGGAAGTCTTTACCATTTCTGAGTTCTCCAGCCAAAAATATTGTTGTATTTGGTCCAGAGAGATGCATAAGTGTCTCTAGCAGATCCACAACTGCCCCCTCACTGTAAACTACATCAGATCCTACCACTGATAACAAGAATTCATGTATTGAGTCAGTACGCTATTCATATAAATAGTTCAAAATTTAACAGCATCTTATGGAGCTCTCATATACCAAAAGCACCAAAATGGACAATTTTTGTGTACATAGCATTATTATCAAGAGACTCATGATGCTAGAATGTAAAAAATAAGTACACTTCTGTTATGAATTGAAGTGAATATTTTCATGGAACCATGGTGGCATAAGTTGTAACAACATTACTTATAATTCTAATTCTAATCTTGCAAAACAGGTTGTATTTGCAATGATCACACAGCGAATCCTAGAATAAAAACATAAAAGAAAGAAATAAAAGGGAATGCTAGCAAAGTATCACATGATCACATCAGACACAGGTAATTCCAATATTTAATAAGGCATTTAGATCAACAGAAAAATAAAATACAATTAACTACAAATCTATGATTAGAATGATGACTGACTGTATTCACAATTTATAGCAACACAAATCACTGTGACATGTCATAACTTTTCTGATGCCTGTAATTTATAGCTCTTAGCTGTGAGAACGTGCTGAGGGAAAGAGTTATTACCGAAATCAGGTGTGGGATCAATGAGTTCTGAGTCAGGATCTTCTCCCCATGTAAGTTCAGTTGCTATTACAGAGCCACGCAGAGAAACATGTTTCATATTGGTCTCAATGTTCTTTCTCAGTAATTTCATCCTATCTGGCAGATCAGTAACAACAACTTCACCACCCAAGAGGGCTGCAATACAACTAAGGAAGAAAATAAGAAAAGTGCATCATAGAATGAGTAAGAACAACCTAAAAAATAATTGTTCTCCATTTGCTAGATAACCTAGAGCTAGTTGGGGTTAAACTTGCTAACAACCAGTTACAGAAAAGGAAAAGAAGATGAATTGACGAGGTGAAATGAATCAACCTTCTGCCATAAGACAAAATCAACTTATACACGACAATTAATGTGGTAGCTAGATAAGGGCTTAACAAAAAGTTAAGGTGGAAAAGTAGATTTAAACTAGTGGAAGAAATTTGATTCCATTTATCACCTTAATTCATCTTATTTCTCTTATTTCTTCACCTCTAAGGGCTTGTTGAAAAGTTAATCCATATTATCGCTCGGTTGTAAAGAAAAAATAATACCAGAGCTCAAAGCTCTACTTTCCTAGTGGAAGAATGAGAATGCAATTGAACTTACCCAACCAATCCACAACCAGATCCCAACTCAACGATCTTCTTTCCCTGAAGGACAAGCATCCCTGTGTCAACAGAATGCTCCAGAAACTTCCCCAATACAACTCCACTATCCCACATCACCGATCCAGTTACTCCAGGTTTTCCCTAAAATCAAAATTCGAAAATACCATAACTTTGAGCTGAATTCAACGATAGCCAATCCACGGTATGATGGAAATTTCACCATTAAATCTTAAAACAACAAACCAACAATTAGAAAAGGCACAAGCTAAAGCGGAAACTGTTTGAGCAATAATGTGAATTATCCATGTCAACAGAACCATTACACATAAACAAGCACAGAATCACATGTCTCTATCCCTCAATCACCAAAAACACGCACGAACAACAGGATAGGAAACACATCAACACACTTTACAGTTAGTTATTAAGTTAGTTTCTTCTGTTAGTTGAGTCTTTGTTCCCTTGACAATAAGAGTATATTATCCAAGATACTCCAGACACTTAATATTGATGGTTACTGAATATAAAGTTAAGTTGTTCATTCTCTCAAATTCAAAGCTTCAATAATACACGTAATCAACAAAGGCTATTGCAAGATTCTAGCTTTAAACCAACAATAATCAACAGCATGGCATTTTGTGAAAAGGGTAATCATGTTCGGGCTAAAAAAACAACCATGTACTCAAGTTTCAACCCAAACCATGATGAAAATATCGACGATTACTCAATGTGAAGTTAAGTTGTTCATTTTCTCAAATTCAGGGCTTCAATAGCTCAAGTCATCAACCAGGGTTGTCCTGTCGCAAGCTTTCACCTTTAAGCAACAGCAATCAGCACAATGGTAAGGTAACAACGTTCGGGCTAGAAAAGCAACCGGGTCATAAAGTTTCAACCCAAACTACGATAAAAATCAAAGCTTTTTACCAATAACTTTTTTAACTAAAGCAGTAAGGATAAGAGAGAATGGTACCAAGGAAGAAGGGGATTGAAGAATAGAGAGAGAGTGGCCACAAGTGTCGAGGGAGAGTTGCAGAGAAGATTGAGAGACAAAAGCGTTGGGTTTGGAAAGCGTGGGTTGCTGAATACCCCAAAGAAGCATGGTCTCCTCCGCAGCAGATTCCTCTCCACCAACCATCAACCGAACCTCACCACCGTACGATCCCAACTTCACCATTGGTGCCACTGCTTCCTCTTCCTCTTCCTTTTCCATGGTGTCTTCGTTCTCCCTGTTTCGGATTCACTTGGGTTCGTTTTATTGTGGCCTTTTTTTTATTCGAAATTGAAACAAACAAGGCCTTGTATTTTTGTGTAGCCCAATAAGATAGGGAGATTTTCTTCATGCACTCCACATTTTCTTACTTCACCCCCACAAATATATTTGATAGACAAAAATACCCTTTTAAAAATCTTTGACACATTCTAGAAAAAAGTTAACCGAAATATATTTAAAAAGACATTCGAAAAATAAATAAGAGAGTGAGAAGTGTTTTTTGGAATAACCAAATGTTTTTAAGAAGAAATATTCTGAAATTAAAGAAAAAAATTCATTATTGATTCATGATAAAATTGTTAATGAATTAAAAAAATTCGTATCAATATAAAAATTGAATTTATCCTTAGTTAATGTTGTTTGTGTGCTTTTTATTTATTAAAATATATTAAAGTTATCAAATAAATTATTGATGTAATAAAAATTTCAAATTTTTCATATCTAATCACGAAACTTTCATTCTTATTTTTATTTTAGTGAATAAACACTTAATAAAATTAAATATCTTACTATGTATTTGAATGTTTTCATTAAACTTTTAAAACTACATCATGTTTACACTTAATTTTTTTTATATGATTATTGATAAAATATAAAAATAACAATGATAAAACCTTTAATTTCTACAAAAAAGAATTAACTTCTCTAACTATAGTTTGTGTTTGGCTTTAATTTGAAAACTGAGATAGTGTGAGTCAATTCCGCGTCCAATCCTTTTTTTAGCTTTCAAAAAGCAATTATTCAAAGTTGTTTTCCATTCTTACTACTTTTCTTTACTAACTTTCATTTATAGCTTTTATGGTTTGACTCTTCTCTGAATGCATATTTGTCAAAAGTCAACACATTGGAATAGAATAAAACCCTAAAGTTGACTAGTGAGTCCATTGATTGCTACAACTGCTTAAAGAATAGGTAATAATCATTTACAATCCACTAATTTACTTGACTCACAACGTCTTAAGGAATTGAAATATCAAAATTTAAAATTTGGGAATAATCTACCTTAAAAGAGAAGAAAAGGGGAAATTTTTAAAAAATCATATATAACAATTTAATATTAGATTAGATGACATTGTAAAAAAATTTACATTGACAACATATTCCAATGGATTTCAAATAAACTAGTGCAAACACACTTTCATATTCCTATGTAGAGAATATATATTTTAGTTTGAATGGCAAGTTCTTCTCCATAAATATACTGAAGTTCATCTACCCCACTGAATATGTAATTTATGATTTTATCAGTTGTTTCCAAGTTTGCAACTATTCCAGCATTCAGAGTCAAAAGGTATTTATTTACTAGCAAGGATCCAACAAGAACAAACCAATCATATTGCATAAATTAAGTTATAGTATTCTTCTTTATTTAATGCCAGATATTCTACACTGCACATAGTTTCAATCTTACTCAGCAGAATTCTGCTGTCACCAATGATTTTTCTTTGATACAAATTTCAATTTGGATTCTCTGCATACAAATATATCAAAACTTTGTTGATATTTTAAATGTTTTTACAAGAAGACTATTCAAATCTCTCAGTATTGATGCTTTAATTACAAGTCTTCATTTAAGTTGTATTAGTTATACAACAACCCTGTGACAAACTAACTAACCCTCTTTTCATTCTTGAACACAAAAACCATTGCCTCAAGTTGCTGAACCTATTTTTTCACTAACATATGGCATCCTGGGGAATTTATTTTGTTCATCATTCACTGTCATCCTAGCTAGTTTCCTTTGAATTCTTAAGAAGGGGAGTAGCATCATAGTAGTAGCCAAAGTTCTTCTCTCCATAAAATAATGGTTCTCCTAAGCTTTGCAATATATGTAGGGCGTCCTTCATGGTAGGCCTACTAGTAGGCAGTGTTGCAGTGCACATGATACCAAGTTTGAAAACAGTGCACATTTCATCTAAGTAACTGGCTTCCATGACATCTTTGTCTAGCAGTTCTTCAACATTGTCTCCAATCAGAATGTGATGCCACGCCCACTCTGAAAGAGATGAGTGTTGGTCTCCATAACTTGCTTCTTTACCGGTTGTCAGTTCCAATAGAATCACCCCAAAACTGAACACATCTATCTTTTCACTAACTCTGGTTGAGTGCACATATTCTGCAATTCAAATGTGAAAAGTTAAATTGAGAATAAACTTGTATGCAATGGAAAGAGAAGTGCAACTCTCTATTTTTTGCTAAGATTATAATTATCAATCACTTTAGTTACTTTTTTATTTTACAAAAAAATCATTTGTCTTGACTTTGCAAAAAAGTCATCCATTTTAGTTTTTTCTATTCACAGATTTTGCTCTTATAATGTGAAGGAAATGTATTTTCTAATCATTCATTTTGAAAGTTGTTTATTCTCTGGAGTGCATATAAGAAGACAAATTTTTAATTTTCCCTTGTTAACCACAAAAGACTAAAGTGAAAAATTAGTAAAATCAGGAACCAACGCATAACAATTTTAGGACTAAATCTAACTTGTACTAAAAAATAGCTCAGAATTTAACTGAGCAAAAGAAATAGTATTTGCTAGTTAGGAAACAAAAAAGATTGTATGTCACTCACCTGGAGCAAGATAGCCAAATGAGCCAATAACAGCTGACATGGTGTTAAGTTGCTCTGGCTTGATTAACAACTTTGCTAGTCCAAAATCAGCAACTTTTGCATTGAATTGAGGATCCAAAAGTATGTTGCTTGTTTTTATATCTCTGTGAACAACAGGTGGTGAACAGTCATGGTGCATGTAGCTCAAACCTTGAGCAACCCCAATGGCTATTTTCAACCTCTTTGGCCAATCAAGGACCACTTTATTAACTGAACCTGGCTTAACCGTCTTGTGCAGCCACTTATCTAGGCTGTGATTTTCCAGATACTCATATACAAGGAGCATAGAATCTTCATTAGAGATACAACAGATCAACCTCACAATGTTGGTATGACGAATGTTGCTCAATATGCTCACTTCCGCACGGAAGGAGCTCTCAAGCTTCTTGTCTAACTTTCTGTTATTCCAAATCTTTTTCACAGCAACATAGTCTGAACCAACATCAATGCGATATACTGTACCATATCCACCTCTACCAATAATGTTTTGTTCTGTCATTGATGAGACAATGGTTGATTCTGTGAAATTCACCCTCTGAAAGGAAATGAGCTTCCAAGAGTTATCTAATCCCTGCTTTCTCTTTCTTTGATATCTAATAAACAAGAGTGATGCTAAAAGGGCCAGTAAAAAGGCTACTACTACTACCAAGCATATAACCAAACCAATAGACCAAGATGAGCCTTTGCTTGTTTTTTTAAGGCCAGAATTGCACAAGGCAAGGTTCAGTGCTGGGGTGTCAGAACAAAGACCAGAATTGCCCAAAAAGCTACTAGCGTACACAGAATTTTCAAATTCCCTTGGAATCCTACCAGTCAAATGATTATAAGACAAATTAAGATTGGTGAGTCTGGGAGGTAGAGAGGGAACTTGGCCAGAGAATTCATTTTCTGATAGATCAAGTTGACTGAGGACAGGTAACTGACCAATTGCATGAGGGATTTGTCCAGAGAGGTGGTTTTGGCTCAAATTTAGAGTTACTAAGGATTTCCATGATATTATATCTGATGGTAGTGTCCCAGTGAGTTGGTTCTGATCAAGCAACAAGGTTGTTAACTTAGGAAGAGCTGTTAGCTCTTTTGGAATACTTCCATTGAAGTAGTTCTTACTGGCATCAAACACAACCAAATTAGTCCAGGATGATACTCCACTTGGAATTGTACCAGAAAACTGATTGTAACTTATCTCAAACCTCGAAACATTCCAAGATAGCCTTTCAGGAAGCACACCAGTGAACTTATTATGGCTCACCATGAAATTTGACAAATTGAAAGATGTCCAAAGACCACTAGGAATGTTACCAGAAAAATTATTTTCGTGAACTTTCAGGTCCAGTAAACTACTGCAATTTCCTAGTGATTCTGGCAACTCACCACTCAAGTTATTCTCATAAATAGACAAGTTTAGTAACATCCCATGATAGCACAAGTTCTCTGGTAACTTCCCAGTAAAACTATTAGATGCAATCAAAAAGGTTTTAAGCTTTGAGTAACGGCCGAAATCAGGAGGAAGAGTACCTGATAATTTGTTGAAAAACACACGAAAATCATTGAGAGCTGGAAGATTGCCTAAGCTTTCTGGTATCACACCTGACAAACCATTCAAAGACAAACTCAACCATGACAACTGTTGCAGCTTTCCAAAATCATCTGGTATTTTCCCTGTGAGATTGTTCCTTGCAAGATCAAGGTTGACCAAGTTCAATGCCTCAACCACACTTGGTATCTCACCAGAGAGACCGTTTTCGAAAAGATAGACTGAGGTCAGATTCTTCAGCAAGAACAAACCACTAGGAATTCCTCCAGTTAAGCCATTTTTTGACACATCCAGCTTCTCTAAAGCCACCATATCTCCAATGTTCTCTGGGATTTCCCCAACCAAGTTGGTGCCATACAAATAAAACACCTTCAATTTGTTGAATTTTGTCAAGTTCCAAGGCAATTTCCACGTAGGAAAGAGGAAGTTAGAGGACAAATCCAAGTACTCAAGATTGGACAAGCTATCAATCTCAGCAGCAACAGTGCCATTCAATAAGCAAAACTGAAGTTTTAGCTGTGTCAGCTGCTTTAAATTTCCAATACTAGCAGGAACATCGCCATAGAAGTTGGTGGAACCAAGGTTGAGATATTGCAAATTAGCACCCAAATGGTCAATGTCACGAGGAACCTTGCCATCAAAGTTGTTGCCGGAGAGGTCTAGGTACTCCAACTTGGAGCAGTTGTAGAGGGGTGTGGGGAAGTCACCAGGGATGAAGTTGAAGCTGAAATCAAGGTGTGTGAGGTTGGTGAGGTCACAAATGAAGGGTGGTATAATTTTGGTGATGTTGGAGTGGGAGAGAGTGAGAGAAGTGACTGATCCAGTGGTGCATGTGATCTCTGGCCATGAACAGTGAGAGGAAGTTGAATTCCAGTGGGAGAGGAAAAGAGGGTCTTCAAGGTATTGCTTTATCTTAAGCAAAAGTGCATGCTCTTGATCACTCAAGGATTGTGAGCTTGTGTGAACAAGGAAGAAGGACAAAATCAGAAAAATGTGACATGAAAAGTGCACACATGATTGAACTGGTATAATCATCTAGATGATTGTGTGAAAGAGGAAGAGGAAACAAGTTTTTTCTGGGTTTCAGTGTAAGTATGTTAACGTGCCTCAAAGAGAGAAGAAGATGATTTTGGTCAGCACTACTACCATGAACTCTGAATGTGTACGCAGAAAAGTCGAAATGGTAGGCTTGCTTTTGAGACGATTCACACGTTACTGTTACATTTTTCTATTATATTATTTTCTTCTGAATATCTACGAGGAATAACTCAATAAGTGTGTTAATTAAAAGATAACCATATCTTTTTAAGTATATACTTAAAGATACGATCTCTAGAATGTATAAGTATGAAATAACATCTATTAAAATATTTCAATTCTTTATATAAATCTTAATTTAAAAACAATGAATAATTTATTACTTAGTGTCAGGAAGATATAACTTGCATTAATTAATTAATTAATGTAATGATAAAAATTATAAGAAGCTTCGACCTTTAATTATACATATGAAGCCAAATATGAAGAACATGTTTTGATAGTGACGTTGACAATCACCTTGAGTTTTTATTTATAATAAATTAATTAATATTCATTTTATTTTCAATTTTAATTTTATATATAATATTAAATTACAAATATTAATATTATATTAATTTAATAGAAAATGGTTGTCAACAAAAAAATTTCCCTAAAAATAGAGATCTTTTATGATATAATAAATCTCTAAACGTTTTGCCTTAAACATAAAAGCTTCTAGAAAGTCAATGATGCCATTAATCTTTAAAAAAATGGTCAACTCACTAACAATAATATAATATATTATCTTTAACGTTGCTTAGGAAAATAGCTTCAATGCTCCAAATAATCCATTAATAAATTTAGGGTAGCTCCAACCACAAAACTCTGAATCAAATCCACCAATATTAGATAATATGAGAAATCATTATAAAATTATTAATTATTATTATTATTATTATTATTAGGTTAAATTACTCTCATACTTTATGATTTTTAATATTTCTGTGTAGATTTATTTTACATATTTATTTATTTATTTTTGAAAATTGTTTTGGCTTTTGGCTTTTGGATTGCGTGAGGAATTGTTGGTTTCTAGAATGTGACGAATGGCTTTGTATAAGAGAAAAAGAGAGGGGAATAAAAATATTTTCTTGTCGTAAATAGAGAGTTACCTAATCTTTCATCTTTTCTTATGTCACGCTAAATTAAAATGTACCTAATTTTAGAATATTCTCTCGTTAAGTCTCGTCTTTTTCAATCTTTTAAATACACTTTTTAATAATTTCTCATAGTTTTTAATTTCTTATTTCTTTCTTTTAAATTTTTAATTTATGATGAATATTTTCAAGAGGTGTTAATATGAAAAAATTCTAATCACATTAATGATGAAATGGTTTTTCCCTTTCTTCGCCTGCATTTTGTTTCCTTGCTTATTAAAGTTACTTTTATCACTTTCCTCATGGATTTTTTTGAAAATATATATTCTCTGGACACCGTTTAAAAATATAATTGGGGTGAGAGAGGCTCGAACTCTCGACCTCAGGATAACTCAGAGCTATGAGACCTACGCGCTAGCCAACTGCGCCACCACCCCATACACGCTCTTACCTTTAATTACTTTACTTTTTTCTTTAGTGTAACTTTTACATTCCCTCACTTATTACTCATCATTTTTCTCTAATTTAAAATAATTCAGGGGTTTATTTTAACATCAGATAATATTGCTTTATCAACTAACAATATAATTTTTGTACAAAATCAATACACTTATCTTTTATATATATATATATATATATACAATGATTCAATAAAAATTAGACTTATTGACTCGTTGATCCTACCACTAAATTATTGGTTGAATCAAATGAAGTTATGTATTATAAAGTAATATAAATATATGAAATTGTATATATAAGATTGCCACATATTTAGTAAAAGACTCATAATCGTGGTAGTTTAACCTTAGATTATGAGGCTCTGTCTGATTCTTGTCTCTAAAAGATGTAATATTTCATTCCTTAAGTTTCTAAATGCATGAATGATGCCTACAACGATAGACTACTTTTACTCAAGCTGTTATAATGATCAAAACACCAAAAAGGAGCACTAGGGTATATTTCCCTAAGACTATTATTACAAACGTTATTCAAATGAATTAACACAGCGAAGTCAAACTGAAAATGTACTTGTGTTTGCCAATGTTTCTGAACAAGTAATTCCTCAAGGACCACCATCATACTTCAAAATTATGGCAACATAAACAAAACTGGCACATTGAGATGACATGAATTTGCATACAAAATTGTATCTCACATCTACTTGTATAAATTTAGTAATGCACTAGTACTTCACTTTCTTTTCCAACCTTCAAGACTAATGCTTCATACAAGGAACATTTTATGCCTTGACTACAATTAAATACTTTCTCTAAACAAATCAAGCATTCTGTACTAAAACTACAACCTACAAAGACAATGATGGAAAGAAGTAATCTGCCATCAAACTGCATCATCATCATCATCATCATCAGAACTATCATATGCCAGGCCAAGTAATCCCCCACCAGAGTTTTCAACCTTAGGCTTAGCTTCGGTTTCATGTGACCCCAATGGAGCATGTTCCTCAGCTTTCTTCGATCCAGATAAAGATTGTTCCTCCACTTTCTTTGGTCCTGGCAAAGATTGCTTCACTTTTGATGGTTCGTGATCAGGCTTCAACGTTGTGACAGGGGTGTTACCAGAAGCTGGGGATGATTGGTTGCCATCAGATCTTGGTCGCTTAGGTTTAATCTCAACAACTTTTTTTAGCAAATCTTGCTGCCTATATCACAAAAACCCATAAATACTTTGAGAAACATTGAAGCCAGGAAAAGACAAGGAAATGCATGGAGGGACAAAAAGTGTTTGGAAGATCTACCTAATACCACTCTTTGGCTTTGGTTCAACGCGAAATGCCAATGGTACAGATGCAGGTGTTGAATCTGCTAAACTTGCAGCTCTGTATTTGTTGGTGAAGTGGAAACAAAGTAATACATACAACTTCACAAGAAACTTACCAATATCATGTAATATAGGTTTCACAAACTATGAAAAAGGACAAATGAACATGTAAATAGTGCCTAGGTTGCATTTTTTATATATCAATTCAGCAGAAGTTATTTGGATAATGTAAACATATTAAAAAATGTCACACCTCTTCAAATCATTGAATCATATTTCCAGACTAAAAACAGTATTAAAATCATAAAGCTTGAAACATATATTTCAGTCATACTAAAAGAAAGATCCTACTCCAACATAATTTCTTCATCAAAGCACTTGCATAGCATTCCACGTCTTAAATATATGATGTATTCAGTGCATAGTTTCTAAAACTGGACCTGAATGGCTAGTTAGTTTGATTGGATTGACTGTGAACTCGCCTACTGGACAGTCCAGTCAAGGCTGAAAACATTAAATGCCAGCCTTGAACATGCTAAACTCCCAGTGAACTGAACTAACCATGTGAGTCAGTCCATCAAGGTTTGACCAGTTGAGCCAATGCAAGCTGAATGGGAGCATAGCTAAAAACATGCAGATAGGGATTCAAACCCTGGGCAGCACAATTAATGCATGTAGCATCATACTACTAAGTCGGGAGATAGCTGTTAAAAGTACAAGTGAACCATAACCATTGTATCTGATTAACTCATGAAAAATAATTTGAGAGATTCTTAGTAAAGGTATCATGCTTACATCAGCATAAAACTAAATACCAATAAAGACTACTATAATTTATACTCTTGTGTTTTAAGAATAATTTTATCCATAGAAATCTGTTTTTATAGCACAATATTTAAATATTTATATGAGTAACAATGTTTCTTTTATACACATTTTATTATATTTTTACTAAGATAGTTAACATATATATGTTAACACTTTTTATACATTATCAAACTATATGTAGTTTGTTCAAAATATTGGTCCAACCTACTCCACAATCTTAACCATCTCCTATTACCACTTCACAGTCAGATCCAGTTACGAATATATTGATTTAAAGTTTTCAAGCAGCATTAAGAAAGTAAGATGACTCTGATCATACACTAAGAAAAATACATACAAGAATGAAGCAAGAAATTTGTAGTTGTAGGGCATAAACTCAAGATGAAGACAGAATCGTGGATTGTTATGTGTTACAACGACCACAACAAAAGGATATCTTAAATGCCGCAAATGCCCGTTTTTCAGTGCGACGAAGGAGGCGCTCCGCATCCTCCTCAGCTTCCATTTGCTCCTTGAGATAAAGTAAATCATCGCTGTCCAAGGCTGCATACTTAAACTTTAAAAAAGGGAAGATAAAAACTAAAATGTATGTGAAGCAGAAGCAGAAGCAACACAAAGACAAACAGAAGTAAGAGAAAATGAGCAGTACCGCCTCGACCATGAAGGTAACCTCCACGCTCCCCAGCAACCTCTTGCATCTGTTTGCATCAGCCACCCAATACAGGAAGCCAATATCCCTGCCGGGGCATGTTATCAGCAAAATCCCTCAAATTGAACAAAAAAAAAGAAAGAAAAATGCTTGAAAATTGAAAATAAACACTCCCTAATCAAGGACAAGGAAGTTGAAGAAGCCACCAATAAAGACATATTACATTATGTACCTGATTCATCACTCAAGAACAAATCAATCATACATAACACCAGTTTTCATACTTAGTTATTCTGTTCAGTACTAAAAATAAAGCAAACTGCTACTTCATTCAAAACTTTTTCTCATACTAGGTTTTCCACTTAGTTTTGTCAGAACATTAATGAAAATTGTTATTGCGTACGCTTACGAGTCTCACACCATTTAAGAGTCGAAGGTAGTTTATATATCATCTTCAATTAACCCACCGAAATATTTTTTAAAGATAAAACTGTAACAGATAAGAAGTTCAAATCAGATAATACCTTGACCCTAACATGCGGACATGAGATCTGGACACTTGTTCCTAGACGGAACACTATCACTTTAATTCGTTTTTGTTATATTTTCATATTTTTCTATATAAATTATATACCACCCCATCACATATCCGTACCATAGTTGAAGAAATTTTTCAATTCCTCGTACTTAAAACATACCAATGCTGAGTAACACCATACCGTAAGCATATCATGCAACACAGCTATAAGCCTTATTCCAAGGTTACAATTCTAAAGTCCATACAACAATTACAGAACAATCGACAATTAAAGAATAGTTTCTTGAATAATCAAAGAAACTGAACTTTTGGCATATCAAAAGGCATGAAAACCAAATCCAAAATACCATAAAAAGAAAAAAAAAACCCTTAATTATAATGATTTCTTACAAAAAGGATCAGACATTAGATTAGCTTCAACAGCAAACCAAAGCAAACTCGCAAAAGGGTACCAAATTACATATGACATTATTGTTAATATCCACACACACGTAATACAACAGAGGGTGAATCAATGCGCTAACCTTAGCAACCATGCGTTGGAAAGTAATATCCTCATCGTCAATTTTATCTTTTCCCTTACCCCATTTCTTATCTGCGAAATTAACACATACCCAGAAATTAAAATCCACGGAAAATTAAAACTTTAAACAGCAACGACCATTGAAAAAGTTCCAAGAAAAGAAATCAAGAAAATTAAGAAAATCAAGAATGAAATACCTTTGGGGTCGCTTAGATTTGTGTATTCTCTAACTTCTCTTCCTGCCATGGCTTTTTCTCTGCAAAATTTTGTCTTTTGATAAGTGGAAAATGATGAGAAGAGGGAACCGTGAGAGTCTGAATTTCGATTTGATTCCTTAGCTGCGTGCCTGCACTCTAGGGGGAAGATGAGGCTTCTAGAACATAACTCCTCTCTTCTACTTTTATATCATAGTTAGGTTGTTGTTTTAACTTTGTGGGATAAATAATTTGAATTAATTGATGATAAAGAGGAAGTTTGTAAGATACCTGAAATCAAATAAAAGAAAAAAGATAGAATCATAGGTATTTGATCTTCAAAATTTAGAATGTTTTTATTTGATAATTGATTTATTAAAACAATTTTTTAAAAATAGTTTTAATTTTTAATTTTAAAAAGTACAAAATAAAAATTAGTTAATATTTTTTATTATTTTTTTTTATTTAATAATATTTTTATATAATCTATTTTAAAATATTCTACAAATTTTTTTCTTCACTGATACTTTATTATATGTTTAATACATTTTTCATATTAATACTGTAAAGAGTATAAAAGTATGATTTTTAATTTATTTTCAAAAAAATAGTTATTTAAAAGTTATTATTAAAATTATTAAATATATATATATATATATATATATATATATATATATCCTCCTTAATATTTTATCTCATTAATTTGGTTACACTTAATGTAGAAACATCTTAAAAATAATTATTTATTACGTTAATTGAAATCAACTCACTTAATATTAAAAATTGATAAAAAAAGTGCATACATATGTTTTAAATAACTAAAAAAACTAATTTAAAGAAGCCAAACCAAAACGAATGAATTTGATAAAGAATGAAATTATATTTTATATAAACAATTATTTTATACATTTAAAGACATAAAACAAATAATTAAATTTAGTAATATGAATAATTTTTATTAAAATTAATATTGTTAACTTTAATATATTTATTAATATAAAATTAAATAAAAACTAATTTTAAAAATATTAATTAATTAACAAAACTGTGATATACTTGTAAATTTTAAAAATTTGAATTAATTGATATTTGTACATTTAATGATTAAGTCAATATATCACTTATAGCAATTATGAAATACTATTATAGTAGTCCTTCAAATTAGTAAAATGTAAAATAAAGTCTAAAATAAAAATTACTGTTAACTTTTTTTCAAAGTTCAATGTTCATTACTTTTTGGTGCAATCCTTTTATAATTTTTTTGAATGAGTAGATTATTATTTTAGTATGGTTGAACTGAACATAAAAAAAAAAAACACTAAACTGAATTGGTGTATGCTATACAACTTTTATGAGTAATGTAGATACATGTTACAATATAAAAATATAATTTACATCATATTTTATACATGGCAAGTGACAACATAATTTGAACTCTGAAACTCATGTTTGTTGGAGAACTGAGAGAGTACTCAGCAAAAACACTAGCCAGAGAAAACAATTACTGAAAAACAGTGAAGAACTAGGTTTCATTTTGAGGTGAACTTGGAGACATCTTTCAATCTGTTTCACTATGTCTTCTTATTAAGCAGATTTCAAAACCATTCACCAAACGAGCAGAGGGAAAGAAGGACATCCTATCCTCCTTCATTTGTGTCCATCTGTTGATGAAAACATTCAATCAATCAGCTATGGTTAGTTTTGCTAATTTATGATTAAGCTCAAAATCATGGCACTTAATATTGTAGAATAGAGAAATGTCATTAAGATTTTTTTAACACATTCTGTAATGATGATACTATCTAAAACTGATAGAGTGGTTGAAAATCATATAGATTCTGCTAGTTTGAAAAATAAGAATTACCAACTGAAAATGAGACATAAGTAGTAATACTTTCATAAAAAAGAGAATTAGCAAACATGTTATTACTATTTCTGATTCACTCACAAAAATGTATAATTTACATTTTTCAAACAAGAAGTATTAGCAACAGAGTCTTAAATACACAGATATTTTAGTACACTAATAAATTTAAATCTGTAGAACTAAGTGAGAATCATTATCAATAGTAAAAGAATGAGTTAGAAAGTGTTCTGTGATTCTCATTCTCAAATAACAAGTGAAATTTGTGAATCTTGTTTGGTCAAAAAAATGTGTCAAGTGGAGAGAGAGAGAGACATTACCTGTAAGAAGTTACAAAGTAATGAAGAAAAAGAGCAATCTGAAGGCGAGCCAGCTCTGCTCCTGGACAGAATCTGGCACCTCCTCCAAAGGGTGCATAGAATGGACTACTTCTCCAGATTCTCTTTTCCTGCAATCAAATGATAAAAATTAAGAAAATAAATTAAACTTAAAGTACAGAATTATATCTAGAATGGACCAAAATGGTATGAGAAACTAACCTCATTTTCATGTTCCATCCATCTCCAAGGATTGAAGTTTAAAGCTCCACTGTATACTTTCTCATCTAAATGGACTGCTGAAAGAAATGGAACCACAAAGCACCCTTTGGGAATAACAAAATCTACTCCAAACCAGAAAATCTTGTGTTAGATGCATTGACTGCAATAGTACTAGAATGCATCAATTTTAAGTTACAAATCAATTATTAACAAAAAAAAATTGTAATTGGTATGTTACGATCATTATAAAAGAGTTCCTTTATCTACTAATGTTTTGACACACTATTATTGATTGCTTTTTTTTTTTAGTCATTGAGATTAAGAGAATGAACTTGACTAATGAATAATAGTATGAATATTGGATGTAAAAGAAAAACTATCCTAAGACTAACTCTTCTTATAATTTACACATACGCAATTTTGTACCTTGGTATTGAATGTCTTCTTTTGCTTCTCTCATTAACCAAATTGCAATGCCCCCAAGTCTCAGTGTTTCATCAATAACCTGTTTGTGGAAGACAAGAACATGAAAACTTAATTAATACGCTATTTTCCTTTATTGAATATATATATAAAAAAATATACTCTAAATAAATGGAATTTAAAATATGAGAAACAGTGATAAGCTAATCACTTACACATTGAGTGAATGTCATTGCTTTATAATCCTGCCAAGTAAGAAATTCATCTCCAGTCCTCAGGGAACTATGTTCATCCTGTCCAAGAAAATTTTTTGTAAGAATTATTAAACAAATTCTTCTTCGGTTAAGTATGAAAGTGTAGGAAATCACCTGAGGATAGTTTTATGTAACAAATAAACATGAAGGAAAAACAAAATTTCAAGAATAGTTGTGTTATATATATACCAGCAACTGCTTCATGGCTCTAGGACATTGAGTAAGGAAATAGACTGCAAAGAGCATTGTTTTAGTGGTTGTTTCATTTCCCGCAAAGAGTAGATTGATAATGAAGTCTGCAACAGCATCATCTGGCAAGCTTTCTTCCTCTAGTAATCTTCCAAGTACACCATTACCTTCCATGGGAGCACAATTTTGTCTGTGCTCCTCAATGATCTTGTTTATCTTGCTTATGATTTTCTCCCTTGCCTGATATCCAAATAATATCAGCTTCAATACCCTTTGACTTGATACTCCCATCTAATCATATTAGTCTTAGATTTGTGTTTTATAAATGCAATTTCACTACTAGATTAATGATGGCCCAATAACAATCATAAAGGGAAAGAAGGGTGTCCTGTGATAAATTTGAATACTAGCGCAAGAATGAGAAGTTACAAATTAGTATTTCAAGTTTCTTTACTTCATTTAAGATGTTTCTTGAGTTCAATCAGTGAAGGAAGTGATCATGAGAATGACAATTTTTTTCTTTAAGTTGTAGTTCAAAAATCATATGACTCTGTATTTTATGTCTGTAAATATTTATGATTTTAAAAACTTTATTGTTGTACCTTCATAGCAGTGTGATATGCATAGCCAGGGATGTTGATAGGAATGGATAAACAACCATCAACAAAGTCAGAAAACAACTGAGACATTTCATTGACCTGAGACTCACTTGAAACCCCCAATAGTTGATTGACCATTAAATGTATAGCCACCTGAAGTAAATCATGTAGACATTAATTGAAAATGAGCCACTGTCACTAAAAACAAATGGTAACTTTACATATCGGTTGAAATTACTTACTTTCCTACAAACATCTTGAAGAAGAATGACTTGGTTGTTGTTAAAATTGCTCAAAGTTTGGAGCATGACCTTTTGGATATCATTCAAGAAATGGAACTTAAGCTTCTCCAGACGCATCATATTGGAAGCAATTCCATGTAGTTTCCGTTGTTGCTCTCCTTGCACTGTGATCACACCATTTTTACCCACCAAATCTCTGAAAGATTTTGGGTAGCTAGAAATGAATAATCTGCCTTCATTTTGCATTACAAAGCGGTTGAAGCTTGGATCTGCTGACACCACTGCCCATTTGCCAAATAGGCTGCATGAAAATATCTTACCATACCTATGCCAAATGAAGGTTCCATATCTCAGATTGGTTTTCACAAACCATGTAACTGGGTTTCAAGATTTTGCAAAATATTCCCTTAAGAACAACTTACTTTTCTAAAGAACGACGCTCTTCAGAGCATTTTTCATACAGAACAAAACTTACATATAGAAAATACTTGGGGTTTTTTTTCGTATTGTTTTCCGATCAGAATTAGAACTTTATATCAAAAACGTATTGTTAATGTTAATTAAGGCCTTCATTACCTTGATTATCAAGATAAAAATCCAATTTGATTAAGAAACAATACCAAAAGAATTGCATCTAAGTTTGTGGATTAATCAGCTCTTGAAAATTGAGAAACTAACCTGTTAAAATTATTATCTATCTGGTAACTTAAATTCCAAACTCAACTATTTCAAAAGGTAGAATATGTAGCACTTTTGTTGTGGTGGCAAATTGGCAGTAAATACCTCTTCACCATTTCTTCAACAAACTGAGGAGGATGAGAACTTGCCACAGCGTTGTACCAATTGATGCTATCTCCAATCAAAGGCCACCCTCTTCTTCCTGGCGGTAATCTGCATTTGCTTTTATCTTCATTCCTTAACTTGAATTGAATTAATTTTGCCAACATTGCAGTGAACAATATCACAGAGATCATAACTAGCCATGACCCTGAAATATTTTCTCTCATTTTCAGCGTGGAATAAGATGGAGAGAAAAAGAAATCACACCTCAACCTGCCAGAGAAAACTGAATATTCATAGTGAGCCAGACATGGTAATCATTTGTCAATGCAAATGTAACTACTTATAAAAATAAGAAGGAAGAGAAAAGGAAGAATTTATAAGGGCCAAACACGCTAAGTTGACCAAACTTAAGAAGATCTGGTAGGGCCACGTTAACTTAGTATTTACGTGAATAAATCATTCTCAGAATCTATTTTATTAAAACAAATTTCTACATGTACCGATGCCAAGAAAACTAAATAAAATAAAAATTGTGTTGGAGAACTATAAAACTCCATATTGAAAAAGAAGTGTACATAAACACAAAAGGATTGAGTTCAATTGATTTGAATTTTTTTGTCCCTTAATTGCTACAAATCCAACCAAGTCCACACTCTCCTATTAGGCCCGCAGTCACAATTTCTACAAGTTAACTCAGTATTTTTCATGAACAAATCATTCCCAGAATCTATTTTATTAAAGCAAGTTTGAACATGTAAACATTCAACCAAAACTAAATAAAAAAGTGGGCACAAGATCACAATCTGACAGCATTATTTGGAGAATATGAATCCAATTCTTTGTCTCAATATGCAATCTAAAGGATAATCACATGTCTACTACGCGGCTACCCATTAGACTCAAAAACTTTTACTATATAAGATTTGCTGACTGTCACAATCTCACAAAATACCTTACATAGTAACAACCAAATGATAGATGCTATGAATCTTTCTGGTGTGAGAAACACACCCAACTTGATGGTGAAACTTAGAACAGAAGGTGTGACAGTAATTTAATTACCAAGTGGTAACACTAACATACCCTTCAAGAAAGAACAGTCACCTTACAACTCTGCTAATGAAGTAATATTTAGCAATTAAGAACTTGTTGTGTGTTCCTTAGAACATAGAAACATTGAGGAAAGAGAAGAAGGTGTTTCTTGTGATAACTTTGTGGAATATATATACAAACAATCCTCTAATTGACATAGTTTTTTCACTTGATACAATTCCATTATTTATTTGAATTTAACCAATTCCAAAATAATTACAAATTGAAGTTTTTTTATGAACTACGTATTATTGTAAGGTTAATTTAATGGTTCGTATTTAACTATGCTTGATCACATTTTTAACTTAGCCAATCAAAATACTACATGTTGTCTCATTATTATTTAATGGATATAATTAATATGTAATTAGTTACATAATCTAATGCACTAAATAAGTAATAAGCAAAAAATATAATAATGAGAAAGGTTTACATTTCCAATATACTAAAACTAAATATATGCAGACAAATAATAATACATGAACATTACATACTATATATATACATAGTACTTTGAAATTTTTTATCTTTTCATCTTACCTTGCACCTAATCCATTTCTTGGAGGAGAGATTGGGTTTCTTAGGTCAGAATAATGGGTCTAATGGAAATGAATGTGCTAGCATGGAGCCACTAAATGGAGAAGTCAAAGTAGTAAAGGCTTTGAATCCCAATTTTAAGGCCTTTTTCCAGGAAATGAGCACCCTAAAGTGATGCAGTAAATTATTTAAGCATATAAATGTTTAATGCTCATTGGGTGATTGATGTGCACTCAATTATTATAAACAAATGCCAGCAACTTCCAACCATGCAACACAATGCCAGTTATGTCAGCAAACTACTGTAGCTTGCTTCAACAGAATACAGAATAAACCAGAGGAGAAGTATAGATAACCTATACCTTTGATTATCAGCAATGCATGTCATTTATTTATAGCTCCATTAAAGTAAAAAATAAAAATAAAAAAACATTATTTATAAGAACATCGAGAGGTGATGCATTTTGTATAGAAATAGAATGGCATTGTATTAATTGAATTATTAATGTTAACAACATGACTTTATAGAGACAAACATCTATGCATGAGGGTGTCCCCAACTCTAGTGTAAGCAAAGTAACAATTTCTAATATACTTTTAAACACATTATTATTATTATTATTAGTTAAATTTATTGAAAGTTATAAACTTTTATGGGTCTTAATTCTTATTCATCAAGTCTTTCTTCTCAATTTGTAATTTTTAATAAATTTTAGTTAATAATAAAATATATTTTAGAAATGATGTGCTAAAACTTAGTAATTATTATTTTCATATAAATATAATCTCTCTAATTATCCAATCTATTTCACGGTCCTTTATAATGTATTCATGCTTTAAGAAATGGACAATATTATAATCATTCTAGTTATAATAGTCACAAGTCACACACTAAATGTTTATGTAGGTTGATTTTTACTTTTCCAATTAAGAGCATTCCAATGGTTTTGGGGAGCTAACATGAAATCTCGGTTAATGAACTAAAGTGAGAAACTGGATTCAGATATCAAATTGACTTCGCTTTTATTTAAACAAGTTGAGAATTGGCGTTTCTTGTTTGCAAAAGCTACCCCATTAATATGATCATAGAAGCATCTTGCAGTGTTAGAATATACAACTAAATTACTTGAGTTGTAGATATCTTGCAATACCAGCCAAGTGCTATCATTCTTAAATTTTATATTACAATGTTGTGTCAATGGTTCCTCCACATGATGAAATCAATGACGCAGTTTTGTTTGCCACAAAAGAAATATAACACCATCTTTCATTATTTGAAACATACAATATTCAATTCAAGCAGGCATAAGACAACAAACATTAACCTCTCATTTCCTGACAATTTATAAATGCACACGTTTGTTGCAGCATGGATCATTCTTATGAAATTCCACTGTATGATAAGATTTGAAAAAGTTATTTTTGATAACAGCTTATGATAAAACATATACATACTTTCTTACTACCAAATATTTTTGTTGCTAGACTAAATAAATGTTATTTTTTACAATTAACTTCACCCTAAAACTAAGACTGACTTTCATCTTTTATTTTATAGTTTTAATTTCTATACAACTTTATCAGTCTCTAAATATTACTTCAGATTACACAATAATTCAAAAGAAATTAATAATAGATACATGTTTAATTACAAACTTTAGAGACAAAATACAATTCAAATTGCAAATCTTCATTGTGACATCAAGATCCACCACCATATGGGTGCTCTGCAACTTGCAAGCCATCGCACCAAGATAAGTCATATGAAACCTTTTTCACATGCTCCACTACCCTCAAATGTCTCCATTACAATGATTTATTTAATTTAAATACGGTACGTCGTGAGCGCATGAATCTTTGCCTTTCTAAGGTAATGTTGCACACTAGATACATCAATGCATCAACAATCTCGTTGTAAAAAGATACCTGACCTCGAAATATCACATTATCCTTGCTCAAATATGGACGCTATTATTACATATAAAAATAGCATCTTCCATAAAAAAATATATCGCATTGCTATTAATGAATACAACACAGTTGCAGAACTAATTTTCATTGAACTGTCACTTCATTTCATATGTGTATATGGGATGGCAGAGAGCCAATCAAACAATACCCAGCTTTACATGTAACCTGAATTGTTGTTGTTCAGCACCAGAAAGCATGGAAAAAATTATATTGCATTGTCTTATATCATCATATATTAAAAATGTATAGCTTTACCTGTCTTCATAACCTGAACAGTTGTTCTGTCAGATACCAAGGAAAAATACATATTATTATATTATAAATGGAAATAAGAGGTTGCCATATGGTAGTGGTCCAAACATAAATGTTGGACATCACATTCGAATCTGGTCATACTTGAAAATAGTTCAGATAATCTAGCAATGGGATCCAAATTACATTAGACGTTTTAATGCAAATGGACAAGGATGAATGTTGAAAGTCCCACATCGCCTACCTCATATCATTTGGTATGGTTTAAATACAAGTTAGGCTACTCCACATATTGCCAATTGGTTTTATGTTGGAACCTTAACATGGTATCAGAGCCAAAGCCTAACATCTTTCCGGTTATTGTCATGGGCCAAAAGTTGCCCTTTAGTTGGGTCAAAAGTACCCTTTGCCTGGTCCGGCAGGCTTCGTTGGAGGGGGTGTGTTGAAAGTCCCACATCGCCTACCTCATATCATTTGGTATGGTTTAAATACAAGTTAGGCTACTCCACATATTGCCAATTGGTTTTATGTTGGAACCTTAACATATTTTAGGAAATATAATAACTCTATTTTATGCTAGGATCCCTTGATTTATGGGATTGTTCCTAATTATTCAAATCTGTACAGATTACAAGAAAATATACAAATTTCCTGATTTATTCTTTCCTAAAATACTATTTGATTTCCCACAATGAATATAAAGACAAGACTATTAACTTTTGATTTCACTATAAATTACAGTAGTTTCTAACAAAGCAGTTGGTGTTCATGCTTTAATGATGGAAATTAAAACAAAATTTCAAAAACCCTTACTATTTTTCAGTCTAGTACCTCGGGAGGGGGGCTGCAGTCCTTGAAAACCAATTATTCTCAAGTTGATTATTCTTCTAATGCTATCCAAAATGCATAAAGTGATCTTTGCTTCTTTTAACCCTTCTACTCTGCTCCTCAAGTTCATATATGAACACAATCCATAGACACAATTTGTGTAGAGGAGAAAATTGCAAAATCGTCCATTTCCTTTCATATTGTTCGGAACATAGTGAGACTCATTTACAGTGGGATTGAAATTCTTACAAGTTGCACCATTCACCTTCATAAAGCTTCACAATTTTTTCCACATATTTAAGATGCCATTAGCAAATGACTTCACATTTCCCCACAAAGTCGATTTCTCTGAATATACTGCAACATTGTTATCCCTGCTATTAGAGCTGTCCCTGGATATTTGAAAGAATGAAAACAACTTTAACATCCTATACAATTTTACAATAAAGATAATAGACATGAAAAATGAAAATAGAATAATATAAAGAAACAAAAAATAAAGGCTGGAAATATTGCACAAGACATATATATGTTCCAAAACTGTTTGCACATGCACATAGAAGTGGCTCGTTTTCCTATAAATGCCTATTTCAGGAAGAATATAGTATAAGTTCCAAAACTCAGCAAACACAATAATTTTTATAAGTGTACAGCGTATATGTACCAACACATATGCACCAGATGCTTCAATTTTTATGTGCACAATTTTAGTCTACCAAAATTTTATGCTTAAACTGTTTTTCTCTTTATTTCTAAAATGTTATGACTTATATTTCATTAACATGAAATGATACTTTGTTGCACCATTTATGTTTTAGACTTTATTCAAGACTAGGAGATGTTAAACTCTGAATATTCTCTCCCAGGTATATAAAACAATGTATGTGGGTGTCAGTGTGTGTTTTTGCTTATTTGTATTTTATTATTGTATATGAATAAACATTAATGTTAATTATATATGTCTAAAAAAATATCAAGAACTTACATTTTGGACTCATCCAACTCTGAAGACCTTTGAGATTGCTCTATTTCATGCTTTGAACCATCCACAGCCCTTTTGTCTTTTTTCTCATACCCTGCGTTCTCAAATGCTGAATGGTTTTCCACATCAACAAACTTAGAATCATGGCTCTGACCTTCGCTGCAACTGCTTACAGATTTTTCAATAAAACGAGCAGAAAATTGGTCTATTTGTTCTTTTAGAGGGTGTCTTTCTTGTGTAGCAGAATCAGAAGAACTAGATAAAGCTTCAGTACCCCTCACGTCATTTGGCACCTGGAGACTTGAATGAGGAAGCTCTCTAGACAGGTCTTCCAAGTCAGGTTGCTCCCTTCTCTCCCAGTCTGCTTTCTTAATGCATTTTTCCTCCACTTTTTGATGATTTTCTATATGAACATAATCATAATCGTGGCCCTGAGCTCTATCATAACCAGTACCATCATTTTGACTAGACAAAGGAGAAAAATGTTCCCTTTCCTCTTGTACCAGCTGACTTTCAGGTGCAAAAGAATCAGAATAGCTAAGGACAGCTTCCTCTGTCTTGATACCATTTGGCGTATGGAGACTTGATGGGTAAGGCTCCTTAGAACATTTATCCACAATATTACTTTCAGGTACAATGCAATGACTATTCTGTCATTAAAAAAGAAGGTATACTCGGTCAATGTTATAATAGAGCATACTTTCAGGTCATATTCTTTATATAATAGAGATACTCTTCAATGTTATTAAAAATAAAATTAGCAAAAGTGAAGATTTAAGGAGCCAGATCCAATAGGTGAAACTTCTGACTAACAACATTAAAAAGAATGAGATGCAATTTAAAACTTATACACGATTTATAAGCAGAATACAAATTTTGTTGTCCAGTAGTGATGAAGGTTATGCAGTATGACAGTGGCTTTAAATCTGAAGCTTTTCAAATTTAGGTCAGTTTAGTATGGGGTTAGAAATAGGGGTGAAAAAGTATTCACAACTGATCCATGAATTCTTCACCCCAATGTTTTCCACAGACCAATAAGAAAAAACTAGAACCAAAAAGAAGGTTCAAATTTCAAATCAGGATAAATATCAATTATCCAAAGCATTAGACAATAGACAGCAAATAATCTACTTTTGCATCAGTAATGTATTTGTATTTGAACATAAAGGTGCAAAAATATAAATTATAAGGATTTTACATTTCCCTTTTGGCCTTTGAACTACAGTCAAGAAATTTACACCCAAACAAGAATGAATATAACAAAAGTTAGGATGGGCAAAATCTAATCCAAGACAAAATTAGTTTGAACTTATGAAACTAGTCTAAATTTGGTTTTAAAACCAGTTTTTTTTTTTTTTTTTTTTTTTTTAAAAGCAGTTTTTTTATCAATCCAGTTTTATATCATATTTTAAACCATAATTTGATGCCCTAGTTGAGCTGCCAATACCCTGGGCAAGCTGACGATGCTCTGGTCAAGGTTGAGCAGGCAATGCCCAGGTTGAGGTCACGTAGACCACATCCAAACAAGGTTGAGCCTTCAACTCCCCAATTGTGGGAGTATATGATACCGAGCAATTGACACTCCATTTGAGGACAGCCAAGTGACTCCCTGACCAAGGTTAAGACTACAACACCCCAATTGTGGTCAGGCAGACAATGCGGACAAGATGACTCCCTGCCCGAGGACAAGGTAACAAATCCCCAATAGAAATCGAACTGATAATGCCCTAGTTGAGTCTAAACAAATGACATCTCGATTGAGGTCTAACCATCACCTCGATTGAGGTCCAGCTGAAGATACCCTACTTGAGACCAAGTTGATGACTCCCCGACGCCAAGCCAATGACTTTTTTTTCCATGCTAATCAAGAAATTTCTTAAACAAATTATGTTATAGGATGAACATTGATTTCAAATTTTTGAAAATCCATACAAGTATCCAATTAATTGGATTGAAAATGGATTTGGATATGAAACTAGAGGAAACAAAACAATCCATTTATCCGTCATCCATATGGTCCATCCACAAGTCAATCTATTCATCCATTACAAAAATATAAAATAATTAACCAAATCAAATTCACCCATTTAATTTTATGGATAATTAATGATTCATCCATTATTTCTCAAAATCCAATGGACCCTCCTCCAATCAATTTTTTATTGATCAAAATATCCAGCCAATTTTTTTCATATAATTTGTATTACAAAATTTATTTTTGAAAATTATTTTAAAAAACATAATATAATTTTTTTTTTAAATATTAGTTTTATGGATGGATTGGATATACATTCATCAAAAACTTGTTAATGGATGAATTGGATTTTTATTAAATGGATCCTATTTTTAGTTACATTTTTAATTTATCAAAATATATTAATTGACTTTTTCATCCTATCCATTATAATCCGAAATAAAATTTACCTGATCCAACCAGTTTGCCACTTCTATGTGAGATCAATCCATTAAAATGGAGATAACGTGATTGGTTTGATTTGGTTATGATTGGCTTTGACAATTTGGACATTTTTCACATCCCTAATAAAATCATACTCTGAAGGAAGTAGAACTAGGAGCATTGCTTATCTTAACTACTATATTTAATATATTCATAACAACAAAAAGCATTTCTTAGTGTGATGCTTACTGGTTTAGACATAATTTCTACTTCTTCAAACAACCTCCTCCCCCCATAGGATGTCTCCGGCTCTCCATTTTCTTCATGATGCTCATATCCAGTATTAGCAGTCTCCTGGTCATCCAAATCTACCAATTGAGAACCATCTGGGATAGGGTTGTACTTTGCAATCCCAATATTACCAGATGAAACACTCAGAGATTCGGTGGTAGGATGTTTACTCCCATCAAACTGCTTTTCCACCAAATTCTTATCCACAGTATTTGGCGAATTTGTTTTTGACTTATATTCTAATTCCTGAATGATTTCCCGGACAACATAATAACAGCCACCAACTTGCTTCTGGGCATCTGATATTTTTGGGAATTTCCCAGCATTCTCTGCTCTATACCTGCAGAGAGAATGTTATTCAATAATAAGCAATAAAAAACAGTTCAACAATAACAGAAGTCCATATAATTGAATAGTTAACCAAAATCCATAAACAATGACAGTGTTTTTAATGTTGGCATTATTTCAAGAATAAAATAAGGGACCTTCTTAGAACATCCAAAAAAAAATCTGTCTTCTTATGTAACTAAGCAGAATCCAGTTTTTCACAATAGAACAGAGAAAAAATTAGACAAGTATGGAGCCTGTATGTATTCTCCTTTTCTGTCGTTAAGAACCTCCTTGTTACACCCAAGAAATGAAACTAACACAATTGGGAGATAAGTACAGATATAGGTTACTCGACTATAACTAAGATGGGACAACTAAAAGTATTTACGTAAACATGTTATTCTACTGTCAACCATAGACAAAAGATCAGTAATAAGGACGACAGATCAATAAAAACAAGCACTTAATTCAAACATGAGGACAAGAAAAGTTAAATATATCATTTTTTTCATTCCTGCTACGCATAATTTATTCTATACCCCTTCTAATTTGTTAACATGCAATAAAAATCTAGACTTTCTCTTGTTTAAAACATGAAGCAGGGTCGTTTGCTTTTGAATCCCATGCACTTGAATGAATGTCTTCTGAGGGTCCCTAACAGTAGGTTTCTAATACAGATGTGGGACTCTGTATATAATCTTATGAACACACGAAACTAGCATATACTAATCAGGAAAAAAGACAGACGCAAAGGGACACAAAATACAAACAATATGCCAAACTATTTTAACTCAAACTACATGTGAAAATAGTCTGAAAAGTTCAGGTATCTGTTACGAGAGTGTCCCTGGATAATTGACACACCAACATGCCAGGATGAAACATAATGCAGGAAAGCTCATAAAACGTTAAATAAAGCTTCAACTTTGAAAGAAACCAAGAAATACTTGTTCACAAAAGACTCCACCATAGCTCTCCTTTCAGTTCTTGGAACCCTTTTTTGGCCTTTCTGGGTATGTGGTGCCTCAGAAGGGACAGTAGCAGCATGTGACCATCCATGCCGCTGGACTTTTAACAGATCAACATAATAGCGTTCTTCAAAGGATACTGTCAAACAACCCAGAAGATATATGTTCACATTATTCAACAATGGAATCAATATCTCAGAAGTCGGTAATGCATTACAACCACAGTTCCATAGAAAAGCATTGGAAAACAGTAATCATCACTAACAACAAGAACCTCCAAAAAGTCAAAAACCACTCACATTAACATGCATCAAATAACACCAAGCATTGAACAGAAAATATAGTAAAATTACAATAAGCATCAATCCCACTTCCCCAAAAGTAACAATCAAGAGTTCTACAATGGCAGTAACCAGATTCGAACCTACAACCTCATGCAAACTCAATCCCACATATGCAACAACAGAGTCTTATTCTACTAGCTGAGGTCTGTAACGTGGATCACACACTGCCATTTTTCTCGCTAAAGCTTGAAGAATTATTATTTACCATGATATCTCCCTTGACAACTTCCACCAAGTCCTTTTTAGTCTACGTCTACTCCTTTGAGCTTCATATAATTAAAATACAACACCTTTTCTGTAAGAACTACACAAAATCAGAAGCTATTCCTCTTGCTTTAAGATCGTTATCATTTAACTTCCCAGCCTTCTTCTAAACATGACAAACAAAAAAAGAAACATAAACCTTAACAGACATGAGAAAAACACGACAATGCCAGTGACCCAATCCCCCATTCTAATTAAACATCTAGCCAGATTAAACTTAACATAACACAAAGCCTAAGCTCATTAAATCACCGCGAAACAGTGTCTAAAAGTTTGTTATTGAGTAACAACTTAGTTTTATATCTCCGTCAGACCAAAAGAAAAAAAACTTATTTCAAAAGAACCAAAAACCATAATAGTAGTGATTTCAGCAACACAACAGAAGAATGGTATTAGAACATAGATAGAAGTGAAACATGAAAAGAAAATGAGAGGGTAGAAAGTTACATAGGCTGGATTTGGGAGTGACGTTGGAATTGGAGGGGAAGGAGAGGCCTTTTGTGGCTGCGATCAGGAGCTTCTTCCTCATCTCATCTACGTGTTCATTGAGAAAGGGTAAGAGAGAGGGGGTTTAGGGTTTTGCAGGTTGCTTCATTCAAAATCCAAAACCCGACTTCAGTTAGCGTTTTCAACCAATGCAAAATTAGTTACATTGAATTAATAATGTTAATTTTTTTAGTTTTATTTTATTTCATGGTTTTTTTATTATTTTTCGTTAAAATTATCGCAAAGTAGTCATTAAAAAACATCATACTATAATTTTTAAAATAATTATTATAGTAGATTTCATGTAAATAAGGTAAAAAAAAGTTGAAGAAAAAATATTAAGATATACATTATAAAAATAATAAATTTAAAGTCTTATTTGTTTATACACCATTAATTCATTTAATTTTTCTTATTATTTTGTATCAAGTGTTAATTCAATAACAATAATATTATTAGTTGTTCTGTCAAACTCCTCGTTCTTATATAGTTTAGAGTCAAAGATAAGAATAATTATACATTATTTTCTCTTATGTTTATGCTTTTTAAATTATAAATTTTCTCTTATGCTTATGCTTTTTAAATTATAATTGATTAGAGTTTTAAAATTAATAATATTTGAGAGATATAATAATTAATATTAAAGATGATATCATAAGACATGGTATTGAAATGTTTTTTAAACTATGATAAACTAAAGTTTCAAAATAAAGATAATATCAAAATAAACATAAGATTTAGACATTATTTATTTTCATGTGAATCTATATTTTTTTTTTAAGTTATTTTTAACCATCTAACTCAAAAATCTAATCTATCAATTTTCTCAATTCAATCTTACACCCTTCTAAGGATTTCTCCCCATCTCATAAATTATAAGGACAAACACTTTTACTCACATAATTTAAGAGTTTAAGAGTAAAAGATAGTTGAAATGAATAATAATTTTTAAAAATTTAAATAAAGTTATTAAAGTGATTATTTTATATTCAAATTTAAAAAAATATTCTCCCAAAGTCTTAAAGCTTCTTAAGATCAAGAAATTCATTATAAATATTCATACACAAAAAATTATAAAACTAATAAAGATGTTCTTTTCCTTAAAATGATTCATTAATTATCCTATGCTTAAATGATTGCATGATAAAAAATAATAATTAATAAATGAGCATGCGTAGCCACGAATCCACGTAGACTAATCAGTGTTTTACATTATCTTCCACGAAACCTTATTTTCAACGGATTATCACAATTTTGTTTCTGCTAAAACGAAACTGGTATTGTAACAAAAAAAGAATACAATGAAATGATTTATTAAAAAAGAAGTGAAATTTCTATGATTTTTATAACTTTTAATACATATGTAGTTAATAATATTCAAAATTATGTTGATGTGAGAAATAACAATCATGTGGGCAACCTTAGCCAACCACCAAGAAAACATGCATTTAGAGTATTGGAACAAGCAACTGAATAAAAAAAAGGGTAAACAAGAAAATGTCCAAATGAAAGATCATTGACCTTCCTTGCTTCCCACGATCTCACAATGTTTGAAACAACCAACATTTCTTATTAATGAACAACTCGGTTACCAAATAAAAATGTGGAACAATGCATCATGCAGGATTCTAAATGAAAGCTGTCATGTTATCTCACTATAATTTATATATTATATGTTCATGTAATATAATAATGTTTACAAAGAAATTGCAAAACTTTGTTCTGATCGCTCTAGTCCAACATTATGTTCTGCAACTTAACACAATTTTTCTTTGTCAACTTCGTCAAACTGCCAAACTGTTGGAGACAAAACAAGGTATGATATTTATTCACTCTGATAATAATATTTGGTTGGTTCAAAAATTCATGTCAAGTTGTTCTGTACAATTCCATCCACCATATGGGCTTGGCCTTTACCATAAGCTTTTTGTATGTGGTCTTGTTTGTGTCATTCAAATCCAACATGGTGGTGTGTATTGAAATTGAGGAATTCTTTCCAGAAGAAAGAGATGCTTTGATGCTCATAAGGGATTCTTTGAATTCATCTGTGAATTTGCATAGGAATTGGACAGGCCCTCCTTGTATAAACAATCTGAGTAGATGGATTGGTATCACTTGCTCAAATTGGCATGTTGTTCAAATTGTTCTTGAAGGAGTTAACCTTAGTGGTCATTTGCCTCCCACATTCCTTCAAAACATAACTTTCTTGAGCCAACTTGACTTCAGAAATAATGCACTTTTTGGACCACTTCCAAGCCTCAAGAATTTGGTGGTTTTGAAACAAGTCCTATTATCATTCAATCATTTCTCAGGGTCAATTCCTGTGGAGTATGTTGAGCTTACCAGTCTACAAGTGTTGGAGTTGCAAGAGAATTACTTATATGGTCAAATTCCACCCTTCGATCAACCAACATTGACAAGTTTCAATGTGTCATATAATCATCTCTCAGGGCCTATTCCTGAAACTTCTGTGCTGCTAAGGTTCCCAGAGAGTTCATATGGCAATAACTCAGATCTTTGTGGAGAGCCATTGGATAAGTTATGTCCTATTGAACCTCCTGCCCCATCTCCAGCACCATTTTCTGCCCCACCTCCTTTTGTTATGCCTCCAATCCCACCAGTGAAGCCAAATAAGAATTTTCAAGCATGGATCGTTGCTTTGATTGGTGCTGCAGCTGCACTGGTTCTTCTTTCTCTGATCATTATTATTGCTTTCTTGTTTCGTAAAAGACAAACAAGTGGAAAAGAAGCAAGAGCAAATGATTCAGCAGGTAAGATATATCTTATACATGTTAATTCCGCCATTGATTTTATTAACAGCTTATTGCGATGCTATTTATGTAATATTTCTAAGCTAAAAAAAATGTGAAAGAAAATTTATGTAATCTTTCTAAGCTAAAAACAATGTGAAAGAAAATTTATGTAATAAATTCAGAATTTCCTATAATAAAATGCAATCTCATGCTGATTCAGGATTTCTAAATGTTTTGAATTATTTAATATAGGGAATGTTTTTGGGGCATGGGCAAATAAGATGGTGGCTTATGCTGGGAGCAGTGATGTTTCTGAAAGATTAGGAAGATTGGAATTTTCTAACAAGAAGCTGCCAGTTTTTGACTTGGATGATTTATTAAGGGCATCAGCAGAAATTCTAGGAAGAGGGAACTTAGGCATTACATACAAAGCAACACTTGAAACAGGAACTGTTGTTGCAGTGAAGAGACTTAACAACATGAATGAACTGAGCAAGAAGGAATTTCTCCAGCAGATGCAATTGCTAGGACAAATGAAGCATGAAAATATAGTAGAAATAATCTCCTATTATTATTCAGAGGAGCAAAAGTTTGTCATATATGAATTTACCTCTGATGGCACTTTGTTTGAACTCCTACATGGTTAGTTTTGATGCTTTTCTTCCTTAACACGAAATAACTAACTTAAAACTTGATACACTAACATTCATAATCTGCTGGTGCTAGAGGGTAGAGGAGTTGGAAGAATGCCACTTGATTGGACCACAAGACTTTCTATTATCAAAGACATAGCAAAGGGTCTGGTTTTCCTTCATCATTCCTTGCCTTCTCAAAGGGTTCCTCATGCCAACCTCAAATCATCTAATGTCCTAATCCATAAAGATAGTAAAGGGTACCATTCCAAGCTCACAGACTATGGTTTCTTGCCTCTACTCCCAGCCAAACAGAATGCAGAAAAACTAGCCATAAGGAGGTCACCTGAATTTGTTCAAGGGAAGAAGCTAACACACAATGCTGATGTCTATTGCTTTGGCATCATTATGCTAGAGATTGTAACTGGCAAAATCCCTGGCCATATCATAGGTGAAATTGAAGAAACAACCAATGATCTTTCAGATTGGGTGAGAACTGTGGTGAACAATGATTGGTCCACAGATATATTGGATTTAGAAATCCTAGCAGAAAAAGAAGGGCATGATGCAATGTTGAAGCTAACCGAGTTAGCTCTAGAGTGTACAAATATGACACCAGAGAAGAGGCCTAAAATGAGTGTAGTATTGGTGAGAATAGAAGAGATAGAACAAATGAAAAAGGAGAATGACTAAAGTTTAACTCACTGCATGAAGTGCACCACCAGAATTTCATTGTATTAATCTGAACACTCAATTCATGACAAACACATAATCCAATCTAGAAATGCCTTAACAATTGCATATAAGAATATGTGGGGGAACCATTTTCTAAAAAGAGATAACATCTCTTTGATATCGAGAAATTATTATTTCCTTTTTTTTTTATGATTTTCTTTAGAAGAGAGTAAAAACATTTTGTAAAGAAATATTTTTTTTAGATATATATTTTTAGTTAGCTGGAATTTGTTGAAAGTAATTTATTCATTGTTTTGGGATTGAAAATTTGCCTTATTCAAAATCATTTGGGATCACCTTCCTAGATGTACTATTTTGTGGGCCTTTTTGCTTCAACTGTGTCCAGATTTTGCAGAATATCACAGTTAAGCTGAGCTTTTTATTGAATTGAGAGTATGATTATTCTCTCCACTAGATAGATTCATGTGAAATCTCAAAAAAACTCAAGGAATATAATTTACTCAAAATTCTTATAATAAAATAGAATTGTCTCACTGAAATTTTTTCAGAGAGCAAGTAATAACGTTTAAAACAATCACTCTAATAGAATATTAATTAATATAATATATAAAGGTTGCGTAATGTTAAAACAGTTAAACGACTTTCTATCTAAAATATTATTAATACATGTCATTATCATTCTATGATTAAGAGACGGACTCATGTTTCTTAGTCTATATTAAAGAAAATCTTAAAATGAAACTTTCTTAATTTAGTTTGAATGAGTTATATAAAAAATTTCAGGTTAATTTTTTTTTTATATAAAAATACATTTCAGACATGTGAGAACTTTATGTTAATTAAAATAATTAATACCTTATGATAGTCACTAAAATCTGGACCAGTCAGATGGGTCCAACTAAAACTTGCTGCTTAAACTAGACTTGGTTAATATTCAGATAAAAAATGTATTTAACATGAGTCAATCCATTCCAAGTTTTTTTATCTCACTTTATTTGTTATTTATTATATTCTGCAAGTTTTGATGTAATTATTAACATATTTAATAAGTAAAATAAAATATTACTGTTATTTATTGTGTAGTATTTATAAAAATATCATTCAATACAGTAGTCAGACAAACCTCTTAAACCGCAACCGCAAGGCTTAGCTGTGGCTGCACTTTGGTTTTTGTCCTGTTGAGAAAATGTGGATCAACATAACATTTCATCACATTTTTTATGTAGATATGTGTACCAAATAAAGAATGACTCAAATTGTAAGAAGGAGCCAACTCATACCAATACCAACCACGTGTAAGCCATGTAGCTCTTCACATACCTAGGTGTCTTAACTAAGTTCCTCGCCTAGTTTACCATTATAAGCACAATCACTACATGCAAGAAGGGCACTCTTTTCAGTTTCATCATAGTTTCCCACCTTTCAAATCTCCATTCTGCAGAGAGAAAACCCTTTTCTAAAGAAAGAATATAGTCTCAGCTGGACCAGGATCATTCATCTTGAAAGGAGGGTGCCAGAGTGAGCTTTTGTTGTGATGGCAACCCGTAGATATGCTTTTGGAAGGGCTGATGAGGCCACTCATCCAGACTCCATGAGGGCTACTTTGGCTGAATTTGCCTCTACTTTCATCTTTGTCTTTGCTGGAGAAGGCTCTGGCCTTGCTTTGGGTTTGTACATATTCAAAATCTTGGTTCATATTTGGCATAAAAATGATTTGTATTGTTTTATTGTATGTTTGCATGGGCTTACATTACATTGTATAACCTTTTTTCAGCTTAGTTAGAGATGATGCTTAACCTTGGATATCGAACACATGCATGCTATGAATATGTGTGATTTCTCTTTGTTGCAGTGAAGATTTACCAGGATTCAGCTTTCTCAGCTGGTGAACTACTAGCACTTGCGCTTGCACATGCATTTGCTCTATTTGCTGCGGTATCTGCTAGCATGCATATTTCAGGTGGCCATGTCAACCCGGCTGTGACATTCGGTGCTCTCATTGGGGGAAGGATCTCTGTGATCCGTGCAGTATACTACTGGGTTGCTCAACTTCTAGGTTCCATAGTGGCTGCCTTAGTACTCAGGCTTGTCACTAATAACATGGTAAACTATTTTCTTTTTCAGGACTTCGAAAAGTTAAGGATGATGTTAACAAATTGATGTTTACTCTAATTATATGTGCTAACTAGAAGATTCTACAAATGTGGCTTAACCTTATTTTAATAAAAAAATAAACTATATTATGATTGAATGAAGGTAATTTAAAAAGAAAAAAAAAAATAGAAAAGTCAATAATCATAGAGATTCAGTATAATCATTTTAACTTCAATAGTGAGATGATACAAATTGGACTTTTAATGGAATCTGATGTGTTGTTGTGGGTGCTTGTTGCAGAGGCCATCAGGGTTCCACGTGGCACCAGGTGTTGGCGTAGGACACATGTTTATTCTTGAGATTGTGATGACATTTGGGCTGATGTATACTGTATATGGTACTGCAATAGATCCCAAAAGGGGTGCTGTAACCAACATTGCACCCTTGGCAATTGGGCTCATTGTTGGGGCAAACATCCTTGTTGGTGGGCCATTTGATGGAGCATGCATGAACCCTGCTCTGGCTTTTGGGCCTTCCTTAGTGGGCTGGAGATGGCACCAGCACTGGATCTTCTGGGTGGGTCCATTGATTGGGGCAGCACTGGCAGCACTGGTGTATGAATATGCTGTGATTCCAATTGAACCACCCCCACACCACCACCAACCTTTGGCTCCCGAAGATTACTAGTTGTTTCTACCAGTTGTGCATTTGTGCATCAAAATGTGTTATTAGTTGTATTTGGGTACCTAAATATGCTTGTATTTCCCTTTGTTTTTTCAACCACCCTTCTGCTTAAGTGGCCACTAGGCTTCTGTGTGTATTTTATTTTCTTGTTTTAGGGTCACAACTACCAAAGTTCCAAACCTAGATGAGTGTGTAGCTGTTGTATTTTGTCGACACATTGAATAAAAAGTGTGAAACCCTATTTTGTGTAGGGATGCTGCATTAATCTAAAAGTAACCAATAGACATTTCAGGAGAGAATACTAATAAAAGAATGCAAAAGATAAGAATGCAAGCATTCAAGATTTTAGAGTTTTGGCTTGTGTTCGAGCACCTTTCACCTTGCAAAGTGAAAAGATGTTATTTATTGAGTTAATCTAACAAAAACAATACAAAATAGGAATATATAGTTAACAAATAACCAGCTTAATAAAGTCAATAGTGAAGACTATACATCTATGGTTTCTGTTTGCTTATAAAATCTAGCGACCCAAGGAGCAAGTTGAGTATTATGAGGTGTCCTGGGGTTGGCAGAGTAATAATCAGACCAATAACAAGGGTTGAGTCTATCGGCAAATTTGTTATCAGCATAAAGGCAAAACGGTAGCCAATTTTCACCTCCATTCATTCTTCTCTTCCTTTCCCTCGGATAAGCTAAGGGTGCCTGAACATACCTGTAATTGTGTCAAAACCATTATTATAACAAAAAGGTCATAGGCTTGGACACATTTTTGGTTCTTCCTCTTATTTTAGTTTGATTTTCATTTGTCTTTAAATGTTTCTGTTATCGTGTAGATTAAATTCATCTTTCCGTTAGTTTTGTAATATTTATTTTAATAATAAACTAGTGGAAGAACTAATTTACTTTATTACAAAGTGAAACTTTTAAATTTAAGAGTCTAAACCATACAAAAAATAAAAGACAAATAGTATTTTAACCAAAATACTACCACTATGAAAAAAAAATACCTGATGCCATCAACAACAGCATCCCAGCAGAAGTGAGTATGACCAAACACATGACAAGAAGATGCATCCTTCCTACCCTCAGCCTCATGTATGGATCTTATTCGATCTTCAAGAGAGTCTGAACCAATTATCTTTGGAAGCTTGGGATAGAATAACATCCTCTTCTCTGGACAAAGTTCCTGCCTGAAAAACGAGCAGCCATAACCACAAACAAATCAATATTTTCATCTTTTGAAGCAACACGATACTGTTATTGTTTAAGATGCTCCTCATGCACCAAGAGACATGTCATAAAATAATACTGCATCTTGGTGTTTATGAGGAATTATGTAAAGCAAAGTCACAAAATGTAGCTTGACATCATGCAATCATGCATTATACCACTTTCGTTAATATAGTTTCGGTGCCCATAAGAGATGTAACCGAGTGAATTCTAGACTCATTTTGGAAGTTAGGAACATCAGCACCATTACACTGACACAAACATTATCATCTACTTAGCAATAAGAACTGAACATTCTACAGAAAAGCTTGCGATGCAAATAGTACACGTGATGTGTAGCTAAGCATACAACCAGTTTTACGCAGATGGTAGTTGGCACTGACAACATAGCTACATGCCTACATCTAAAAAAAGTGAGGTAGACTAAAAAGGAATTAAGAAAAAATTACTAAAAGGATTTTCATGGTGAATATCTCTGAGAATTGGTTTTTGGCCGAATCCTATAGCGTCATGTGATTCATGCAACAAATAAGGTTAATTGTTCTTATTGTCATTGTTATGACCTACATCTTTTTTCTTACGTAGATAACTGGTTAAGAAGTGTCAAACCAAATATCTTCAGTAGACAATTGCAAGGTTACACAGCTCAACCTTTTTGGATTTTAGGAGTGAGTTCTCGTTTACATAATGCAGGGCAAAATTATATAAGAACAGATGGCTACAGTCAAGCAAAGATCAAATAACACCATGGACTACATAAGTAACAGCTACACAAATTTCAAGTCAATCATCTAAATTGTTCCACACAATAAGCAGTATCGTGTAATCAGATCATGTGCAATAAATCTATGAAAACTTAAATCAATTTCTCCAGGAAACCTTAGTCCTTTAGTGAGAAAACTAGAAAAGGGCATTAAAGTTTTTAATGTTGTCCATTACCACTACAGAGCTAAACATAATTGGTTCCTGTATAGAAGTTTAGGAAAGAACCATGAAGGAGTAAAGGACTATTGCATCGTTTCCCATAACATGATTAAATAGATTATCAGACCATATCAGTTCAAACAGCAATCATACATGCATAGATTATCAGACCAAAGCAATAAAATTTAAGTGATAGATTTAACCACCTGGGAACAAAGTGGGAAAAGGTAATGATGTGATCACAGGTCATCTGAATGTCCTTTATCACTTCCATTTGTTTATCATTCATGGCATCAAAATATAAAGCAAGGGACGTATCTCCACTTGAAAGTCCCTCTGGCCACTTGCACGCATAGAAGTCTTTACATGCCTAAAAACAGGGTACAGATTTTTACATAAATATCAATCAAATTGAGAGCTACATGAAAGTTAGAACCAAACCATGGCAATAAACAGATTTGAATACTAAAATGCTATTAAAGAAGAATGTTCCTACCATAATCTACCTTGACCAAAGGCAGCCACAAGAAACCGTAAAAACTAACTTTCCTAATTATATATGTGAAGAACTTAGTCGTATATTAGAGTGACACTTTTAACTCATTGTTAGTTCCATTCATTTTGTTAAATATAGGGAAAAACTGTATAGGGTTAATTTCCCTTGTGTATTTACCACACATAGGGCAGTGTATTTATAATAAAGAAAGGTACTTCTCAAAAGAGTAACAGAATACAAATAGGGTAAATAAAAGATATTATTAGATATTGTGATTAACAATATCTAACAATATCTCAACAATATCAAACAATATCAACTAATATCTAATCATATCTAACACTCCCCCTCAAGCTGGAACATACAAATCGTATGTGCCTAGCTTGGTACAAAGATAATCCATCCTAGGTCCCCCGTAAAGACTTAGTGAAAATATCTGCTAATTAATCACATGAGTTAACGAACTCAGTCTTGATGTCTCCAGACATAATCTTTTCCCGAATAAAATGGCCGTCAATCTCAATGTGTTTAGTCCTCTCATGAAAGACAGGATTAGAGCTTATATGGAGAGCGGCTCGATTGTCACACACTAGTGTCATTTGAGTGACATCTCCAAATTGTAGCTCTTTAAGCAATTGCTTGAGCCAAATAAGTTCACGAGTAGTCGAGGCCATAGCTCTATACTCGCTTCGCACTCTGGATCTTGCCACAACACTTTGTTTCTTACTTTTCCATGAGATCAAGTTACCACCAATGGAAACACAATACCCGGATGTAGATCTTCTATCGGAGGGAGATCCCGCCCAATCGACATCCGAATAGCAGACAACTCTTGTATGATTATGGGAGTCATACACCAAACCTTTTTCAGGAGACTTTTTGATGTACTTCAATATACGGATGATCGCATTCCAATGATCTTGACAAGGAGAATTGAGGAATTGACTCACCACACTGATCGCAAAGGAAATGTCGGGCGAGTAATCGTAAGATAATTTAATTTTCCAACTAATCTTCTATACCTGTTCGGGATCCGACATTGGCTCCCCCGATTTGGCAAGAGTTTGGTATTAGGATCCATGGGTGTGTCAACGAGCTTTGAATTCATCAACCCAGTTTCCTCCAAAATATCCAATGCATACTTTCTTTGAGATATAACAATGCCATCGGTAGATTGTGCTACCTCAATACCCAAGAAATATCCGAGTTTGCCAAGATCTTTGGTTTGAAAATGGTGGCAAAGGTGTTGTTTCATCCGAGAGATGCCATGATGGTCACTACACTGTAAGAACAATGTCATCGACATACACTATCAAATAGATACATCCAGCATTCGAGTGATGGTAAAAGACTGAGTGGTCTGCCTCACTTCTAGTCATGCCAAATTGTTGAACAACGCTGCTAAATTTGTCAAACCAGGCCCTAGGAGACTGTTTTAGGCCATATAAAGATTTGCAAAGACGACATACCAATCCAGAAGACTCCCCCTGAGCAACAAATCCGGGAGGTTGCTCCATATAAATCTCTTCTTGCAAATCGCCATTCAAGAAAGCATTTTTGACATCCAGTTGATAAAGAGGCCATTGTTGAATAGCAGCCATGGCAATGAATAAACGAACGAAGTTATCTTTGCCACTGGAGAGAAAGTATCACCATAATCCAACCCAAAAATTTGGGTATAGCCTTTGACTACAAGGCGAGCTTTGAGGCGATCAATAGTACCATCGGGACCAACCTTGATAGCGAAGACCCACCTGCAACCAACAACGATTTTCCGAGATGGTAATGGGACAAGCGTCCGGGTTCCACTAGTCTAAAGAGCACCGAGTTCATCTAGCATGGCCTGACGCCAACCAGGGTGGGCTAAGGCTTCGAAACAAATTTAGGAATAGACACGGAAGAAATAGACGAGAGACAGGTATAAAATGGTGAAGAAATTCGATGATAACTTAAAGCGGTATAATGTGGAGAAGGATTACGAGTAGAACGCGTACCTTTACGAAGGGCAATAGGAAGGTCGGACTACGTGGACGGAGCCGGAGGAGGCGAGTATTTGGCACTGGGAGTGAGTCATGTGGCGTCTGTTGTGGGCGAGGTCTGCGACTATAAACCTGAAGGGGTGGTGGAGGATGAGGGGCTAATGGTGGATGGTCCTCATCATAAGGATCAATGAGAACAGGAATGGGAAGCTGTAGCAGATGGAGACTCAGCAGGTAGGGAAGGATCCTTAAAGTAAAAGGAAAACTCATTGAAGGTGACATCGACAGACACAAAATAGCGATTAAGAGAAGGAGAAAAACACTTGTATCCTTTTTGGGATTGAGTAAATCCTAAGAAAACACATTTGTGTGATCGAGGAGATAACTTATCATGACCAGGATCAAAATTGTGGACAAAACAGGTAGACCCAAAAACCTTCAGAGGTAAAGGATGGAGAGTGTCATGAGGAAATAAAATAGAATGGGGAATTTTGTTATCTAAAGCCGAAGAGGGCATACGATTAATAAGATAACAGCGAGTAAGAACGACATCACCCCAAAAATGTTGAGGAACCGCACCATGAATTAAAAGAGTACGAGTTGTTTCAATAAGGTGTCTATTCTTGCGCTCGACCACCCCATTTTGTTGAGGGGTATAAGCACATGAAGTTTGATGAAGAATGCCATGAGAAGCCATAAATTGTTTAAACGAGTTTGAAAGATATTCACGGCCATTATCACTTCGAAAAGTTTGAATAGAGACACCAAATTAATTTTTAATTTCATGATAAAAGTTTTGGAATATAGAAAACAACTCGAACGATTTTTCATTAAAAATAACCAAGTACAACGAGAGAAATCATCAATAAAAGTAACAAAATATTGAAAACCTAAATTAGACTTAACACGACTGGGTCCCCAAATGTCGAGTGAACTAAGGCAAAGGGGGATGAAGCACGCTGGGAAACACTACGAGAAAAGGAAGTACGACTATGTTTGCCTAACCGACGGGACTCACACACCAAACTGGACAACTCGGGATAAGCTGGGAACAAGTTGCTTGTAATTTGCGTAGACTGGGGTGACCAAGCTGAGCATGAAGGAGAAAAGGAGACTCCATAAGCTGTGCCAACATGTGGAGAAGGTTGAAGATAATAAAGTCCATGTGACTCACATCCAGGTGCCAATCACTCTTTGCGAGCTCCGGTCCTGTAAGGAAACGAAGTTTTGGTAAAAGAGATAACACAATCAAGAGATCGAGTTAGACGGCTAATGGATAATAAGTTAAAGGGGGACCGGGTACATACAAAACATTATCAATGGACAATGAGGGAAAAAGAGTAACCGTTCCAACACCATGAGCTAAAGTTGTAGACCCATTAGCCATTGTAACGAGAGGGTAAATTATGAGAAGAAGTGAAAGAGGAAAATAAGGATTTGTTACCAGGTGATGTGATCGGTGGCGCCTGAGTCAAGAACCCAAGAGCCAATAGAAGAAGAGTGAGTCGGACCGACAAAAGATGTACTCGTGTGGGCAATAGAAGTAGTGGAGCTGGAGGGCTTTCGATCCTCATACCATTGAAGAAAATCATTGAAGATAGCAGATTTGTCCGAAGGTACAGACGAAGGAGGATCCACAGCGAGAGGATTGTGCGGAAGAATCGGTCCGAGCAAGCTGCAGCGGATCGGCGAGGATAACCATGTAAAGCATAACATTTGTCAATTTTGTGGCCTAGTTTGCCACAATGGTCACACTTGACACGCCCTTTGCCTGGCTTGTGAGAGCGATTACGATCATCACGGTGAGAGGCCAAGGCGGATGAATCATTAGAAACTACAGGGGGAATATTGAGAGGTTTACATGGCACCCGCAAAGGGAGGAACTGGTAGCGGTAAAGCTGGGTGTAACAGGGGAACCCAAAATCAGTCACGAACAGGGGCATATTTATCAGCAAGTCCGTGTAACATCAAAACCATGAAAAACTTTGATCGTTGCTCTAATTCTTGGGCAGGAGTCGAGGCAGGGGGTAATAACTCATTAAATTCATGGAGAAGAGCATGGATCTTACCCACATAATCCGTCACAGGATCCTTATCTCGAGGAGCAATAACATCAAGAAGATTGTAACAAACACCATAAAGGCGTTGAGTGTCATTGGTGTATAATAATTTGGCTTGTTCCCAAACGTCATAACATGTGCCATACGATCGAAAAATTTGTTTTAAAGAAGATTGGATGGTATTCTTGAGAACCATACATATATGAGCATCAACTTTCTTCCAACGGACACGATCATTGGAAGGAACATCATCTACCTTGGTAGTAAGATGATCAACATACCCCTGACTCTCAAGCCAAAGTCTAATATCAGATGCCCAAATTGCATAATTCGTACCATCTAATTTATCAATGGGTAAATTCACATTGACATAATTAGTAAAAACAGATTGCTCAGACCCACCGGAGCTGACAGAGGTAACTTCAGAATTGGAAGTGGCAGCGGAAGATGTCATGGAGGAAGAGAGAGAAAAACCCTAAAACACCAAAGATGTCCGATTGGAGTAGCGAGGACAGATCCAGAGAGAGGAGAAGGAGGCGACGCCGGTGCAAAGAGCGGCGGCCTGAACGGCGGCGAGACGCGCCGCCACGCGCGGCGGATCGGGAGAAGGTGACGCGGCTTCGGGAGGCGCGTGAGGGAGCGTGGCTGCTCCGATGACCGCGAAACTTCCACGGTGGAAGTCGCACGGAGGAGGCGAGCAAAACCCTGTGCTCGGCGGTCCGAACTGCTACTCCGGCGACGGCGGCGGCGGCGGCGGACGGCGCTGGAGGCGGCGATACTGGAGTTCGATGCGTGAGCCGAAAAAAATCCCAAGAGACCTTAAGCTCTTGATACCATGTTAAATATAGGGAAAAACTGTATAGGGTTAATTTCCCTTGTGTATTTACCACACATAGGGCAGTGTATTTATAATAAAGAAAGGTACTCCTCAAAAGAGTAACAGAATATAAATAGGGTAAATAAAAGATATTATTAGATATTGTGATTAACAATATCTAACAATATCTCAACAATATCAACTAATATCTAATCATATCTAACACATTTCATAAATGCCAATGGTATCCCCCACACCAAAAAAACCAGCTCTATTATGTCTTCTTTTTTTCTTTTTTCTTCAACTTATTACTTTCCCACTGTGAAGAACAACCCCTAAAAACGTCCTAAATGTCAACAACGCACAGGTCAATTTAACGTATGCTGAATTGTATGTCTTGTTTTTAAAGTAGAATGATAGCAGCAAGAATCAAACTCCTGACCACTTATAGTATAGAAGCTTTGATAACAAGTCAAGGACTAATTCTCCAAAAGCTAGAGCTTTTAGATGAAGGTTTAAGATTGATTTTACATCTCTAAAAACTTTGCATTAAGCTTCCATACGAACAACCAACCTACATTATCATAGCATAGTACAGATATCTTACAGGTGCATCCCTCTGATTTTGTGAATTATCTTACCAAGAATAGTGCATTGATTTAGGCAGGCTTGCCACACACAATATCAAAAGCTGAGCTACACTATTTCTTGTTATCCTATGTACCACCAAATTCTTTATGTGTTCACCATGGTCTATATCATACTTGACTTTCTTATTATTTATCCTTTTTTTCCATGCTAAATTGGCTTTTCCAAAAACATACATAAATAATGTCAACCTCAAGTGTGACTCAGCATATTATTTAATCAGGACTTGATTTGAAATTTCTAGATTCTACCAACTACCTTATCTCCTTAACCTCATGCCCCTAACATGACTGTTATTTTTCAGCTCAAAACCAATTGGCTTAAGTGAAGTTACCCTACAAATATATAAGTGATGTGAAATTTCCCAGCATATTTTACATAGTGAGTACCAAACCATTACAAGCATGGTATTTCAATACCAGGGAACAATTTCAGGGATCAACACAATGTCCACATAGTCAAAATCACATACATATGCAGATAGTCCTTCATAATCAAGCACCATAGGAAATCAAGCGCATGATCAGACCATCAATCAACTTTTTTAAATGGCTTACAAGGAGTTAAAGAGAATAGTCACCATCTCCAAAGACGGGATCCGAAATCCTGTTATGTCCTTCTCTTTGTCAAAGCTCTGCCAAAAAGAAAAAATGAACATTTAAGTAATTGTCAGCAAGGAACACTTTGGATCCAGTCCGACACATGGTATGAAAGATTGAGGAGCTAAAAACTGTCATTGTATAAGTAATCACCTCATGGTACCAAGAGAACAAAGGAATGATTCCTATTTCATCTATAATCATTGGATTTGTCTCCACTCCAATTCTCTTGCATGCATCAAGCAATTTATTCAGCTTTTCAAGAGAATCAACCTGGAAAAAAATAGTAAGAACTTCGTCAGAGTAAAACTATTTCAACAAATATAGAAGGACTCAACAAGTATAGGTATAACAGCACATTGTTCAGACTAAAGCATGGCCAAAACCAAACTTAACAAACAGGGTACAATTCAAAATACACAATCTTTAACTAAGTCAATCTAAAAGCATCTAGTTTCAAATAATGGTTGCATTGCTAATTAAGTTGGCAAAAAATTCCCTATAGAATTATGCCACAGTTTTATCCTGAAGAAATCCACATGTCTCCATTGTGTCTCAAACTATAAGCAGAGTCATGAACCATGAGATAAAAGATCACATGTTCAAAATTAATAATGTGACAAAAAACATCATGAACCAACCCTCCTTGGCTAACAACAAAAACAACCATTGTCCCAAAAGTCTTGGTAGTTAGTCAGGTATGAGGCACAGAATAATGTTCATTTCTAACAAATAGGAGTGTCAAGCAAACATTACACACAATGCGCAAACTTGAACCTCGCAATCATAGCACAACGACCTACATAATTCTGTCCCTCACTGCGGCACCAAAGATCATGGTTTCCAGGAACATAGAAGACATGTTCAAACCTCTCTTTCAAAAGAGACATTGTCACAGAAAACATGGAATATGTCTCAGACACATCTCCTGCCACAAGAAGCACATCATTCCTGTGCTTCACATTAGACAAGCACTCCACCCACTTCAAATTCTCAGAATAGTCAGTGTGCAAGTCAGACACCACAAACACACTCACCCCTTCACTATTACTGTTCCCCAAAACTGAAGGCACTATCTGAGGCCTTCCAAGGCCACCCCTTTTCATGTTTTTCCCATAACTGCACCTGACTCTCACTTGTTTAGAGAAATATGCAGCGTGGTGAGGATTGTGAGATAGGGTGAGACATGAAGGGTTAAACCACATCACCATGGGCACAAAAAGCTGACCAAAAAAGTAAAAATAAAATAAAACCCTTTGGTATAACAAAGATCCAAATTCACCATACAAATGCCCCACGGTAAACAAATGGCAAAAGGGTGGTTGCCAATCAGCTCAGAACAGAAAAACCAAGTTCAAATTAGAAACACGAAAGATTACATAAGAAACATAGAACAAAATACCCAAAATCAAAAGATCATGAGAAACTCACAGAGAGAGAAACAGAGATATATACTACCACTTTTTTCCCTCAATCCAATATATAACTTCTTTTAATAATAATAATAATAATAATAATAATAATAATAATTAAAATTTTAATATCATTCTTATTATATTAAATTGATATGTTAAATAGATATATAAATATCAAGAATGTCAAAATACAAGTTTCCTGTACATAAGGGGAAAATCAAGCACTTTGTTAAAGTTATCTTTTTTTTCTTATATTATATGAAAATTTTATATTATTATTATAACATTAAATTGATATGTTAAATAGATATATAAATGTTAAGAATGTCAAAATACAATTTACCTACCAAAAAGGAAAATGAAGGGGTTTCTTACCGTTATTTTTTTAATATATTGTCCAAAGTTGTTTTAGGAATAAAGTATTACTAATAAATTATCTTTTAGTGACATTTATATCTAATATTGGATTGGTCAAATATTCTAACCTCAAACTAATTCATCTAATATAATATTATTAGATTAATATATTATGAAAACATAAAATTTATTATTAAGAATTTAAAATCTCACTTTAAATAAAAAAAATTATAATTTAAAAAATATAGAACTTAATTTTTAAAATTTTGTATTAAAAATGATATTATATTATTTCATATGATATCTTATTTATAAAAAAAATTATTGATAAAAAAATTAATAATTTTTACAGTAACCGATTTAATCAAATAACATTAGAATGTGATAAACAACATTAGTAAAAATCTTTCAATATTAACTCTTAGAAAATACCGAAACATTTTATCATATAATAAAACTATATACTAGCTATTGGAGAAACTTATCACCTCATCACAAAACGAACACGTGATTTTTCAAATAATGCCACATATGCAGGTTATGAAAAAAAAACACATACGAAACTAGAAAGGAGTTATATAAAGATTTTTTTGGAAATAAAAATTACTATTTTATTATGTATCACATATTAAAAATGAAAAAAACTACTTAAAATTAAAAAAAATATTTATATAATAACATTTGTGATGAGAACGGCTCAAATAGACTATTTCTTATTTTAAAAAATATAAAATATAAATTTATAATGTTATATTATTTTAAAATAATTTATTATTGATTTTATTTTATTAGAAACTTTATTATTTTTAAACATGAAATATGTCTCCGACATATCTCCTGCTACACAGGATTCTTTTTTATAGAAAATTACTTTGAGTAATTAATATTTTATTTAAGTAATTTTTATTAGAGATGTTACTTTAATATAATTTTAAGTCACTTATATTTAGAATATATAAAAAAATATTTAATTTTATTCTTAAATAATTTTTATTACGAATTCTATTTAGAAATAAACAAAATAAAATTGTTGAATATAGAGAAAATAGGGTTTGGAATTAATTTCCCTCGTGTATAAATCACACATAGGGTGGTTCTATTTATAGTAGAGAGATACAACTAAAAGAGTAATTGAAAGTAACAGAATAAACGAGAAGATATTGTTTGATATTGTGGTTACCAATATCTAACAATATCTTAACAATATCAAATAATATCTAAACAATATCTAAACACTCCCCCTCAAGTTGGAGCATACAAATCGTATGTGTCAAGCTTGTTACAAATATAATCAATTCTAGGACCCCGTAAAGATTTAGTAAAAATATCTGCTAACTGATCACTTGAGTTAACAAACTCGGTCTTGATATCTCCAGACATAATCTTTTCTCGAATAAAATGACGATCAATCTCAATGTGTTTGGTCCTCTCATGAAAGACAAGATTAGAACTAATATGAAGAAGCGACTGATTGTCACACACAAGTGTCATTTGAGTGACATCTCCAAATTGTAACTCTCTAAGCAATTGCTTGAGCCAAACAAGTTCACCATAGCTCTATATTCACGCTTCGCACTTGGATCTTGCCACAACACTTTGTTTCTTACTTTTCCATGAGATCAAGTTACCACCAATGGAGACACAATATCCGGATGTAGATCTTCTATCCGAAGGAGATCCTGCTCAATCGACATCCGAGTAGCAAACAACTCTTGTATGGTTATTAGAACCATATAACAATCCTTTTCCAGGAGATCCTTTAATATACTTCAAGATACGAATGATCGCATTCCAATGATCTTCACATGGTGAATTAAGAAATTGACTTACCACGCTGATCGCAAAGGAAATGTCGGGACGAGTAATCGTAAGATAATTCAATTTTCCAACCAATCTTCTATACTCGCTCGAGGATCAGATATAGGCTCCCCTTGATTTGATAGAAGTTTAGTATTGGGATCCATGGGTGTATCAACAGACTTTGAACTCATCAACCCAGTTTCCTCCAAAATATCTATGGCATACTTCCTCTGAGATATAACAATACCATCATTAGACTGTGTCACCTCAATACCCAAGAAATATCTAAGTTTGCCAAGATCTTTGGTCTGAAAATGGTGACAGAGATGTTGTTTCAACTGAGAGATGTCATGGTTGTCACTACCTGTAAGAACAATATCATCAACATATACTATCAAGTAAACACATCCAGCACTCGAGTGTCGATAAAAGACAGAATGATATGATTCACACCGAGTCATACCAAATTGTTTGCGAGGGCGAACCCGGTCATCACGATGGGATGTCAACACAAAAGAATCGTTAACAAAATTGGAAATAGTGGAAGAAGTCATGAAGAGTGGGAGAACAAACCCTAAAACAATCCAAAGTAATCCAATTAACCCACGAAGCACAAATCCAAAATGAGAATACTAAAAATAAGTTCACCAAGACTAAACGGTGCAGGAGACAATGGGACGACCAACTCCGATAGTGGTGATCTCAATGGCACGGTGGTCACTGACCGAGACAAGCAAAATCATATGTCACCGGTAAAAAAAATTGAAACTCCGGCGAATTCTCCGACAGCAGCAGACCCAATGACTGCTCCAGCGGCAGCGGTGACAGTAACGTGAACTAGTACACCAGGTAAGTTCCCAGGAAAGAGAGGTGGGTCACTAATGGACACACTTAAATACCAAGTCTTTCCTTGCCAGAACTTTCCTAAACATGCACTTTCACACTACCAAATAAAATTCAATGACAAAGATAATTCTTTTCTGATGTGGAGGATCAGTTTACCAGCAGCGGTGGGGCGGCTCCAACAGTGGACAAAAGGCGGAAAAAAAAAATTCAAGATAACCTTAAGCTCTAGATACCATGTTGAATATAGAGAAAATATGGTTTGAAATTAATTTCCCTTGTGTATAAATCACACATAGGGTGGTCTATTTATAGTAGAGAGATACAACTAAAAGAGTAACTGAAAGTAACAGAATAAACAGAAGATATTGTTTGATATTGTGGTTACCAATATCTAACAATATCTTAACAATATCAAATAATATCTAAACAATATCTAACAAAAATATTTAATTTAATTTCTAAATAACTCTCACTAAAAATTTTATTTGAAAATGACCAATATTTCTCACAAATTTTATTTCTATAATACTATATAACACATTATATTCAATAGAAAAAGAAACATGAGAGGTAATAAACATTATATAATATACACCGAGACACAAAAGTAGTACTATTATAATATAAATTTTTGCATAAGTTCATACGAGACTTGTCAGTTAAACTTAACACAAGGGGTGAATTGGATTTTAAACAATTCTTTCAAAAATCTAAATTTATCTTAATCTTTTTAAGTTAAAAATAAAAATTGATAAATCTTTTTTTAAGAATCTAATTGAAATAGAATGTAAATTTGTTATAATTGTTTTTAAAATATAAAAAAAAAAAAACATAAAGATTTATATTAATTCGATTAGTTATCTAAACAATCTTAACTTCAATTTTCACTCTAAACTTTTAAAGATTCAAATTACAAAAATTTACCTATGAAATATAAATCCAAAAACAAAATGTCCATATTGAAAAACAAACATTTTAATAAGATCTAACAAAACAAATACTAGAAATATTATCCTCAGAATTTTTCAAGCAATTATGATATTCTCCTCGTAATTATCAATACACAGAAGTTATAAAAAAAATAAAATCACTTGGATTTTAATTATACAATTTAAAGATTCTTATAATCAAGATGACTTAATCTTAAAATATGATTCACCATCTTTACCCATATTTGAATGTCTAGACTCTCATTTTCTAAATCTAATCATATTTCATAAATATGTTTAATTTGCAAAAGTTTTATTCAATTTAAAAAGCAGAAACAATTTCAACTCATTTAGATAATTGATTAGAAAAGAAATTAATTAATTATTTTAGTACAGAATCAAAATATAACTATATAATCAATTAAGTATCAACATAATTAATTATCAGCTTTTTACTCTTAAATTTAATTAATTATTATTTATCTTTAAAAAATTTCATAATCGATTTAATCATTTCTCTTTACAATCCAAAATACTAAATCTTCTTAAAAAAAAAAACAAATTCATCCACACCACACATAATATATAGCTTTTAATAAATTGAATTTTGATTGTGACGATGATACAGTTAAGAAATTAGCCCCATGAGTGATGACAAAAGCAAAATCAATAACATGATGGTGCCACCAACCAAAACTACAAGCCACTCAGAATATCATTCATGATGTTAATTTTATTTATTTTATATTATAATGAATATTTTAAAAAATTATAAACGATAAAAATTACTTTTAAATATTATTTATATGTTAACATATAAAGAGTAAAAAATATTATTTAATATCTAATTATTTCTTAAAAAATATTGTGTTCATGAAAACTTTATTTTAGTAAATTATTTTATTTGGAGGAAGCATGATTAAAGTAAAGGGAGAAATATGCATGGATATAATCGATAATATTATTATTTGGAGTCACTAGTAAACAATAAAAAGAACAAACAAAACTGCTGAAGAAGAAAACAAAGAAGAGAATTAGAACAATAGTAATATTGTAGGTTAAAATCGTATCTAATAATCTTGAATCCATAATAAAATTGGAAATTTGAAAAAAATTGTAATCATATGTTTTTTTGTTATTATGAGTGTTTAGACATCAATACAGAAAAGTAATACCTTATTACTATAATAAGTCTACTAATTAAAATCAAACAGTATTACGAATATGATAATATTTTATTTTAAGAGTAGACAAGCTGGTCCATTGAACCAACCTTCACTTCCACTACTTAGTGCTCTTTAAATTCCAAGTTATTAGTCTTTAAATTGTGCCATACTCTTGTTAGCTTAGCTTCTACCTCTTGCAATTTTTCCTTCTTCCTTTCAAAACCCTTTCAATAGCTTTTGGCACCTTCAACACCACCCCATTTAACAAAGATAAACAATTCACATATTTATGTGATCATAGAGTACATGGTTTACTACATGGCTCTTCAACACTCATCATCAAGTTGGAGGACATTCAAGTCATCCATGGTGGCAAGGTTTGTCTTGTGCCTCCTTGTGATGTTGAATGGTGCAAGATTTTCATCTGCAAGATGGTTGATGAATGGAGCAAGAGAAGAAGGGTTGATGAATATGATGATGTCTAGAGATGAACATAGAAGAAACATGCTTGAGAATGGACTTGGCCAAACACCTCCCATGGGGTAACCCTCTTTTTCTTCACTTTACTCACCAAACTTTGCTGCTTTCTACCTTCCTTGTCAACCCTGTCCCCTTGGCTTTTGCATCTAACTAACATCCTCAAATAATTGAAATACTATTTGCCATGTGTGTGAAGTATAGTATTGATTCATTCACATGCATTGTAGGACAAAAATTTAATTTCACAGACATTCAACTTGTTTAGGATGGTTTTCAATCAAAATTTGAGTTTTACTTTATATTTAATAAAAAATTATTGTATGGATGATTAAGATAATAAATTTATAATTCTTGAGTAATAAGACAAATTCTTCTATCATGTGTTATCCTGATCTGGTTCTGCATACATATCTATGAATAATTTATGGTGGCAGAGTCATGTTTTCCCCCTTCATCCAACTTGGTTAATCATGAATGGAACAAGATGATGTGAGTGTTCCACGGTATGTCCATGGTGGTGCCATTATTGTCTTGTAATTGATTAAGCTTCAATTATGATTCTTGTTTAGGGTTTGTGGTTGGCACTTGGCAAAATGAAAAGGACATTTGGTGACTCTATTGATTCAATACCACAAAATGTTAAGAAGAGAAGTTAGTGTTTGACTGTTTCACCAATCATCAACCAAGAATCTCTATCACACAAACTTATTAACATAAATAAATTAGGATTGACACATAATTTATAGAAATAGATCTCACAAGCTTTCTTAATGCCCCATCTTATAAACAATATTTCAATTGACCCTCCAACCACTTTGTATTATGGCTAGGGTAGGCCAATAAAAAGTTTATGATTTTCTTGTTATTATTGAATGACTTTTCTAAACGATCTTATCTTCAACTTTAGGCCACTTTTTTGTCACAAGTACTTATATGATTCGATAAAACACTTTTTATTATATGTCATTATATTATAAGAAAACACAGCCTGTATTTCACTAAAGCCAGCAAGAAATGAGAATTTAATGGAACTTCAACATCTTATGAGTCCTTTTATGCTTACATTTGATACATCAAATGATTTAGCTTTTTACATTGGTTACAAACATTTCTTGAATAAAATTTTATGTTGGAATTTTATGAATAAAATGATCAATTACAACTGATAAAATTCAGATGGAATAGCTGGAACCATTTTTCCTGCAATATCAATGAAGGCTTAATTCGAGAAACAGGTACTCAGCAATTTCTACATGAATTTTGAATTTACTACAATTTTATTTAGAATGTTAGACATGTTCTTGTTAATAATATATGTTGTGTCATGTTTCTTAATTATTGCAGCTGATGCTATGGTGTCAACTGGCCTTGCAGCTCTTGGTTACCAATATATTAACATAGGTAGGGCATTTTGTGTTCTAAAAAATATTTATAGCCATTAAGAGTTACAATAAAATAATAATCTACTACTTTTTTTCAAATGTTTAGACGATTGTTGGGGAGAACTAAATCGAGATTCACAGGTAATTATATAATTTATTATCAATAATTTCAATTGGAAAGTTGCATTAGCTACTATGGTTAATCTCCTAATTCATAATTTGCTCATGATTGCAAAGTTTGAATTTGAATATAGGTGCCCCAAATTACTGACTAATGTAAAATGGTGGCAGGGGAATTTGGTTCCCAAAGCCTCAACATTTCCTTCAGGAATGAAGGCTCTAGCGGATTATGTTCATAAAAAGGGTTTGAAGTTAGGCATCTATTCTGATGCAGGGTATATCTCAGATTAAACTCTTGATTTTGCATCTCTTCAATGATTTCTTCAGCTTTTTTTTAATCTCTCAATTTCTATTCAGAAATCAAACATGCAGCAAAACTATGCCTGGATCACTGGGACATGAAGAGCAAGATGCAAAAACATTTGCTTCCTGGGTAACATCCATATTCCTTTTTCAGAGTAATTTTGCATTTATATCAACCTCTATTCTATGTAATTTTATTTACTTTCAATGTTACTTTAGGGGATTGACTACTTGAAGTATGATAACTGTGAGAATAATAACATAAGCCCCAAAGAAAGGTACTTGTGACCTTCAAATGCACATAAACAATCTACATGTTTCTAGAATTCAGGGATTGATACATTCTGTCACACAGGTACCCTCCAATGAGTAAAGCTTTGTCAAACACTGGAAGGCCAATTTTCTTCTCTTTGTGTGAATGGTGAGCAAATTGGTGATCATGTTACACACACATTATGCTGATAAACTTGACTATTCATTTGAAATATTGCTAGAAGAAAGTTTAATTGCCATTTCATCTACTCTGTTATTCCTCTAAGTCAGAGAATTCACTTTTTATTTCTGAACTATTAATTGCTTTCTCAAACATAGGGGATCAGAAGATCCAGCAACTTGGGCCAAAAGTGTGGGAAATAGTTGGAGAACAACAGGGGACATTGAAGATAAGTGGGATAGGTAAGCATGCATGATATGATACAAATTTATTTGTCTTCAATGTCAACATAACATGAATCTTATTTGAGGAATTTCCCTATCTAGTACTGAGCTTGAAACCTGGTCCATGTTTCCATCACGTTCATGCCAAGGACATTGAAAATGCCAATTTTGAACCAACATGAAAGTTAAGTTATTAAGAGTATCACTTATAAGAAATTCAGTTTTCACATGAGAATCTTATTCATTTCTCCACAGTATGATATCTCGAGCAGATCTGAATGACAAATGGGCTTCTTATGCTGGACCGGGAGGATGGAATGGTAAACATTCTCACCACTCACTAGTTCTGGACATATTAATGAATTTAGATTACTTAGTACTTAAATAAAACCCGATTCTTTAACCAAAATAATTATGTCCATGTACAATTCTTATTTACTGAGACATATTTGGACAAACTTATGCACAGACTAAATAAGCTAATTTGTAAAAGATTTATTATCTAATTTTTCTAAGTTCTTATTTCTAATGCATAACTAATTTTAGTTTATGGAGAAGATCAGTTCATTTTCGTTTCTCTTCTAGAAATATTTTGTAGAAATTGTAGAAACAGAAGATATATTTTACGGAGGATGAAATATTGTGGTTTATTTTACTCTTTAAATAGAGTTTAAAATAAAACAAATATCCCTTATTTTTAGGCATAACCCATCGTTATTTTGAATATATTTTCTAAACTGATAAAAAAAGAATCAGTACTATCCTAAAGAATAGGTCCTAAACATCCACTTCTGCAGCTATTGCAGCACACGTTCAACAAATCTCCTCCTTGCCTCAATAGTTGCAAACACCTAGTTTATTTCTTAAAGCTTCAAATTTGAATTTTGGAAGAGCTTTTGTTAAGACATCTACACCTTGATCTTCAGTTCTGCAGTAAATTAATTTAATTTCACCTTCTCTTTGTGCTTCCCTTAAAAAACACAACTTGATCTTGAAATGCTTAGTCCTGCCATGAAAAACAGGATTATTTGAAATGGAAATAACTGTTTGATTATCAACAAGAATCTGTGTAGGCTCTTTTTGTTCCATATGTAAATCTTCCAAGAATTTTACATCTCTGCTCATAAGAATTCTTTCATTTTGTGGTTGAAAAATTCTATAAGCTTTGGACGTGCTGATGTATCCAATAAAAACTCTAGGATCCGCTTTCTTATCAAGTTTGTCTCTCTTAACCTCTGGAACATATGAAAAACAAGCACAACCAAAAATCTTTAGATTTTGAAAATTTGGTTTGTATCCAAACCATCCTTCAAATGGAGTTTTTTTGTTAAGAACTCTGGTTGGCAGCCTATTTAACAAAAATACTGCAGTGCTTGCAGCCTCTGCCCATAGCTTCTTTGGCAACTCCTTTTCATGCAACATACACCTTATCATTTCCATAATACTTCTATTTTTTCTCTCACTTACACCATTCTGTTGTGGGGTGTATGGTATAGTGAGTTGGTGCTCTATGCCGGCTTCTTCACAAAATCTGTCAAAGGTGTTATTTACATATTCCTTTCCATTATCTGATCTTATTGTCAGTAATCTGCAACCACTTTGATTTTCCATAAAAAATATATTAGCAACCTCAGTCTTGAACTTAAAGAAATAAATCCAACAAAATCTTGAATAGTCATCAATAAATATAATATAATATTTATTATCATTCAAAGATGATACTCTTTGAGGTCCTCCAACATCTCGTATGTATCGACTGCAGCTTATGTGTTGCTCTCCAAGCTGTTTGAGGAAATGGTCTTCTAATTTGCTTACCATATTGACAAGCCACACAATCAGCCATATTGTCTTCAAGCACTGTTACACTTTTAACCAAGTCATGTTTCTGCATGTATAGAAGTCCCGCAAGGTGGAAATGTCTGAGCCTTTTGTGCCATAATTCAATGTTGTTGTAGGTGCTTGAAAAAGTTATTTGCTCCTCCTCCATTAGATTTAGAGCATAGCTTTTGGCCTTCATTTTTACCTTAAACACATCTTTGCCTTTTGCATCCTTAATCAAGCACCACTTGTCTTCAAATATAACTTTGAAGCCCTTTTCAACTAGCTGTGCCACACTAAGCAAATTTTGGTCAATGTCAGGCACATATAAGACATCGGAGATATGTTTCAAACCTGTTAAACTTTCGATAGTAACAGTTCCTTTTCCTTTGACTGATATCAAATCACCATTTCCAACTTTTACTTTGGAAACAATGGTTTTATCAAGCTCTTTGAAAAGCGTTTGGTCGTTCGATATATGGTTTGTACAACCACTGTCTATTAACCATTAATCACTGGAACTGTTGCTTGTAGCAAAGCATGTTGCAACAAAGAGTTGCTCATCTTCTTGTTGCTCCGTGGACATCTTTGCCTCCTCCGGTGATTTGCAAATCCGCTCTACATGCCCCAGCTTGCCACATTTTCGGCACTTGATGTCAGGTCTCCACGAACATTTTTTTTTAGAGTGATTTGCTTTTTTATAGTGTGGACAAGGTGGAAATTTGTCACTTTGGTGCTTGTTGAAACTTTCTGGTTTCCTGTTTTTCCATTTGGTGTTCTTCTTATCTTTGCCTCCTCCTGAGTTTTGTGCTTTTATATGAAAAGCACCTTGTGTTGTCTCTTTCTCCTCATGTCTCATCGTTCTCCTCTGTTCCTGGGCCTGTAAAGCATTTACCAATTCTCCAAGGGTGATTTTTGACAAGTCTTTTGACTCCTCTAATGCTGATATTTTGGATTCATACTTTTCAGGTACAGTAACAAGTATTTTTTGTACTATCCTTTCATCAGGAAAATCCTTACCAAGGATACAAACTTGGTTTGCGATGCTCAACAGTTTGTCAGCATAACTTTTGATAGTTTTCGTCTCCTTCATGCTATGCATCTCAAATTCTCTGCCCAAGTTGAGTGCCTTCATACTTTTGGTTCGTTCACTACCTTGATACTCTGATTTAAGGTAGTCCCAAATGTCCTTCGCAGATTTCAAATTCATAATTCTTGTAAATATGATTTTTGAAACAGAAGAGAAAAGATAAGCTTTGGCCTTGGCCTTTCTTGTCTTCTTTTCTTTGTGAATCTTCAGCTGCGCCACTGTAGGATTTTCAGGTAGTGGACCAACTGCATAATCTTATTCTATCGATTCCCAAAGATCTAGGGCTTCAAGATGGACAGTCATCCTTGCAGCTCATAGGTCGTACTCCTCACCATCAAAAATTAGTGGTGATACTATGTGTGTTGTTTCTGTTTCCATTTTGATTTATTTCACTCACAGATCCCTCAAGATGATGCGCTCAGATACCAATTTGTAGAAATTGTAGAAACAGAAGATATATTTTACAGAGGATGAAATACTGTGGTTTATTTTACTCTTTAAATAGAGTTTAAAATAAAACAAATACAAAACAAATATCCCTTATTTTTAGGCATAACCCAACGGTTATTTTGAATATATTTTCTAAACTTATAAAAACAGAATCAGTACTATCCTAAAGAATAGGTCCTAAACATCCACTTCTGCAGCTATTGCGGCACACGTTCAACATATTTAAGGAGAAGTTTGTCAAAATAGACCTTATACCATATTGAAGAGATGAAAGTTCAGATTCTCATTTTTTTTGGTGTACAGATCCTGACATGCTAGAAGTTGGCAATGGAGGCATGACAACAGAAGAATATCGTGCTCATTTCAGCATATGGGCATTAGCTAAGGTAACATGAAACAAAAATGTAACATATTTAGGCATTTGCATATAATAATGTACATTTCTTTTGTACATATAGGCTCCTTTATTGATTGGTTGTGACATTAGAGCACTGGATGCCACCACAAAAGAATTGCTAAGCAACAAAGAAGTTATTGCAGTAAACCAAGGCATGGAAATACCAAATTAAATTTTTTATCTTTTTCTTAAACTGAGAATGCTTTTAAAACTAATCATCCTATGGTATTTGCAGACAAGCTTGGAGTTCAAGGAAAGAAAGTGAAAAGTAATAATGATTTGGAGGTAACTCCCTTTCCTTTTGTGTGGTCACAGAAATTTTAGTGACAAATTTTTCAGAAGTTACAGAAACTATTCTGTCATTGATTACTCAATAGAACTTCTTAAAATAAAGCAAGCGTTGCAGGTTTGGGCAGGTCCTCTTAGTAATAACAAGGTAGCATTGATATTATTGAATAGAAGCTCATCCAAAGCAAACGTTACTGCATCATGGTCTGACATAGGTCTGAAACCAGGAACTTCAGTTGATGCAAGAGATTTATGGAAGGTGAGCTACATAGTTTGACTCATCTTGTTGTTCACAATGCATATCATCTAAAAATGGTTATGAGCTATGCTTTTTACTGTTTGTCTTGAATTTTGCAGCATTCAACACAATCATCAGTTTCTGGAGAAATATCAGCTGAATTAGATTCACATTCTTGTAAGATGTATGTGCTGACTCAGAAATAAGTTGTTGATTTCTTGAGGTAGAAAAGAAGGTATAAACAGAAGAAATGCATCCACAATGACTGAATTTTCCATAGAAGGAAAATAAATGAACATGAGATATTTGTATTGTGATTGAGATCCACTTGATTTCACAATGATACGCATTTCATATCCCTATTGCTTGGTCATTTGATGTCAAATACGGTTTAAGAGTAAGTTCTCAGAATACTATCTATAATTCTATCCAATACAAACTATTTGTCGATTTTGACGTCGAATCCTTAGATTATATTTTTGTCTCATCTCTTAAAAAACGTTAATTTATATATTCATCTTTCAAAATAAGAACTTTAATTATTTTTGTCTAACAATATTTACTTTTGCAAATACTTTTACTTAAAAAAATTATGAACTAAAATATGCATAAAACAATTTGTAAGGTTGAATTCGACATCACAGTAAACAAATCAAATAAAGAATCGGAACAGTTATAGTGGCTTCGTGCTAGCTTCTCTGGCAGCACCAAACAAGAGAAACAATGATACCTTTAAACTGAGGAGAAGTAAATGTCATTGCTTTCTTCATCCCTTGCCATCCGAAGACCACTTTACCTATGGAACTTGATGATTCGAGACTCCACCAATCATGGCTTCTTCACACAAACTTTAAACATATACTCTTCGATGGCACACTCTGGTGTCCATGGCAACAATTTCACCTACCCTTTGCTCCTCAAGGCCTGTGCTAACCTCGCTTCCATTCAACATGGTATTGTGTTTCATGGGCATGTCCTGAAACTTGGGTTCCAAGAAGACACCTTTGTTCAAACTGCTCTTGTTGACATGTATTCAAAGTGCTTCCATGTTGCATCTGCACGCCTGGTGTTTGATGAAATGCCGAAGAGAAGTGTTATTTCGTGGAATGCCATGGTTTCGGCTTACGCTTGCGGGTCTTCAATGGACCAGGCATTGAGCCTCTTGAAAGAAATGTGGGTTCTTGGTTTTGAGCCAACTGCTTCTACATTCGTTTCTATTTTGTCGGGTTATTCCAACTTGGATTCTTTCAAGTTTCATTTGCAGGGTAAGTCGATACACTGTTGCTTGATCAAACTTGGGATTGTGTATACGGAGGTCTCTCTGGCCAACTCACTAATGGGAATGTATGCCCAGTTTTGCATAATGGATGAAGCAAGAAAGGTTTTTGACTTGATGGATGAGAAGTCAATCATTTCTTGGACAACTATGATAGGGGGTTATGTGAAAATTGGGCATGCTGTGGAAGCATTTGGTTTATTTAACCAAATGCAACGTCAAATCGTTGGCATAGACTTTGTTGTGTTTCTAAATCTTATTTCTGGTTGCATACAAGTAGGAGAGTTTTTGTTAGCTTCATCTGTTCACTCTCTTGTACTTAAATGCGGGTGTGAAGAAGTGGATTCCATTGAAAATTTGCTCATTACTATGTATACAAAATGTGGTAACCTTACCTTTGCAAGAAGGATATTTGATCTGATCATTGTAAAGACCATATTATCATGGACATCAATGATTGCAGGATATGCCCATTCAGGACATCCGGTGGAAGCACTGGATCTGTTTAGAAGGATGGTAAAGACAGATATTAGACCCAATGGAGCAACTCTTGCAACTGTTTTGTCAGCTTGTGCTGATTTGGGATCACTTAGCATGGGGCAAGAGATTGAAGAGTATGTTTTTCTAAACGGGTTGGAATCAGAGCAACAAGTCCAAACGTCTCTCATACACATGTACTCCAAATGTGGGAGCATCAAGAAAGCAAGAGAAGTGTTTGAAAGAGTGAGAGATAAAGATTTAACTGTTTGGACTTCCATGATAAATAGTTATGCAATCCATGGGATGGGAAATGATGCTATCAACCTCTTTCACAAAATGACTACTGAAGATGGGATAATTCCAGATGCCATTGTCTACACTAGTGTTTTGCTGGCCTGTAGCCATTCCGGATTGGTAGACGATGGATTGAAGTACTTTAAAAGGATGCAAAATGATTTTGGAATAGCTCCTACAGTAGAACATTGTACCTGTTTGATAGATCTTCTCGGTAGAGTTGGCCAGCTTGACTTAGCTTTAGATGCAATTCAGGGAATGCCACTGGCAGTCCAAGCTCAAGCTTGGGTTCCATTTCTTAGTGCTTGTAGGCTTCATGGCAATGTTGAGTTGGCAGAGCTTGCGACTGTTAAGTTATCAGAAATCAGTCCGGGAAGTTCTGGAAGTTATGTATTAATGGCTAACTTGTATACCTCTTTAGGCAAGTGGAAGGAGGCGCATATGATGAGAAGTATGATAGATGGTAAAGGATTGGTAAAAGAATGTGGCTGGAGCCAGGTTGAGGTCAGTGGTAGCTCTCATGCAATTACTACAGGAAATCGATCACAGGCTGGCTTATAAAACACTAGAAGATTTTAAATTTGTTCTTCAAGAAAGTAGCTAGCTATACAGTAGAAACAATATCAGCGAATGATTAACAAAGTGTTTACCCATGAATCTGTTACATACTACTTTTCACTTAGGAATAGAAGATGTAAATTGAAAACACCGTGCCTTCATTGTTTTCTATGCTTGCATAATTGTTTTGTTGATCACCAGCTAATTTATTATTCCCGGTTAAACTATTGCCTTCATTTCTGTTTTCTTTTCTTAAAAAGGGATATAATTATCATTAAAACATTTGAGAAAGCAAGACTTGCAGGGCTTGCCTGCTTACACGTGATAATAGCAACTAGAAAGATCAAATTTAAAGACAAAGTAGATGCGTGGAACAATCTCTTCGTAGTTCGAACTATTTTTAATAGTCCTCGTTATATTTCTTAGTTAATTGCAGATGGCTCGTTCAGAAAGGAATTAATAGAAATTCATGTATGTTAAATAATGAAATGAAATATTCCTCAAAAGAGAACTATAAATGTAGTATCATTTTTCTGTTACAATGTTATTTCGTGCTCAACAATTAAAATGTGTCTTCTATCATACCCTCTGGCCATTGCCAATTTACAAGTGGATTTCGTCAGTGTTGTGGAACGCAATAAAAGTATTATCTCTAGTTCCATTTGATCTTCTAAGCCCCCTAAAAAATATACAACAAACACATCAATGAAGCAATACCTAATATCTCACATTCTTATTTATGAATGGTACTATTCTCTGACATCGTAAAAAATCGGTAACAAATATGTAAGCATTCTGACATTTACTTCGTTTATATTTCTTCTCATGGTCCTCGCATCTTCTCAACAATGTTCCTACCTCTTTCTTCAAAGTTGCGCTTTTTTTCTTCAAATTTCTCACTCATCCTTTTTTTCAAATCAAGCATTTTTTCCCTTCTCCCAACTTTCCTTGGCCTTGAATCGTCCTGTTCAATTGAACTATACTGTTTGTATATCACCACGTTTCTGGGTGGTGATTCAGTCACAGAAATATCCCCCATCTTCACCACCTCATTAGCTTCATGCGTATCGCCATTCTGCATTGAAGTAGTGCGATGTTCTTGCAAATCTTTTGTTTCTTGTGGTTTGTCATTTTCTAACAAAGTTCTTGTCAGTTCTTCCGAACTTTTACTGTTTCTTAATGTTAATGAATTTGAGCAAATTGGTGGAAATGCCACAGAATCTGATTTCCTAGCTGGTTCCTGACTAGATTTGGTACACTTAGGTGGTTTTTGTGGTTTATGATCTGGACCATCATTTAAGGTCCTTGCAGTAGCTTTGAATCCACCAGAAGGTTGATTATTGGTATCAACTGAGGTTGAAGTCTCGTGTCCCGATTCGTGGTTGATCCACATGAATGGAGCAACACTCCTAGGAACCCAATCCTCCTTTTCGGCTAGCATCCATGAAATGCATATACTTTCACAATTTGGGAGCACTAAAGTATCCCGGATTGCTGCCTGCAGGAGCGAACATAAATCAAGTTTGCAAGTGAAAAATGTTCTAATCCTTTTTAGAAGATAGGCAAATAGGGCTTCAGTCGAGAACTAGCACCCTGTGTTCAAACTACAAAAAACAAAGGAGATAACACCAATTTTGATATTTGAGACATTGGTCTAAAGGTTACACAGAATATTTTATTTACTAATTCTATGGATAGTGTTATTTGCTGACAAACAGGGAGAGAACCAAGTATATCGAAGAACAAATCCTAACAAATCCAGATTTCGATGGCCACATACTCCAGAGAATGGAAGTCAGTAGTGAAAAAACACGGGCACTTGAAAGAGAGGTCGGTTAAACTACAGAAGGAGCAAAAAGAATTTGCCCTTATATAATTTCCCTAAGAAATTCTCCTCTTTGAACATAGTAACCAATACTGGTGGCACAAATGATTTATTTGTATATAGATTTACCAAGGAGAACATGGAAATGAACAGCATAAATCTTGAAAACCAGAAACAACATCTGAAGGGAAATTAGTAATTGTTCATCAACATCCTTAATAACCAAATGAGAAGAGAAGTATCATATACCTTGAGCCGATTGACCAGAAACAAAGCTATGTGTGAATTAGTTATCTTGTGTTCGCCAACAAATGATTCCAAGCTGAAGTCTATATCAGGCATAAATGTGAAACCAAACCACAATTGATCAGAGGGAGGTGGCTTTATCTGCAAACGCAATGTCCCTTTGAGGGATGCCATCCTTATTCCCAAGGAGAGAGGAACCTTATGATAATGAATAATCCGTTAAACTATTTACAACTGTATGGATAGATAAAACAGTATAACATCTATGCATTATTATAAACTATAAATTAGTAAAACATCTATGCAAATATTGAATACTTAAATGTGTCTCGATGAGCATCGAATTTGACTTGAAAATGCTCCAAGACAAGATTCACATTATGCTTCTTCTGGTAGCTTATTGTCAGAGATGGAAAAAAGAAACCCTCATTTTACCTAAAGGCTTGCATTTTTGCCAATGATTTTAGAACGATTCTTCTCATAGAAAGTTGAACTTTAGCACAAGGTAGGTGAGCTTGTGCGTTGTCCTTCATGGCTAAATGTCTTGTGCGAAGGAATATTAGGGTTGTAATCTAAAAATCATTTATGTATCATTTCGTAAAAGCTTAAGCTTTCAGCAGAATTGAATTAGATGTATAATTATTGTAATTAAATGTGACATTGACTCCGGTTAAACCGAATATTGATTATTGGCCTCCCTTTCTTCCAGTTTAGAGACTCACTTTATTTTCATAACACTACCTTAAACGATTATAAACTAACGCTAACATGCTATTTCATAACATTTCACATATTTCTATGCATGCCAAAAAATGATTACCTTTAATAAGAACCCTTGCATTCTCCATTTCTACAGTCATAATTTGCAGAGATATGCTATTGGGTATAAGCCAAGGTAAAAAAAATGGAGGACGTGCAAGCATCACCTCTAGTTTCATATCATACAAAGATCTCCTTTTGAGATTAATTTTTCATTGGAAAAAAAATCATGTGATTTTATATTTCTAGAAAAATGTCTACAAAGGGTATCTGACAAAGAATTAAAATAGGTAAGGTCGGTATAATAACATGAAACAGGATCTGTGCATGGGTTTGGAAAACCTCAGCAAGAGGTTACTGTTAATTACCTAAATATGAAGTCATTGTGCACCAACAGAATAAAAACCAAACAAAACTGCATTAATAAACATGATAACAGAAATTAAACGGAAATTAGCTAACTATCATTAAACGACAAAGAGAAGGTATATATCTTTGGCCCTGGAGAAAACACAACATAACACAGAGAACCACACTTCATTGCTCATACAAGCACAACCACACTGCATTATAATAACGCAGACTCCTAATAATGAAAGAACAGCTGAAAAATTGCAATTGGAAAAAAAGCAACCAATGAAAGAAAAAAAGGAAATAATAACAACGTGCTACCTGTGAAACATGCTTGGCAACAGTATTTAACATAGACTTCCATCTTGATCCTTGAGATGAGGAAGATGTACAGCTCTTAAAGCTCTTAGACATATCTGAAAAACACAGACTGGAATTGTCAAAATGAAGGCTTTTGATGAAAATCCTACATTGATTAGTAAAGACAAGGATTGAACACCTGATCATTTGATTTTAAAGGATTTAATACCATGTCAAAAATACCCTATTTTAAAAGCCAAAGATGTTAAGCGGAGGCCCATAAATGGGTTTTATATCGTGAGCAAAAGCTACTACCATGGTCCTCATTAATTCCATTTTTATGGGGAAAGAAATTTAGTATAATGTCAATAAATCATTTTGTAGAGAAATTGCATAAATAGTTAGATGTCAGGATAAATGTACGAATCAAGTATCCACTCACCATCTCCTTTTGGCTCTTGAACATCATTCATTCCTTCTGCAAGATTCAATTCCTCACCCAAATATTCAAATCGTTCAAGAATATCTGATGGAACAGTCTCAACATTGCTTGATTCTGGATTTGAGTCCTCTGTTTCCTTTTCGAGCTCTAGTTCTCCTACTTCAAGCCTTGTTTCAATTTCTAATAATGCACCACCAGAATATTCAATGTCAACCTCTAAGGCAGACACCTCACTCATTTCCATTGGAAGAACCCTCATTCGAATGATACAGGGTGGAACATTTCCCATGTTAATATCTGTACAGATTACTTCACCTACATAACTGGGAGTTCTCATATTTGCCAATGTCCTCTGTAAAAGTAATAGAAAAGACCAACACCTTATCATATAGAAACCAAAACAAAATGACGTTTTTTTGTATATATATACACACACACACATATGAGAAGGGATTTAAGTTATTCTTCATCTTAACATTTTATTTTCGTTTAATCTAATGATTCTTAAAATTAACACACCTTTAACCATTAGAATAAAAAAATAAAGGGTTAGGATAAAGTGTAACTTGATCCCTCTTATAAATAAATAAATAAATATATATATATATATATATATAAAGAGAGAGAGAAACTGAAAATCAAATGCATAATTCATATTGTCAATAAGGGTACCTGAATCCTTTCTTGGATGGATTTCTTCATTCGCATATTTTCTTTTACATCAAAAAAGAGACGAGAAACCAACAAATTCCAACATAATGTTCCTTCATCAATACCTAACTTTTCATCACCATCTAAGTCAAAACTTGGTGAAGGGGATGATGGCGCAGAATTATCTAACAAGGGACTTTTTAGAAGGTTTGCTGATGAAGTAGATTTCAAGTAAGTGGTGCCTAAAACTGCATCTTGACAAGCACGAAGCTTCTCAGTGTTCTTTCTTTCTTCACGGCCTGACAATGAAGTCCAAGCTGGTTTATTTTCCACTCCAACTCGGGAAGATTTTTTGGTAAGTTTTTTAAAAAATTGACGAACCTTAGAGGAACCACCATCATGCTTATTAGCCCTTTCTATTGCCTCAGCACTTGATCCTACTGATGGTTTCATAAGAGAATGATATTCAGTATTTAATGATGTCACATAACTATGAAACTCATCTTGCAACTGGGCAAACCACTCATGCTTTTCTTTTTTATCAGAAGAAGCTAGACGGAGGGCCTTACACCATGCTTCTTTCTCACATGCAGTCTCAAGATACACATACAAAGTCTTGCTTCCATGGTAGATCACACTGGTCTTGGCTTCCACTTTGATGGGGTATTTTTTCGCCCTATATGATTCATTACATTGAATCACCTAATTTCTTCAGTAAATAAGCAAGAATATAAAAAAATATATCTATCCATTATCATTTGAAGTAAGACATATGCGAAGAAATAACAAGTTACTTCATCAGGATAAAACACTCTATCATTTTTAAAATTTATTAAAAAACTAAAAAATGACCAGAGAGAAAACAATTTTTTGCTATATTGAACCAAAATGTTGTGCATTTCAATATGTATCCACTGAAAAGATAAAAAGAAGTTTTTGTACAAGAGGAACTATGAGTCTAACATACTCAATTCTAAAATCATGTTTTCCACAAATTGTGCGTTGCTCCAGTTGATAAAACTGATTTGAGATGTATTATTTGTATTGAAATAAATTTTATACCAACTACAGCATATACACAGTACCTACTGTTTAGAATAAGGTACTGGCTAGAGCAAGTCAAATATAACTAGTACAAACCCAACCCAATAATACTCCTACCACAACAACAATTGTAACTCTAACATTGTGAATTACTTCCCCTCAAAATGACCTTATCTCCCGGTTTGCATGCAACATATAAACACACTTATCAAAAGAAGGGAAGTTCAAAAACATAATGGAGTCCACAAACCATGAAGTGAAGTCATAAAATGCAGGCAGTTAATCCAAATGAAACCAAACCAACACCACCATAACAACTACAAAGCCTTATTATCCAATTAGGTGAAGTCGGCTACATGGATCACACAATGGACTCGGTTAAAGATCAAATTCTCAACAAAACCCACACCACACACCAAAATGAAAACAAAAGAGAGATCCCTTCCAGATTAACATTACAAATTACCATTTTTTTGACGGAAGACTTGTTGCTGAAACAGCTTCCACTAAGCACCCCTTAAGCTGAATGGTGGTGAGAAAGCCATCAGCATCTGTGAGCACAAGTGACTGCCCATTAATTTTCCCATACTTCCTAACAGGAGTCACCTCCAACACATCTTTTTTCTTCTTCTGCTCCTTTGCCTGCTTCTCTACCCACAATTTTGAAACCTTGTCAGGCTCCAAAACCCAAACCACACCCTGAAGTTACAACAACACAAAAAGCCAAACCCAAACACATCAACAAATTAAACCCCCAAAATAAATAAACAACAAAATAAAAAAACAGGTATCATTGGGACCAGAAAGCCACCTCCTTTTTGAGCAACTGTTGATGGGAATCACTTTGAGCAACAACCGGTTGCGTTTTCGACGCGATTTTTGCTTGGTCTCTGCTGATCCTTTTACGCATTCGTTGTAACACCCACAAAAAGCCAATAGCTTCGGCGGCCACAACCACCACCACCCCAAGAAAAAATCCAAGGAGAATCAAAGCGGTAACAAAAACCATTTCACACCCCAATTGTTCAATTTTCTTGAATCGGAGAAACAGGAACGAAGGAAGGTGAGCAAAATGAAACTGACCCAGATGGAGGAATCGAAGGAAGAGGGGGTGGGGGGAGGGGAGATGCCCAGATGCTTCTGAAAGAATCTGATGTCAAACACAGTGGCAAGCAATGATCACTTTCCTTCCTTAACGGTTAGAGAGAAAGAGAAAGCGCGTCATGTAAGTTTTGTTTGGGGTGAAGGGAACCACAACAACAACAACAACAACGGAAAACGTGAGAATAAAGGTGAGAAAAAAAAAAAAAAAAGGAGAGGGATGAAGGGATTCCATTAGTAAAAAAATGGGGTTTTTGTTTTTTTCAAAATTTGTGCTGTGTTCATGCAGAGAAGGATGAGTGAGAGTTGAAGAAACTGAAAGATGTGGACATTCTTATTAACCATTGCAAGAGGTCACCATTTTTTGGATACCAAATGAATGAATGCTGAGTTCTTGATTATTCGTCACGCATGAGATATGGGATTATGTGATCCAAATATTTGTCTTTTGGCCACAAGTTTTAACCATATTTCCTTCACGTTTGTTTCTTCATCATGGATCAATATCGCATGTTCAATTCCCTTTTCCTGTCACATAAAATGTCTAATTTTTCCATGGATTTTGTAATGAATTTCTAGTCACACACAGAAATAAAAATAAAGCTGTCAACTTTATCTCGCATAGATCAACAAGTCCTAATGATATATATATAAACTAAATTCTACATTTTATTATTTTAAACTCATTTTTGTAGTATTTTTTATTTTTCAATATTTGACCATTCTTCGTGATAGTAAGGGTAATATTTCCTTAAAGTTATTATTTTACTTTTTGAAATCTTTTTAACTTTTTTTGTTTACCTCTAAACATATTTTAAGTGGAGTAAAACACATCTATCACAATAAAATATTATTATGGAGTAAGTTCGTTTTTATTCTTATTTTCAAGTATGGTATATAAGGTTAGGATTTTGTATAGGGGTTTCAAAAAAATTTATGTATAATTTTTAGATAAAAATAAATTTTGACTAATTTATTATCGTAATAATATGTTCAATTTACTGAGAATAATTGAACTTAATTTGGGTATTAGAAGTTTTAAGAACTTGGAATTTGGGAAATAAATAAAAAATAAAGGAAGTTGGATTTTGTTTCAATTTCACAGTGTTTTAGGTTGGTTGGATGTAAGAACTACTCAGTAAAAAAACTGCTACTGATATTATTAAGAGTAAGTTTGACATTTTACTATTTAAGTTAAAAATAATTATAAATAAAAAATTTAAATATTTAAATTTTATTATTATAAAGTTGTCATTATTTTATAATTTTTTTTTTAATTTTTTGTTGTTTCTTTTATCTTCTTTTAGATTTAACGCATTTTGAAGGAAAAAAGATTAATTCTATTTGATTAGAATTTTGAATAAAGTAAGTTTTTTCTTTCTTAATTTTAGATCATTTTGCATATATTTAAATTTAAGTATGCATGGGTCCTAAGGAGCTTGCATGTAGACTATGTTATAAAAAGATAAATTTTGACTAGTTTAAGAATATTGTAATATACTCAATTCGTTAATTTGATTTTTTCGTGAGTAGGAACTGTCTTCCTTTTACCTTCTTTAACTTGAAAACACTTAGTTGAGATAAGGGAAGTTAGTTATTCTTCAATTGGTCACATTTTTCACTTTCAGAAATTTAGATTGTATGGTTATATATGTGTTGATTCGTAATGATTGTATTGAATGTGAATATATAAATGATTTACATGAGATTGAAAAAGATAGTCTTTTGTATGAATGTATTATTTTTTGATTGAATTTAGTGAATTAATGTACAGTAAAGAGAGTTAGGTTTAGAATTAATTTGATTTGTAATATTAGAAACAAATATTGAGCAGCAGATTATATAGTTTACTACTGTTACGAATTCGCCTAGCGATTTAAATTCGTTCAGCGTTTTCAAATTCACCAAGCAGATTTTGGATAGTATTTGAGGTTCTATTACGTCAAGAATTTGCTAAGTGGATTTGAATTTCGCTTAGTGCTTTCAAATTTGCTCAACGCTTTCAGATTTGCTTAACAACTTTCAAAAAATCATAAAAAACAGTTTCAAACTCTAAATTTAATATTCTATATATAAAAATTGAAGCACTAAAAATAAGGAATCCAATAAAATAAAAATTATTTAAAAAAATATGTCTAAAAAAAGTTATGCTCAAAAGAATAAGTAGAGGTCAAATTAGAAAAAATTTGTTTTGTTATAATATGAGAAATGATGTATATGTGTCTTAAGCTATTAAAATACATATAATGAACATGAATTGAGGTGTGTTGGATGTTATTATATGTCTTCTTGAGAAATGTTGTGTTGTGATATGAGAATTACCAAGGGGTATTCTCATATGTGTAGTATTGTATGTATAAATATTGATTTGGGACTCAAGGAGATATCGTGATTCTACTGATCACTGGAATCACATAGATGAAATAATCAGGTGATGAGATATAAAAGAGGTTTCTAATGGCTTAGTCTGTAATATAAAAAAAATTATCTTGATAAATTATTTAGAAATTTATCCTAGTCACACGTGAGCGTATATACCGAATTGAACACCCTTGTGTTGTGCACTTGGGGAGTTTTGGGAGGTTGTTGTGTGACAAGTACAAATATCTTATGTCTACTCCAATACTCAATCTTCTAGAAGTCGTTTAGTGTCTGTGTGACATGAATGTGGACTTCTATGGGCATGTGATGTGATATATGAAAACTTGAAATTGAATTATGTTGTTTTATCTCACATTTGAATCTTGCATACTTAAATTAAATTACTAGCTTAATCTATGTGTTTTGTATGTGTTTTTAATTGTGATAATCATGTGTTTACACAAGAACAAATTTTACAGTTGATAGACCTCAGCAGGAGTAGGTCTGGAGCTAGGAGTAGGATAGATTTATATTTTATTTACTTAGCCAATAAATATATATGTATATTTTCCTATGAAGAGAAAAAGTATATTTTAAATTACTCTATGCATCTTAATTTTATATATATACCATTTGGGATTGTTACATGATGACTTGAATGTAGTATATTAACTTAGTTTGGGTTATTTTACATAAATGAGATTGAAATTGGATGATATTTTATTTAATTTTTTTTATTTTTCAAGTGTTGATCGGTTATGTGCATGACTTTGATGAATTATATGATTGTTTGAATGAATTGATAGATAATTATAATATATTAGAATTAGAAATTCAAGTGTGAATTGAAATCATTCCACGTTAAGTAGAAATGAACAAGTTGAATAATTTATCACTACTACAAAATATACTTTCTACGTCGTCATTTAACATCGGTTATAGCCGAGACGACGTAGAAAGTACTTTTCACGTCGGTTCCCGGATGAACCGACGTTGAAAGTTGAATATTAAACACATTCTACGTCGGTTCTTAGTCAACCAGACGTAGAAAGTACTTTCTACGTCGGTTACCATATAAACCGACGTTGAAAGTCTTTTTTTTTTTACTTATTGACACTTTCCACGTCGGTTCCCATATGAACCGACGTGGAAAGTCTTTTTTTTTTTTCACCCAAAAACTCACTTAAATTTAAAAATTGGCATTGGTAGGATTCGAACACAATACTTTAGAATTGGAGGCTGATACTCCAACCACTAAACTACTAGAATTTTCCGATAATAACTTACAAATAAATTATATTTATATACAAATAAATATATATCCATGTAAATATATATTTATTTGTATATATTTTCTGTAAAATATTTTTATTTTTATTTTCAGCCAAAAATTCTCTTAAGTTAATAAATTGTCACTCGGTAGCATTAGAACCCGAGTATTTTAGGGTTGAAAGTTAATATCCCAACCACTAAACTACTATAATTTTTTGATAAATAACTTACAAATAAATTATATTGGTATTTTTTGATCGAGGGTGAAAGTGTGATTGACTCTTGCTTGAGTGAAAATATGTTAAAGCTCACGGAAATTCACTTACTCAAGTCTCGCTTGAGCGAAAATTGGTATTTTTCGCTTAAAAGCAAATAACGCGTTTCCCAAATTTATTTTATATCATTATATAAATAAAATTATAAAGATTATATTCTGTCATTAAATTACAAACTCATATAAAGATATCTCGCTCACAAATTTAGTATCAAATTTTGAAAACCCACTCGACACACACTTTCACTTTCGAGTGTGCCCTCACATCCAACATATAAATATATAACTATATAAATATATTTGTATTTATATATTTATATATTTACACGGATATATATTTATTTGTATATAAATATAATTTATTTGTAAGTTATTATCGAAAAATTCTAGTAGTTTAGTGGTTGGAGTATCGACCTCCAACTCTAAAGTACTTGGGTTCGAATCTCGTCAATGACAATTCTCTTAAAAAATTAATAAACTTCTAAAAAATATAATATAAAGAGATGGGAGACTTCTAGATAAATAAAAGGGGTAAAGGGGTTGTAAATAAATAAAAATTATTAATTTAAAAAATCATACTTACAACGTCGATGTTGAAAGCTTTATTTGTAGTAGTGTATAAGTGAAAAAGACTCATAACCTAATATTTTTAAAATTTCTTGTAAAATATAGTATTATATTTTTTTATATGGTTGTCTTTATCACATTTGTGAGAATTTTCTTATGTTAGTCACCCTTGAAAATATCTATCGAGTGATATTAAAATTAATTATTTGTATTATGATCAACTCAATTGGAATAAGTGATATATGAGATTGTGGATCTTTTTGTCAAAAAAAATTTGACAAAGGTTTTAAGCTAGTGAGTTTTGTTGTGTTGAATAATAATATAAATAAGGTCATTGTTAAGTATTGGTGGTTAAAAAATATTTATAGTGGAGGGAGATGAAACAATGTGAAAGGAAATCATATTTGAGAAGGAAATTATTAGGAATTCAAGTA